GCAGACACCCTTAATGGCATTTTTGCCCCCCCCCCCCGAAAGCATTGGGCTGGACACAACTCAATGCCGCCTTGTAGAAGACAGTAACCTGGATAGTGAGCAAATTATCTGAAGTGACCCTAAGCTTATTTTGGGGTACACTCTTTCTTTTTCTACATACTGCGGATATTTGGTGTAACCCATAACTTCATGCGAGGTTCAAATCACCACATAGCAATGAGCATTGTTCAAAACCGATGGCTATTTATTCCCCAATTCCTTACCTTCCCTGTCTGCCTGCAGCTCACAGTTGATGGCTTTCAGAACTCTGGCCGTCACTTGCAAGGCATAATCCGGGCCATAGTAGACGAGGAGCAGCTGGCTGAGGTCCGAAACACTTGCTTCCTCCAGCAACTCCTCTGAAATATTCACAAAGTGCTTCTTGATGGGGAGTTTGCCCTTGAACTTCTTTAGCTCAGACTCCTTCAATATTTTCAGAGTGTTCAGTAGAAAGGTATGTGAAGGCCATGCTCTTCTCACTGTTTTGCATAATAATATTGATGGGGTGGAATCCAGTGAGCCCCCATTTTCCAGCATAAAATATAGTATTCCCCTTCCCTTCCTAGCAGTATCAAAGTCAAGGTAAGTCAGGCTGGGCTGAGTAACAGGCCACATGCTTGCAGAAGGCCCCAGGTTCCATCCTAGACTAACTTACTAGATGGACCAATTCAGATCTTAGATGGGAGCTTCTGGTGTTCCAGAGGGTCTGGAAATTCCTGCAAGCTTTCTGAACTTATTACAGGCCTGTTTTAATTATTTGCAGTGCTGAAACAGGAGCGGAATAAGACTCTGCCTTCTGCATAGGACAACCCGAACCACAAGTCCAAAGGACTGAGGCAATTCCTTTCCTTCGTTTTTGCTGTTCTGTGTATCCTAAGGGTGCTGAAGGTATTTGTAATGCCTTAATATTAACTCTTTACTCAAGTCAGAAGTGCCAACTTGAATAAAACATTGGGGGAGGGGAAGGTAAGCCCCTCCCTGCATAATCAAGCACATATTGCTGTACACACACACACACACACACACACACACACCATTTGAATGGCAAGGCCCATTAACTTGGGGGAAGAGGCCCCCCTCAAATATTTTATTGGGGGAGGGCAAAGAATGGGCGTAGCCAGGATTTATGTTAGGGCAGGGCAGGACTTTTGTTGGGGGGAGGGAGAACTGATCTATCTGTGACGCAACTGGTCAGTTAAGTATTTTTATTTATTGACTTGACTTGGCAGAGGTAGCTGCCCTCCTGCACCCCCTTGGCTACGCTCATGGCCACAGACCTCCTCGGGCCCCTAGGAGGTGGCTTCTGTGTATCTGATTGCTATCAACAGGCTTTGCATATGAAGGCACGTGCAGCCAATATATCTGCTGCCAGGGTAGACTCAACTCCTACGACGATCAACAGGACACATGCAGGTTTACCTGGCCTGGCGAAGGAGAGGACCTTGTCGATGTTGAGGAAGGAGGAAGAAGTTAAAGATATAACAGTAGGATCTAAACGATATAAGTTAAAAGCCTTTGCTGATGATTTGGTGTTAACTTTACAAGAACCAGACTCCAGTGCAGTAAAAGCACTGGAGGTGATTCAGGAGTTCGGGCAAGTAGCAGGATTTAAGCTAAATAAGAGCAAAACCAAAGTGTTGGGGGAAAAATTAGATAATGAGGAGAGAAAAACCCTTCAAGAAAAGACAGTCCTTGTTTTTGTGAAGAAAGTGAAATATTTGGGTGTGAATTTATTGGTGAAAAATTTGAATTTATACAAGGATAATTATGAGAAATTGTGGAATGAAATTAAGAGAGATATTGAGATTTCTTCAAATTTAAAATTGTCATCCATGGGCCGAATATTGGTGGTTAAGATGACTGTATTGCCAAATATGCTGTTTCTATTTCAAGCTTTACCAATTATTGTTAATATTAAATATTTCAAAGAATGGCAGAAAGCATTGTCTAAATTTATCTGGCGGGGGGGGGGGAATCCAGAATTAAATATAAATTACTTACACACTCAAAAGAAAGAGGGGGATTTTCCCTGCCAGACTTGAAGAAGCTGCAGATTTCTGCTGGATTAAGGAATGGATTCAATTGGACAATGTTGATGTTTTAGATTTGGAGGGATTTGACAATGTATTTGGTTGGCATACATATTTATGGTATGACAAGATGATAGATTGGGCAAGAGATGTTGGACACAATATAGTGTTGGAAGACTGGGAAAGGTTGTGGAAGAAAGGGGTTAAGTTTACTGCATGTACTGTATTAAAAGAAAACATTATGAAAATGATGTACAGATGGTACTTAACGCCGGTAAAACTAGCAAAGATTCACCACACAAATGATAATTTATGTTGGAAGTGTAAAGAAAAAGAAGGCACCTTTTATCTTTCTTTTTTTAAAAAAAATATTTTTTATTAAATTTTCCATTTTAACAATCCAATCCAATCACATTAAATATTCCAAATTATACAAATACATATCGTATAGTCTGAATATTCCGCCAAATTATAAATTTTTATTGGGACTTCCCATGCTTCAAGTTCGGGGGGGCTCTGATCATCTTATATCTCTACTGCCTTGAGTTTCCAATAGTTCCTTTGAATCTTCCTGTTGTTAACCTTTCTTCTTTCATGGCCTCTGAGTTGTTTCCACAGGCGAGTTGAAGTAAGCAATGATGTGCTTCTGTGTGAATTTTGTATGCTTGACTTGCCTATTGCTGCAGCTTGTAAGTCTATTGTTACAGTATCTCTTCACATGCTGGTGTTTCTGCCGAATCAATCCAAAAGTCATTTCGCTGCTGGCAGACGCCATCTTCTCTCAGTTCCGATGAAATAAAATCTAGGCATTTGCTCATTAATTTTCCCAGACCGGTTGCATCAAACATTAGCCTTTCCAGAGGAGATTTGCCAAATCGGACTTGAAGTGCAGATATAATAACAAATTAAGGGCTCACCTCCCCCTATGACTATTTATCTCTGCAGCTCGGTCTTTCCAAAGTCTCTCCAGCAGCTAACGAGATCCTGCTGCTTTCTAATATCAATATTTGGAGGGTCTTTTATCTTCTTCCAAGCATTTCAAAAAACAAAAGCTTTAGTCATATAGTATTGTTATTTCCAAACTGTTTATATTTCTCACTTGCTGTAAATAATGTAAACAGTTCTTCTGGGTCTGTCAGGTATTGTAATAAATCATAGTAAAAAAAAGTTTACCCCCCCTCTTTTTCCATTCCGTTCCAACGTACCAACTTAGATGTTATTCTTAGATTTTATTCTTTCTTCCTCTCCGTCACTCTTGGCACCTCAGTGGCTGGCTTAATTGGCAGATTAATTTTCCCCTCCTCACTCGAAGCATGTCCAAAACTTAAATCCAATTTTTCATCTTAAGAAATGGAACTTGGTGCGCTCACTGGGACAGCGTCCAGGAGATCCGAACTCCCTCGGGGGCTTTCCATCCAGTGCCCCCACCCCCTCCTTCTTTATGAACTTTGGGGTGGTTTATTGGGCATCCGCAGATGAGACTGCATCTTCCCTTGCACCGGGAAGAATTTGGGAGGCTGATTACTCCCATCTCAGCTTCTAATTACCTTGTGGGAGCTAGAGTGATGGTATTGTCAGCCATCTTCCGTGACGCCTCAAGCGGAAGTGAAGGAAGGCACCTTTTATCATATGTGGTCGACGTGTCCCAAGGTGAAAGACTTCTGGGAAAAGATTTATAATGAGTTGAAAAAAATGTTGAAGAATACATTTATTAAAAAACCAGAAGCCTTCCTACTTGGAATAATAGGATTGGAATTGCCCAAAAAAGATGTTGGATCGTTTTTGTATGCCACTATAGCGGTAAGACTGCTACTAGCTAAAAACTGGAAATCTCAAGAAATACTGACAGTAGAAGAATGGCAGATGAAGATTTTGGACTTTTTGGAGCTGGCCGACCTGACTGGAAGAATCTGCGATCAGAGAGAAGGGTAGTATCAAGAAGATTGGAAGAAATTCAAAGATTATTTAGCCAAATATTGTAACATAAGATAATTAGAAGTCACTTGAATGTATCAAATAGGCTTAGGATTAGAGTAAGAATGAATTGTAAAGCATTATGGATTTAGATTTTTATGAAAAGAGAAGAAGATAGTAAACTGAAGGAGTTAATTTTATTAGAAAGAGGATTTTAGAGAACTGTTACAAGGTGATACATTGAAATTCAGTTAGGAGACATTAGAGGAAGTCAGTTAACAATGAAAGCTAAATTGGGTTTTAGAAGGAATATGTTTCTTTTTTCTTTTTAGTATTGTAATATGTTTTCTTTTGTGTGTCATATATGTTATATCTTCTATAAATGTGGAAAATCAATAAAAGGAAGCGAGAGACGCGTGGAGGAGAGAGAACGTCTGAAGTGGCCTCCCAGTACTTGCCTTCCTGGCAGCGCTCCTGAAGGTCTGACCGCAAAGCGAGAGCCCTGCATGGCATGCAGACAAATTTTACTCATAAACCAAGTTATGGGTTTGGGTCTTTAGGAGAAGCTGTGCTCCGGAATTCCATGCTGCCTCTTTCGACAGGGGCTCACATTACAACACCATGTAGGGTGTAACTGACCTGCCTGATAATGTCAGATAATTTTCGCATGTGGTCATTTTGATTAATTAAAATAGCAATCCTATCATACTCTTCAGAAGCTGCTCAACAACTTTCCCACAAGAGCCTCATTGCTCCCTTGATGACACGCAGCACAGCATACGATTGCAAGCTATTGGAAGACTCTGATTCAGTGGTTGGGACATTTGCTTTGTATGCAGAAGGTCCCAGGTTCAACCCCTGGGGTCTCCAGCAAGCGATGGGACAGACTTGCTTGAAATCCTGACAGTGACACTGAGCTAGACAGACCAACCTATCCAACTTTCTACCAACTTTCCTGCATACCCGAGAAACTGGAAAGGCCTGCAAGTTTTCTGAACTTTCTGGTCATGCTAAAGCATGAAAGAAAATAAGCCGCTGCCTTCTTCTGCAAAGGACAAACTGAACCCTCAACTCCAAAGGGCTGTGAGCCAATTCCTTTACACCATTTTGTAATGGAGGAGAGAGCCACCTAACCCACCCAGCCCAAACACTGTACTCAAGTTCCTTTCTTAATCAGCCTTTTTAAAAGGAAACATGCAGACAGACACTACTTTCTTTTTGGGGGAAGGGAGGTAGATAGATAATTTATTATGGTCAAAGACCAGCTCATGTAACAACACAATAAAAACAGCGTTCATAAAGATAAAATATACAATCGGAGCAAACTGCAGCAGTAGCTCATGAGATATATACATACACCCGTACAACTGAGATTTGGGCTACCATAAAAAATTGACCCTGAGGCGCCCCAAAGGGCAACTCCAGCATTTCCCTAGTAAGCTATTTTATTCTAGAGGATGATCTGGGCGCAGAATCTGGCTACCAGCCAGGTCGTCTTGTGATCTTTGCCTAAGAGGAGAAAATTAAGTTTAGACTTGTCTGAAAGATCAGCGAGCCTCTTCAGCAAAGGATCAATGGTGTCTCTACGGATCTCAACATAAAAAGGACATCTAAAAAATATATGTTTGGGGCTTCCTATTTCCCCTAATGGGCAGGCGCAAAGTGTAGGTGCATACGGGACTCTTCTATAGGAGCCTTCCAGAACCGGTGAGGGCAAGGCCGAGCTTCTAGCAAGAGTAAAAGCCCTTCTTTCATTTCTGGATGTGAGGAAATAGAGATTTGTTGCTGGAGCGGCAACGTATCTCCCGTTTTCTATGATTTTATAATCAGGGACCCTTGTACAGTCCTGTTGTCTCTCTATGTCCATGATTCTTTGCCTAACACAGATCTAGCTTGGCCCAGGTCCGTACTTATGAGGGTTTGGGGAGCAAGGCCCAATTTCTGAAGAGGGTTTAAGACTGCTGTCTGCCAGCCAGACTGAAACTGGTCGCTCAGAATCAATGGGGCTATTCCTTGGGGAAGCAATTTCAGAGTTAGCCACATATATTGATGTTAGACTAATATGAGCTTCAACTTTCATCATGCCTGTTGCTAGTCTGACCCATGCATTTGAAACGCATCTAGGAACTTGTAGAAGGGCTCTGAGGACTTTGGATTGCACTCTTTCAAGGGGAGGGGTGGAAGAAACCGTTTACTAGAAATCATGTGTTATCTCAGAACCTAATTCAGAGTGAGACTTTCCGTTTCAGTTTCTGCTCTCTGCCTTTAAATATAAGGAGAGGCACAAGTGTTTGCTAGCTGGAGCTGAGAAGTCTTTCTGCTGTTCCTACAGAGAAAAGAAGGTAGGCTCTACTCCTTTCTACCTGAGATGCAAAGCATACAGATCTTATGTGAATGCTTAGAGTTTGTGTACATTTCATGAACTCTTCCTTATTAAATGGAATTTCCAATTGTGAAAGATCCCACCCCATATTTGGGGTGATATTAGTATCCACTGTGTGCCGAACTCTGGGGTCCCTTCAGTACAAATATATATCATGTGGGAAGAACACAAAAAAGTACAATGCCCGGGATGCTCCTCTGCTAAGGAAGAAAGGAGACAGAAGGGAAAGCAGTGAGTGGGAGGAGGCAGGCAGACAAATGGAGGAGGAGGGAGGGAGGGAGGGAGGGAGGGAAGCGGAGGGAAGCACACCTGACCCCAGTGGCCCTGGAGGAAGTCACTGGCAGAGCGTGAAAGGCAACAAAAAGAAGCCGTTTCTGGTCCATGATCTATTCCAGCTTCAGAGGCACCAATGCAGCCCCTTGCCAAGGGCTCAAGATCTGCTTGTGGCTCTCCCTTTTCTGCAGCTGCTCCATCTCCCTCACACAAGTATCATCCCAAACCTTCCAGAGCATTTCCTGCATGCAAAAATGTCTGGCTGTGTGTGCGCCTACAAATCTGGGCGCAGAATCTGGCTACCAGCCAGGTCAACTTGTGATCTTTGCCTAAGAGGAGGGAATTAAGTTTAGACTTGTCTGAAAGATCAGCGAGCCTCTTCAGCAAAGGATCAATGGTGTCTCTACGGATCTCAACATAAAAAGGACATCTAAAAAATGTATGTTTGGGGCTTCCTATTTCCCCTAATGGGCAGGCGCAAAGTGTAGGTGCATACGGGACTCTTCTATAGGAGCCTTCCAGAACCGGTGAGGGCAGGGCCAAGCTTCTAGCAAGAGTAAAAGCCCTTCTTTCATTTCTGGATGTGAGGAAATAGAGATATGTTGCTGGAGCGGCAACGTATCTCCCGTTTTCTATGATTTTATAATCAGGGACCCTTGTACAGTCCTATTGACTTGCTATGTCCATGATTCTTTGCCTAACCACAGATCTAGCTTGGCCCAGGTCCATAGTTATGAGGGTTTGGGGAGCAGGTCCAATTTCTGAAGAGGGTTTAAGACTGCTGTCTGCCAGCCAGACTGAAACTGGTCGCTCAGAATCAATGGGGCTATTCCTTGGGGAAGCAGTTTCAGAGTTAGCCACTTATATATTGATGTTAGACTAATATGAATTTTGTCTTTCATCATGCCTGTTGCTAGTCTGACCCATGCATTTGAAACGCATCTAGGAACTTGTAGAAGGGCTCTGAGGACTTTGGATTGCACTCTTTCAAGGGGAGGGGTGGAAGAAACCGTTTACTAGAAATCATGTGTTCTCTCAGAACCTAATTCAGAGTGAGACTTTCCGTTTCAGTTTCTGCTCTCTGCCTTTAAATATAGGAGAGGCCCAAGTGTTTGCTAGCTGGAGCTGAGAAGTCTTTCTGCTGTTCCTACAGAGAAAAGAAGGTAGGCTCTACTCCTTAATCCCAATCTTTAATTTAATAAAATGTTAAAATATATAACTTCAACTTTTTTAAACCTAATCCTTGATCTTAATATCATATAACTTTAAAATTTTCCCTTTTAATATCAAATTTCCATTTCTTTAAACATCTTTAATCTTGCTCTTTAGTCTTAATCTATCATTAACTTTAACCTGTGCAGCTGGAAACCGCTTGTTTTCAATCCAACATCACTCTAACATTCCTTAATTTTGCAGTGTTTCTGAAGATAGTCTTTGAATTTCTTCCAGTCTTCCTCCATCGACTCTTCTCCCTGGTCACGGATTCTACCAGTCATTTCCGCCAATTCCATATAGTCCATAAGTTTCATCTGCCATTCCTCCAGCGTGGGAAGTTCTTGTGTCTTCCAATACTTTGCGATGAGTATTCTTGCTGCTGTTGTTGCATACATAAAGAAAGTTCTATCCTTTTTTAACACCATTTGGCCGACTATGCCCAGGAGAAAGGCCTCTGGTTTCTTAGGGAAGGTATACTTAAATACCTTTTTTAATTCATTATATATCATATCATTATATACCTGAGATGCAAAGCATACAGATCTTATGTGAATGCTTAGCGTTTGTGTACATTTCATGAACTCTTCCTTATTAAATGTGCTTATAACATGTGCTAAAAGTCAAATTAAATTGCGCGAAATAAATTTGCTGGTAAGCGACTGAATCCCACCCTAAAATAGCAAGTCTGGAACCACCCACAGTTTGCAGCTGAAGTAGAAAAACAAAAATTGTGATTTGGTATAAGACAACTTTTGAAAGCTGAACAGGTTCTAATTCTTTCTCCCCTCCTCTTGCTCTTTAAATAAAATGTTTCTTTCACAGACTGCTGCTTTAAGAGATGATGTCCAGCTATGAAATTATACGCAAAGGGAGAAAGCAATTAATTGATATACTTCAGAAGGACATAGACTGTGTTTTAGATGACTTACGCTCAGAGATTGTCATCACAAAAGAAGAATATGAGGGCCTGGAGAAAATTGAAGACTCGAAGAAAAAAAGTAGAGAGTTGCTTATTCTGATACAAGAAAAAGGGGAAGCTGCCTGTAGCCAGTTCCTGGAATGCTTAGAAGTCGCATGTCCTGGTTCAAATCATGCTCTGCAAGGTCAAAAACACGGTGAGTCTCACCGTTCTTCCCAAACGTTAAAAACATTTAGATATCTCTTCCTTCTTCCTTGTCAAGAATGAAGGAAGTTGTTGAACCTTGGGAGGGTGTGTCCACAGGTTTCTCATCCCGATCTAGCATACTGTATAATCACAAATGTTCAGAATGTCTACACCATTTTGCTAGAAACATGTTTGTTTCTAGGTTGCTCAGTCAGTGAAGAAGAAGGTGAAATTCAGAAACACCCAGAGGAAGAGAAGATAGATCTTGAAATCACTAAGGTGAAGGGACCCCTGATCATTAGGTCCAGTCGTGGCCGACTCTGGGATTGTGGCGCTCATCTCGCTTTATTGGCCGAGGCAGTACAGCTTCTGGATCATGTGGCCAGCATGACTAAGCCGCTTCTGGCGAACCACAGCAGCGCTCAGAAACGCCGTTTCCCTTCCCGCCGGAGCGGTACCTATTTACCTACTTGCACTGTGATGTGCTTTCGAACTGCTAGGTGGGCAGGAGCAGGGACCAAGCAACGGGAGCTCACCCCGTCTCTAGGTTGTCCAAGTCAAGAGAAAGAAGATGATGTCTGGGAAGAATTGGAGGAAGAGAATAAACACCCCACCCCAGGTAATCCCTCCTAATCATCATCACAGTGGAAAGGGAATGTAGGGTGTGTTGGAGAGAGAGTTTTGGAAGAGAGATCTTACGCTCTCGTAGCAGAGTAAATGCTGTATGCTTAGAGAGTGCTCTTCAGCTCCATGGAGTGAGGAGTACTTCAGGGTTCAATTTTATCCCCTATGCTGTTTAACATCTACATGAAGGCACTGAGTAGGATCATCCTGAAACAGTTCAGGACCCCCCACAGTCTCCTCAGAGAGAAAGGCCTGCTTTGGGGTGGGGGGTGGAGAGAGGCCTGCGCGCTCCTACAGTCTCCTCAGGTCTGTTTGACTTTTCTCACAGGTTTAGTTACTTGTCCATCTAGTAACAATTTGAATCTGTCATGAATATATCCAAACATAACTACTGTTCTGTGAAATAAAGATCCATTTGATTGATTGATTGATTGATTGGGTATTGATTAAGTAAACAAATAAACTTAAATGACTTTGGAGGGTGGTAGATCAATGCCAGTTTGATATACTGGTAGTAGATCAGAACCTATTTGAATTTGGACATGCCTATTATAGTCCAACAACCTTGGGAGGGCGTGTCCACAGGTTTCTCATCCCCTGATCCAGTGTGGTGTAGTGGTTAAGAGCGGTGGACTCGTATTCTGGGGAACCGGGTTCGCGTCTCCGCTCCTCCACATGCAGCTGCTGGGTGACCTTGGGCTAGTCACACTTCTCTGAAGTCTCTCAGCCCCACTCACCTCACAGAGTGTTTGTTGTGGGGGGAAAGGGAAAGGAGAATGTTAGCCACTTTGAGACTCCTTCGGTAGTGATAAAGCGGGATGTCAAACCCAAACTCCTCCTCCTCCTCCTGATCTAACACACTGTATAACTGCAAATGTTCAGAATGTTTACCCCATTTTGCTAGAAACTTGTTTGTTTCTAGGTTGCTCAGTCGGTGAAGAGGAAGGTGAAATACAGAAACTCCCAGAGGAAGAGAAGAGAGATCTTGAAATAGGTAATCCCACCTAATCAATGGTGTAATGAATGGAGAAAGTGAGGGGGTGCAGCTCAGGGATTCCTTTTTCAGAGCAGGAGCAATGACATGATCTGCTGGAAAAGTACCTGTGAAGTTGAGGAGCTCCTGAACTAAGGAATTTACTAGTACAGTTTCATTACTCATCACTGCTGCTGTGTGGTTTCAGGTGCTGTTTCGAATATTGGCCAAGGCTGCAGAAAGGTCTATCCCATTGCTGGTCCCTTAATGGGGACATGGCTTTTTAGTGGCGATTCTTATCCCAGCATGTAGCTTTTGTTGTTAAACCACTTTGAGATGTTTCACGGGAAATATATACGTAAATAGGTTGCCACATTGGAGAAGGCATTTTTAGATGGTTGTGCTAATGTGAGCTTCTGTCTCTAGGTTGTCCAAGTCAAGAGAAAGAAGATGATGTCCGGGAAGAATTGGAGGAAGAGAATAAACACCCCACCCCAGGTAATCCCTCCTAATCATCATCACAGTGGAAAGGGAATGTAGGGTGTGTTGGAGAGAGAGTTTTGGAAGAGAGATCTTACGCTCTCGTAGCAGAGTAAATGCTGTATGCTTAGAGAGTGCTCTTCAGCTCCATGGAGTGAGGAGTACTTCAGGGTTCAATATTATCCCTTATGCTGTTTAACATCTACATGAAGCCACTGAGTAGGATCATCCTGAAACAGTTCAGGACCCCCCACAGTCTCCTCAGAGAGAAAGGCCTGCTTTGGGGTGGGGGGTGGAGAGAGGCCTGCGCGCTCCAACAGTCTCCTCAGGTCTGTTTGACTTTTCTCATATGTTTAGTTACTTGTCAATCCAGTAACAATTTGAATCTGTCATGAAGATATCCGAACATAACTACTGTATCTGTGAAATAAAGATCCATTTGATTGATTGATTGATTGATTGGGTATTGATTAAGTAAATGAATAAACTTAAATGACTTTGGAGGGTGGTATATCACTGCTAGTTTGTTATACTGGTAGTAGATCACAAGCTATTTGAAGTTGGACATACCAATTGTAGTCCAACAACCTTGGGAGGGCGTGTCCACAGGTTTCTCATCCCCTGATCTAGCATACTGTATAACTGCAAATGTTCAGAATGTCTACCCCATTTTGCTAGAAACTTGTTTGTTTCTAGGTTGCTCAGTCAGTGAAGAAGAAGGTGAAATTCAGAAACACCCAGAGGAAGAGAAGATAGATCTTGAAATCGGTAAGGTAAAGGGACCCCTGACCATTAGGTCCAGTCGTGGCCAACTCTGGGGTTGCGGCGCTCATCTCGCTTTATTGGCCGAGGGAGCCGGCGTACAGCTTCTGGATCATGTGGCCAGCATGACTAAGCCGCTTCTGGCGAACCAGAGCAGCACTTGGAAATGCCGTTTCCCTTCCCGCCGGAGCGGTACCTATTTACCTACTTGCACTTTGACGTGCTTTCGAACTGCTGGGTTGGCAGGAGCAGGGATCGAGCAACGGGAGCTCACCCCGTCGCAGGGATTTGAACCGCCGACCTTCTGATCGGCAAGTCCTAGGCTTTAGTGAGGGGGTGTAGCTCAGGGATTCCTTTTTTAGAGCAGGAGCAATGACATGATCTGCTGGAAAAGTACCTGTGAAGTTGAGGAGCTCCTGAACTAAGGAATTTACTAGTACAGTTTCATTACTCATCACTGCTGCTGTGTGGTTTCAGGTGCTGTTTCGAATATTGGCCAAGGCTGCAGAAAGGTCTATCCCATTGCTGGTCCCTTAATGGGGACATGGCTTTTTAGTGGCGATTCTTATCCCAGCATGTAGCTTTGTTGTTAAACCACTTTGAGATGTTTCACGGAAATATATACGTAAATAGGTTGCCACATTGGAGAAGGCATTTTTAGATGGTTGTGCTAATGTGAGCTTCTGTCTCTAGGTTGTCCAAGTCAAGAGAAAGAAGATGATGTCCGGGAAGAATTGGAGGAAGAGAATAAACACCCCACCCCAGGTAATCCCTCCTAATCATCATCACAGTGGAAAGGGAATGTAGGGTGTGTTGGAGAGAGAGTTTTGGAAGAGAGATCTTACGCTCTCGTAGCAGAGTAAATGCTGTATGCTTGAGAGTGCTCTTCAGCTCCATGGAGTGAGGAGTACTTCAGGGTTCAATATTATCCCTTATGCTGTTTAACATCTACATGAAGCCACTGAGTAGGATCATCCTGAAACAGTTCAGGACCCCCCACAGTCTCCTCAGAGAGAAGGCCTGCTTTGGGGTGGGGGGGTGGAGAGAGGCCTGCGCGCTCCTACAGTCTCCTCAGGTCTGTTTGACTTTTCTCACAGGTTTAGTTACTTGTCCATCTAGTAACAATTTGAATCTGTCATGAATATATCCAAACATAACTACTGTTCTGTGAAATAAAGATCCATTTGATTGATTGATTGGGTATTAATTAAGTAAATAAATAAACAAATAAACTTAAATGACTTTGGAGGGTGGTAGATCAATGCCAGTTTGATATACTGGTAGTAGATCACAACCTATTTGAATTTGGACATGCCTATTATATTATAGGGACGCAGGTGGCGCTGTGGGTAAAACCTCAGCGCCTAGGACTTGACGATCGCATGGTCGGCGGTTCGAATCCCCGCGGTGGGGTGCGCTCCCGTCGTTCAGTCCCAGCGCCTGCCAACCTAATAGTTCGAAAGCACCCCTGGGTGCAAGTAGATAAATAGGGACCGCTTAACAGCGGGAAGGTAAACGGCGTTTCCGTGTGCGGCTCTGGCTCGCCAGAGCAGCTTTGTCACACTAGCCACGTGACCCAGAAGTGTCTGCGGACAGCGCTGGCTCCCGGCCTATAGAATGAGATGAGCGCACAACCCTAGAGTCTGGCAAGACTGGCCCGTACGGGCAGGGGTACCTTTACCTTCACCTTATTATAGTCCAACAACCTTGGGAGGGCGTGTCCACAGGTTTCTCATCCCCTGATCCAGTGTGGTGTAGTGGTTAAGAGCGGTGGACTCGTAATCTGGGGAACCGGGTTCGCGTCTCCGCTCCTCCACATGCAGCTGCTGGGTGACCTTGGGCTAGTCACACTTCTCTGAAGTCTCTCAGCCCCACTCACCTCACAGAGTGTTTGTTGTGGGGGAGAAAGGGAAAGGAGAATGTTAGCCGCTTTGAGACTCCTTCGGGTAGTGATAAAGCGGGATGTCAAACCCAAACTCCTCCTCCTCCTCCTGATCTAACACACTGTATAACTGCAAATGTTCAGAATGTCTACCCCATTTTGCTAGAAACTTGTTTGTTTCTAGGTTGCTCAGTCGGTGAAGAGGAAGGTGAAATACAGAAACTCCCAGAGGAAGAGAAGAGAGATCTTGAAATAGGTAATCCCACCTAATCAATGGTGTAATGAAGGGAGAAAGTGAGGGGGTGCAGCTCAGGGATTCCTTTTTCAGAGCAGGAGCAATGACATGATCTGCTGGAAAAGTCATCATATTTGCTTTGCTCTGCCCACTTCTGCCTCTGTGTCCTCACCCAACCATTGGCCTGCGGCCTCTGGAAAGTAACCCACAAAGGAATGTAACTGCATCTTCTTCAAAAATCTCATTGAACATAACAGAAAAGTGCAGTGATATTTAACATTGTCACACGTTGATGTCTGTTGTCCCATCACTCATCTTCTTCCAAACAGTCCACCTTTTAGGGGATGCAGCTCTGTTGCACAAGGGTGCCGAATCTGCTTTTTAATTGCACAAGCTGAATTTGTTGATAGGTGGTTGACTCCCACCCAGAAATAATGACAGCCTGAAATCACTCCAAGACACAGAAGTCCTGTGCAGAGGAAGGACGCTAACTGATTTTCTTTATCCATCTCAATTGGGGGTTTAAGCCTGGTTTTGGCACAGAAACCGCTTTGGTCATCCTGTATGATGACCTCTGTCAAGAGAGAAATAGGGAAAATGTGTTCTTGTAAATTCTTCTCAGTCTTTCAATACTATCTCCCATAGTATCCTTCTGGAGCGGCTGTCCAAACTAGGAGTGGGTGGCACTGCTTTGCGGTGATGCTTAGGTGATGCTCTTCAGCTCCATGGAACCATCAATGTGGACTTCCTTGGGGTTCAATTTTATCCCCTATGCTGTTTAACATCTACATGAAACCACTGAGTAGGATCATCCTGAAACAGTTCAGGACCACCCACAGTCTCCTCAGAGAGATAGGCCTGCTTTGGGGTGGGGGGTGGAGAGAAGCCCTGCCCGCTCTGACAGTCTACCCAGGTCTGCTTGTCTTTTCTCACATGTTTAGTTACTTGTCCATCTAGTAACAAATTGAATCCGCCACGAAGATATCCAAACATAACTACTGTATCTGTGAAATAAAGATCCATTTGATTGATTGATTGATTGATTGATTGATGGGTATTAAATGAGTAAATAAATACACAAACTTAAATGACTTTGGAGGGTGGTAGATCACTGCCAGTTTGTTATACTGGTAGTAGATCAGAACCTATTTGAAGTTGGACATGCCTATTATAGCCCAACAACCTTGGGAGGGCGTGTCCACAGGTTTCTCATCCCCTGATCTAGCATACTGTATAACTGCAAATGTTCAGACTGTCTACCCCATTTTGCTATTCCAACTTGCTTGTTTCTAGGTTGCTCAGTCAGTGAAGAGGAAGGTGAAATTCAGAAACACCCAGAGGAAGAGAAGATGGATCTTGAAATAGGTAATCTCACCTAATCACTGGTGTAATGAAGGGAGAAAGTGAGGGGGTGAAGCTCAGGGATTCCTTTTTCAGAGCTGGAGCAATGAAATGATCTGCTGGAAAGGTACATGGGTGGAGTTAAGTAGAACGGTGATTGCTCCAACCGCATTAAAACTGCATTAGTTACTTCTACCCTCAACTACCTTTAAACAAACATTCCCCAGCAAAAAAAAAAACTAGGCTAAAATAAATCACGTATACTTAGCTTTGAAAATAAGTAAAAGTTTTGCTCACAGAGTCTCCAGTAGTTACAGCAAACAAGTCTCCACCCACTGGCAGTAAAACAAAGGTGGAAAATGTTCTAAATGACTTTAAAAGTTATTGGTTTCCTTACAAAAGGATCATGCAATGTTTGGGTTAGCAAAGATGCAGGCTTTAAAATCTCCCTTTTGGAGAGATTCGGTTCACGTGGTTTTTCTTGCAGCTGGGAGCCAAAGGAGGTGGGGAGAGAATGTGAGGGAGCTCCGCCCCCCCTGTCAACCTGAGCTCAGGTTAACCCTTTCATGCCCACAAGAGTCTGTCTACCTAGTCCTTGAAAGTCTCTCCAGGCCATACCCCCACAAGTCTTGCTCTGAGCTCCTCTTGAGTGTGTTTGCTTGGCTGGAAGGGGTCCTTGGACTGCAATAATGCTGTATGCTTGCCTTGATGGGAGGATGGAGAGATGTGGGGGTGGGTGGTGTGTGGAGAAAGGTTTAGCTTTGTGTGGCTGGAAAAAGCCCCATTGCACAGAGTCACAATATTTGTTTTGCTCTGCCCACGTCTGCCTCTGTGTCCTCACCCAACCATTGGCCTGCGGCCTTTGGAAAGTAAGCCACAAAGGAATGTAGCTGCTGCTTCTTCAAAAATCTTATTGAACATAACAGAAATGTGCAGCGATATTTAACATTGTAACACGCTGATGTCTGTTGTCCCATCACTCATCTTCTTCCAAACAGTCCACCTTTTAGGGCAGGGGTCTGCAACCTTTAAGACGGGAAGATTGTTCTTTCAGGGCTCTACCATCGCCATCGATCCCCGGCATTGAATGTGTTGGCCTAGTGTGGGGCTCTGAGGTGAACTTGGCTGTCTGGCTGGTGTACCGGCCACCTAGCGCACCAGCAGCCACCCTGTCAGGCCTGCTGGAGGCGGTGGCCGGCTGGGCCTTGGAGTTCCCTAACCTATTGGTATTGGGGACTTCAACGTCCATGCTGATGCCACTCCCTCCTCATAGGCTCTGGACCTGGTGTCTTCCATGGCAACACTAGGGCTCTCCCAGTTTGTTTCAGGCCCCACACATCAAGCAGGCCACACGCTGGATTTGATCTTTGGCGTAGGTATAGATGTGATCATGTCTCCTTCAATTAAGGTGCCATGGTCTGATCACTTCGCTCTGAAAGCCAGGATTGACTTTCCACCCCCAACCTGCTTAGGTGGCGAGCCGATTTGGGCTCGCCCGCAGAGGCTGATGGACCCTGATAGATTCTGTCAAGCCTTGCGGGACCTTGCTCCCCCTGGCGACTCATTGACTGAGCTTGTTGAGGGCTGGAATATCCAGCTCCTGGCAGCCATAGATGAGATCGCACCTAAGCGCCCTCTGCGACTCCGCAGAAACCGGGCTCCCTGGTTTACCGAGGAGCTTCGGAAAATGAAGCGGGACCTCAGACGGCTAGAGCGAGTATGGCGGGGTGCCCGTGACGGAGCCTCAAGAACATCTTATAGGGTTTTTATGAAAACCTATGAGATGGCGGTGAAGGCCGCTAGAAGTCTTACTTCTCGGCCTCCATTGCATCCGCTAGCTCTCGCCCGGCGCAATTATTTAGTATAATTAGGTCTTTAACGTCCCTTGAAGGACAGCCAAATTTAAATAACAATCTGACACACAGCTGTGAGGCATTTGCGAGCTTTTTGCGGAGAAGGTCCTGTTGCTCCGCCATGACCTCCCTGCCAATTTGGATACAATAAAGGAACTGGAGGCCCCTCGACTGTCCTCGGGTCCAGTATTGGACCACTTTGATCGGATATCCCCAGCCGATGTGGACAGACTCCTCCGAGCTGGAAAGCCCACCACCTGTCCTCTTGACCCGTGCCCGTCTTGGCTGATTAGAGCGTGTCCAGCCGAGGTGTGGGCCCCCCGGGGGGATATCATCAATTTGTCCCTTGGCACCGGGATATTTCCAGGGGAATTGAAGGAGGCAGTGGTGCGCCCGCTCTTAAAGAAAACATCATTAGATCCCTTAGATCTATCCAATTACCGCCCAGTTTCGAATCTTCCATTCCTGGGTAAGGTGATTGAGAGAGCGGTTGCTGAACAGCTTGGTAGGTTTCTGGATGAAACATCGGCTCTGGATCCATTCCAGTCCGGCTTCCGCGCTGGTCATGGGACCGAGACGGCTCTGGTCGCCCTAACAGATGATCTCCGCAGGCAGCTGGATCGAGGCAGGTCGGGGCTGCTGATTCTTCTAGACCTGTCAGCAGCCTTCGACATGGTCAATCACGAACTCCTGGACCACCGCCTTGCCGACGTGGGGATCCAGGGCACAGTCCTTCAATGGCTGCGCTCGTTTCTCTCTGGTCGGGGACAGAGGGTGGCGCTTGGGGGGGGAATTGTCATCGCGCCACTCCTTGGTGTGTGGAGTGCCTCAGGGTGCAATACTCTCCTCGATGCTTTTTAACATCTTTATGCGCCTCCTCGCCCAGCTTGTCCGGAGTTTTGGGCTGGGTTGCCATCAGTATGCCGATGACACCCAACTCTATCTGTTGATGGATGGCCATCCTGACTCGGCCCCAGACACACTGACCAGATGTTTGGAAGCTGTGGCTGGATGGTTACGTGGAAGCCGGTTGAAGTTAAATCCTTCGAAGACAGAGGTCCTCTGGCTGGGACGGGACGATATGGGATTGGGGGGGCAACTCCCATCTCTTGCGGGGGTGCAATTAGTGCCAGCACTGTCCGTTAAGAGTTTGGGTGTAATCTTCGATACCTCCCTCTCTATGGAGGCGCAGATTACAGCTATAACAAAGGCGGCATTTTTCATCTCCGCCAAGCTAAGCAGTTGGCCCCTTATCTCTCTCGCCCTGACCTAGCCACTGTGATCCACGCGACGGTCACCTCCAGACTGGATTATTGTAACTCGCTCTACGTGGGGCTGCCCTTGAGACTGACCCAGAAACTCCAGCGGGTGCAGAATGCCGCGGCGAGACTCCTTATGGGGTCTTCGCTGCGAGATCACATTCATCCGGTACTATACCAGCTGCACTGGCTCCCGGTGGAGTACAGGATCAGGTTTAAGGTGCTGGTTTTAACCTTTAAAGCCCTATACGGCCTAGGACCCTCGTACCTACGGGACCGCCTCTCCTGGTATGCCCCACAGAGGAACCTACGGTCTGCAAATAAAAACATCCTGAAGGTCCCAGGCCTCAGAGAGGTTAGGCTGGCCTCAACTAGAGCCAGGGCTTTCTCGGCTGCGGCTCCAATCTGGTGGAGCAGCTCTGTCACAAGAGACTAGGGCCCTGCGGGACCTGACATCTTTCCGCAAGGCCTGCAAGACAGAGTTGTTCCACCAGGCCTTTGGTCAGGGCCCAGCCTGACTCCCTCCTCTGGCAACCTGCACAGAACTTTGCTTAACGGTTGCCATTAATTTGATTTTAATTAATTTTTATAATGAAATGTTTTAGAATGTTGGATTATTTGATTGTTTGATTATTTGATTGTTGTTAGCCGCCCTGAGCCTGGCTTTGGCTGGGGAGGGCGGGATATAAATAAAATTTATTATTATTATTATTATTATTATTAAGACAAAAAGAGCCACTTGGACCCATTTCTGAAGGGAAAAAAACTGGGAGCCGCAAAACCATTGCGACATTTAAAACAAATATAACACTGCATATATTGTTTCTTACCTTAATGTCCGATCTGACAGTGGGCGGGAAGGTGACGTCGGGACGGTGCGTGACTAACACACACACCGCCCCCATGAGACGTCACAGCCAGTACAGGGCCCGCCACAGTGGGGAGTGTCGAGGCGCACAATGCGCCTCCTCCCCTCGCTAGTATCCGCCCCGGAGCCGCGGCAAAGGTGTAAAAGAGCCACATGCGGCTCCGGAGCCGCGGGTTGCAGACCCCTGTTTTAGGGGATGCAGCTCTGTTGCACAAGGGTGCCAAATCTGCTTTTTAACTGCACAAGCTGAATTAGTTGATAGGTGGTTGACTCCCACCCAGAAATAATGGCAGCCCGAAATCACCCCAAGACACAGAAGTCCTGTGCAGAGGAAGGATGCTAACTGATTTTCTTTATCCATCTCAATTGGGGTTTAAGCCTGGTTTTGGTACAGATACTGCTCTGGTCATCCTGTATGATGACCTCTGTCAAGAGAGAAATAGGGGAAATGTGTTCTTGTAAATTCTTCTCAGTCTTTCAATACTATCTCCCATAGTATCCTTCTGGAGCGGCTGTCCAAACTAGGAGTGGGTGGCACTGCTTTGCGGTGATGCTTAGGGGGTGCTCTTCAGCTCCATGGAACCATCAATGTGGACTTCCTTGGGGTTCAATTTCATCTCCTATGCTGTTTAACATCTACTTGAAACCACCGAGTAGGATCATCCTGAAACAGTTCAGGACCACAATACCTCCCCCCATACAAAGCAACCGAGATCCTGCAATCATCCTTTTGTGCCTCCTCCATGAGAGATCTGGAGGGAGGCAACACGAGAACGGGCCTTTCCTGCAATGGCCCCCCGCTTGTGGAATGCTCTCCCTAGGGAGGCTTGCCTGGTTCCTTTGTTACATATCTTTTGGTTCCAAGCAAAAACATTTTTCTTCTCTTAGGCCTTTTGCTAATTAAACAAAATTCATGGCCTTTTAAACGGAGGGGGTGTTTGTTATTATGGTTTTTTTATGTTATTATCAATTTTAATATATTAGTAAATACGTTTCTCATTTTCTACAGAGAAAAGAAAAGCAGTTATGGATATTCTGTGCAAACTAAATCTAGAAAAGCATAAAAGCAAAGCACTCTCCCTCCAAGAAGTCCTGAAAATAGGTTCAGGGAGCTTGAAGGAATTCACCCCTCAAACCTGGGAAGATTTACCTTGGCATTTTCTGAGGAAGATATTGGCTCTGAATGTGACAGCCAGGAGCACCAGCTTCAAACAAGTTGTTTCTGATGATCAAGTACTTAGAAGAAATGAGGGGAATGAGAGGATTGATAAGGACATTTTTGTTACTCTTGAAATGGGTGAGAGTCATTCTGTGAACCCCCTTGATGTCCTTTGTGCTGTTCTGCTTTGTTCTGACAGTTTCCTCCAACAGGAGATCCTCCTCAAAATGTCCATGTGCCAGTTTGCCCTGCCTTTGATTCTGCCTCCCCTCAAGACCTCCAAGTGCACCCTGATGCTCTGGGCCATGAGGGACATTGTGAAAAAATGGAGGCCCCATTCCTTGGCTGAAAGCAGAGGCTTTAGGGAGGACAGCCTGGTATTGACATCCATGCCAACTGTTTCCTTCGTACGAATGGGAAACTGCAACATATCTAAATCCAAAGTCCTCAACGAGTTCCTCAGCCCTTCTCAGCAGCATAATGATTTCTTTCTACACCGAGATATGGAGTGTGGGAACGTCCCTCGGGAAATTGCTGATGGGCTTGTAGAGATTGCCTGGTATTTCCCAGGAGGACGGACGAACACAGATCTCTTCCCAGAGCCAGTTGCTGTTGCAAATCTCCGTGGAGATGTTGAGTCTCACTGGGTGCAGTTCAGCTTTTTAACGCAGGTCTCCTCAGCTGTGTTCATATTTGCTGAATGCATTGGCGAGAGAGAATATACTCTCTTGTCATCACTGAAGGACTTGTCAACTCAGTTCTACTTTATCTTGGAAGGTCGCAGTAAAAAATCTGATTGTACCTTGGAGTTCTTAAATAAACTGGCACCAGTGATTAAACTTGACAATTCACATATATTGGTAAAGAATGCCACAATGAATAAAGCAGTATTTGTAGAACTCCTTCGAGCTGCAGTTGGAAAAATAATAGCCTCAAATCCTAAGTGTGTAAGTATTGATAAGATGTGTACAACAGCCCATGAACTTAAAATCCAGGTGGATGAAGACCACAAAGAATGTCAGGATGCCCTCAGATGTGCCACAGAAATTTCAGGAGAGATAAAAGATGTAGCGGTTTACAAAAAAGAAACACTGATACTCCAAGGTGATCTCTGGAAAAATCTGGCCAAAGTGGAGAAAGAACTATGCAGAATGGAAAGACAAGGGGACATGCCTTCGGAAAAATACAGATCAGAATTGAGAGGCAGATGGTTGGAACTGCGTAGGCAGCAGAGTCAATGTGATCTCACCATTGGTTTGATTAATTTCATCCACGGCATAAAAAATTTGAAGGATGCAGAGAGGAATTACTTCTTGAAATGGATGAAGTTCAACCTGGACCATATTGCTAGGGGAAATCTTTCCAAGTTACGTGCTGACTATAAAGAGAAATGCAAGACGTTAGGAGATGATGGGCGGAAGATTGCAGAGGTAGACCAGTTGATCTCATCCTCTTCCTTGGGAGTTGAGCATTTCATGCGTGAGCTGGGGCAGTTCTATGAGGCAGAATGCTCAATGGTTAATGAGGGCAAAATAGCTAAAAACAATAGACAGTTTGCCCATTTCCCAAGCATTGCAGCTGAACTACTGCTGGAAGGGTTTCCCCTGGAGCTCATTGATGGTGATGCATCCAATATCCCCCTGCAGTGGATAACTGATGTTCTGAATAAACTCAATAACAAACTTAGGGGACAATCCAAGATGATGGTGATAACCGTTCTGGGGGTGCAGAGCACTGGGAAATCGACCCTTCTGAACACCATGTTTGGCCTGCAGTTTGCTGTCAGCAGTGGGAGGTGCACACGAGGTGCCTTCATGACGCTTCTTAACGTCTCAGAGAATTTGGTTCAGGATCTTGGCTGTGACTTCATCCTGGTAATAGACACAGAGGGCTTGAAAGCCCCTGAACTGGCCAAAATGGAAGACAGCTATCAGCATGACAATGAGTTGGCCACTCTAGTGATTGGGCTGAGCGACATCACCATTGTCAACATGGCCATGGAGAATGCCACCGAAATGAAGGACATCCTGCAAATTGTGACCCATGCCTTCCTCAGGATGGAGAGGATTGGGCAAAAACCCAACTGCCAGTTTGTTCATCAGAACGTCAGTGATGTTTCTGCACATGACCAAAACATGAGGGACAGGAAGCATCTTTTGGAACAGCTGAATGAAATGACCCAGGCTGCAGCAAAAATGGAAAAACTCAATAGGGATATCAAGTTTTCAGACATCATGGACTACGACCCAGAAATGCACAATTGGTACATCCCAGGTCTTTGGCATGGAGTCCCACCCATGGCCCCAGTTAACATGGGATACAGTGAAAAAGTCCTTGAATTAAAGAAGTACATATTTGAATTCATAAAGAACCGCTCATGTAAAATACCTCCCAAGGACATCCCTCAGTTTATTGAATGGGTGAAAAGTCTGTGGAATGCTGTGAAACATGAGAACTTCATCTTCAGCTTCCGAAACAGCCTCATAGCAGAAGCTTATAACCAGATCTCCATGAAATATTCTGAATGGGACTGGCATTTTCGCAGAGAGATGCACCTCTGGGTGTCTGAACAGGAAGCGTCAATACAGAATGCTTCTCCCGATGAATTTGATAAAGGCAGTTTTAAAAATGAGCTTTATCAGCAGCTGTTGGCTGGAGAAGAGCAAATTTTGGAGAATTTGAAGCAATGCTTTGAAAGCAGAGCAGCAAATCTGCATTTGGTAGAAAGGTACAGAGAAGATTTTGTCCGCAGTGCTCACAGCCTCAAGCAGGAACTGGAAAGTTATTCTTACAACAAATGTCAGGAAGCTGTTCGCATTAAAAAGGGGCTTCACAAGATTCACTCTCTACAAACTGAATACTTGAATATAATTGAAGGAAAGGTTGATGGGCTACTTAAAAAATGCCGGGAAAATGAAGATAGGATTGAAGATCAAGAACTGAAAAAAGAGTTTGAAAGAATGTGGATGGAAACATTGTCAGAAATATCACCTGTTCCCTTAGAGAAACGACAAATATATGAAGAGGTTGACTTATATTTGAGAAGGGAATTGTTACATCGAGGATGCCCAGTCAATGTAAAATTACAGGAAGCAAAATCTTTGTTAAGCTACAGAATGAATACTTTTCAAATGAAATCTGAATATATGGATTCAACATGGTGGCGCCGTGTGAAACGCTACTTTGCTAAAAAGGAGTGTTTGCATGAGATAGAAGAACTTGCTAACTCCTTGATGGCTAAATGCAGTTCCTACATTTGTAAAAAGGTTGATTCCAAAGGAGACTATGATGATACATATTGTGGTGAACTTTTACAGATTATCAATGAAATGCTTCAACAGTCTGATGCTCAGAAACTTCCCATAACAACACGGTTTGAAGTAGATCTAAAGCTGCACATTTTGGGGGAAGCAGCTCATGAATTTCAAAAGATGCATGAAGAGTTTATTAAGGAAAATGATCCCTATATACGCTTAGAGAAACTGAAGCCTCATTATTTCTCAATTTTCAGAGATCTTTATCTGGAAAAAGATGCCCAGCAAACCAGAGCCAAGAATTTCTGTGACCAGTGTCTCCATCCTGCCCTTGTGAGTTATATCAACAAAAGACTTGGGATAGAAATAGTAGATGATATTCTCAACAGTGCACAGTCCATTGGGTATGCCAGTCGGAGCTTCTTCCAGTTCACTGTCCTGAAGGAACTGTTGGAAGAGGGTAATGTCGACAGTTACGTAAAATACATCAGGGCTTATGAAACGTTTGTCAAAAACTGGATCCAGAAACAAATTTTGGATTACTATGCAGAGAATGAGGGTCTGAAGAAACTGGAGGGAGAGATTCTCTCTGCAATAGTAAAGAAAATTATAGAAACACTGGAAAAATTAAAGCATCAAGATATTGAGACAGTCTCAGAATTTTTGGACAGTTTTTGCAGAGAAATGCAGAAGGAGTTAATAATTTCTAAGGGCAGTCTGTTAGGGGTACAGTTTAAGAATGCAACGGATCCTGCACAGTTTTCTGCTTATGTTGAAAACTTCCTTGCCGATTTGCAACAGCAAATAATATTCGAATGTGATATCCTGGATCTCCAGTCTAAACTCTCCAAACTGCCTGTGAGCCCGCAGGATGAGATCTTCAAGCGGGTGTTTGGCTGTGGGAAGCAGTGTCCTTTCTGCAAAGTCCCCTGTGAAGCTGGAGGGAGTGCTCATCAAGAGCATTTTGCAACTGTCCATCGGCCTAAAGGACTGGGAGCATACAGAGAAATAGTGTCAGAAAAGCTTGTTTATGGTATCTGTTCCACTGCTGTGGCTTCCAACGCTGAGTTCAAAAATCAGGACACAAATTGGGAACTCTATCCATACAAAGATTATCGTTCATATTATCCAGACTGGTGCATCCAACCAGATCCCAGTATCAATGCTTCAGATTACTGGAAGTTTGTTTTGAACAAATATAACCATGATTTTGCAAGAATATATGAAGCTAAACCAGCTGATCTGCCAGAGGACTGGAAAAACATTACTGAAGAACAAGCACTGAAGGCCTTAAAGGACATTTATAATATGAAGTGAGCATTCTTAGCAGAAGAGAAACCTGGATCTTCTTCCCATGAAAGCATTCCACAAAGTATGCCAATCTTAATAACACAGAAAAGGCCCCTTGAAAATTAAAATGGATCTCTTTGAAGGACCCCTAACACTGATTGATAGGGCAAATAGGGTTCTGCATCCCTAAGTCCCTGGCTGGATTTCCATTTATTTCACTGTGCCTTATGTTTTGTGCCACATACCTTTATCACTGTGTTCATCTTCTGCATTCAGGTGCACGTTTATCCAATCTCATTTTTCTTCTCTTTCCCGATTGTTCTTAATCCAGAGCATATTATTTATCCTGAGCAGCAATCTTTCCTCTTCCCCTCCATTGTATTAAAATACTGCTGCTAACTTGGAATTTGAAATTCACCAGGTGATGGCAGCAGTACAGCTCACCCCCAACTCAGACTTGCTCATAGTGGGGGTTCTACAGATGGTAACCTTGCTTCCCTTCCTGTTTATTATTATTACTCTCTCAGTTATCACGATAATTTCATGTAATTGTCTACAGGAATGCAATGTATTCTGTAATGCACTACCTTGCAATGAAAGCAATATTAATAAACATATATTTTAAAAGTTCTACCACTTTAAAAAATCCATTAGTCTTCAACTTCTCTCTGGAGAAGTTTTCAGGACAAAATAAAAAAAAAATCCTTCCAATAGCACCTTAGAGACCAAAATCATAGCTGTCAACTTACAGATTTGAAAATAAGTTACCAGCAGCCTCGAAAATAAGGGATCAGGAGCCAAAATAAGGGATTTTAGACAACCAGCAGCCAAACGAAGCCTCAAGCGGTGGTTCCCATGTTGTGACTAGCATGAAGTGGGGGCTGCCCAGCTCCCCTCATTCCCCGCAAGCCTTCCTTTCACCGTGCCCTCCGCCTCTCGCTTCTTCCCCGCTCGCTCATCTCTCCCCACCACACTTCCTAGGGAGGAAGAGAGGAAGGGAACGGTCTCTCCAGCTCCGCAGCCGAGCCGAGGACAGCTGCACCCCCGCCGGGAGAGGCAAGGCGAGAGGGCAGGGAGGACATTGGGCCTGTGTTGCTAACCCCCTCGTTCCCCGGCGGGATGGAGACTGCTGCTCCTCCCGCCTCAGTTTTCTTTCGACGACGCACGGCCTGTTGAGTTTTTCTTGGAATCTGATAGCGCCCTGAGCGCGCAGAGGCAGCGGGAAAGGGCTTGGGGGGGGGGGAGACGGATGCCGCGGAGCAGCGCGCGGCTGCGGGGTGTAGTTGTTGTTGCTGCTGCCGGCGGCGGCGGCGGCGGCGAGGAGAAGGGTCGGAGAGGCTCAACTCTCAACTCCCAACTCAGACTTGCTCATAGTGGGGGTTCTACACATGGTAACCTTGCTTCCCTTCCTGTTTATTATTATTACTCTCTCAGTTATCATGATAATTTCATGTAATTGTCTACAGGAATGCAATGTATTCTGTAATGCATTACCTTGCAATGAAAACAATATTAATAAACATATATTTTAAAAGTTCTACCACTTTAAAAAATCCATTAGTCTTCAACTTCTCTCTGGAAGAACAGACTGTTTTCAGGGACAAAATAAAAATATTCCTTCCAGTTGCACCTTAGAGACCAACTAAGTGTTTTCAGGGAGACACACAAGTCCTTTTCAGAATGCCTTGATTGGTTGGGTGATGAGAAATTCAGGATGGTTGATCTACTGATGTACCACTCTAGATCCTTCCATGGTTCCTTCCAAGTCTCCTAGTTAAGGACATTTATCTTCACTTCTACAGAACTGCAACAAGCAATACAGATGCAAGAGTTCAGAATTTTAAATGGACAAAGAAACAAAAGGTTTAGAGATCTTCGAAATGCAGGCAGACGTCATCCAGGTGTATATCCCTTTGCAGACTGTGGGTTTAACCACATGGGCATTTAATGTGTATTTTAAGCTGGATGTGTCTCAGTTCTTTGGGTGTTGTCCACTTGAGGTTCTACCTCTCCAACAGCTTTTTCCACAGTAAATTATTTTCTTCCCAAATCAGGGGAAATCCAGTAAGGGAAGTGTATCAAATATAAAATTGTTGCCTGACTGTGAATATCACAGAGTTCATTGTGTGGGCGGGTGGTTTCTGGTGACATTTTTTGTGGCGCCATTTATCTCTCTGCTCTCTAGGTCCGTTGTGCTTTCTTGTGAGCTACATATCATAGAATTGTGAGGATCCTCTAGTGTCTAGTCCAACCTATGCAGCTGTCCCACACAGGGATCAAACCTGCAACTGTGGCATTATCGGCACCATACTCTTTACCAACTGAGCTATCCAGGCTCAGTTAGTATATGCTGACAAGTCCTCACTCCTGTCAGCAGTCATGTGGCAGCATCCTGCACTAACTGCAGCCTCTGGATAAAGTGTGAGGGATGCCCCACATCCATCATCATCATCAACAACAACAACAACAACAATAATAATATATTTATAGTTCCACAGCCACTAAACAGGGCTGCCTTCAGATGTCTTCTAAAAGTCAGATAGTTGTTTATTTCTATGACATCGGATGGGAGGGTGTTCCACAGGGTGGGCACCACTACCGAGAAGGCCTCTGCCTGGTTCCCTGTAACATCACTTCTTGCAGAGTGTAGAGTGCATTGCAGTAACCCAGTCTTGGAAGTTACCAATGCATGAACTACTGTGGCAAGGTTTTCCGGTACAGAAATGGCTGTAGCTGTTGAACCGGCCACAGTTGGTAAAGGCATTTCCAGCCACTGAGGCTACCTGAGCCTCCAGTGACAGAGCTGGATGGAGAAGCACCTCCAAACTGTGAACCTGCTCCTTCAGCGGAAGTGCACCATCATCCAGGGTAGGCAGCAGACAAATTTCTCAGGCGCAGGAGCTATTCACTCTGTCTTTCCAGGATTCAAGCTGAGCTTGTTTTCCTTAACCATTTAACCACTGTGTCCAGACAATAACCCAGACACTGAGCAGCCTCTCAGATGTTCAGATATTTTGGAGAAATAGAGCTGAGTGCCTTCAGCATACTGATGGCACCTCGGCCCGAAAATCCTAATGCCCACTCCCAGCAGCTTCATGTAGATATTAAATAGCACTAGATATAAGATAGGGGCCCCTGTGGCACCCCATACCGTAGCTGCCAGGGGGTCGAAAGGCACTCGCCCAATGCTACTCTCTGGCTCGGTCCTGGCAGTAGGCTTGGAACTATGGTAATACAGTGTCCCCGATTCTCATTCCCCAGGAGGAAATCATGGTTGATGGTGTCAAAAGCCAGCAAGTGATCAGGAAGCAGGAGCAAGGTATCACTTCTGCTGTGTCACTCTCCGCAAAGCTCATTCGTCAGGGTGGCCAAGACCCACTTGGGGGCTCATCCACATTTCTGCTTGTGCCATGATTAAACAGCACAGGTTTAAGCAGTTTTCCACTTGACCAGTGCTTTCTAGGCATGGAGCCAAGTGGTTTCCCACTTGGCGCACTCCTTTCAAAGGGCAAGCCCCCTTTAGGTAGCGATAGAACAAATAGCAATCCAGGGAACACTCAAATTTCCATTTGCTCCGATTTGAGCGCTAAAAAGAGGTTTTCCCCAGGGGAGAGCTGCAGGAGAAAAGCAAGTGTGGATAAGCTCTCAGTTCTCTAGTCAGGACTGAACCCATATTGGAAAGGATCTCCGTAATCCATATCCTTCAAGAATGCTTGCAGCTGCTCCACTACAGCCCGCTCCACCACCTCCCCCCAAAACGGGATATTTGCAACTTGCTGGTTCCATTCCAAACCATGGCTGTCCTCATCTCTCGTTCAGGGAATGCAAAAGAGACAGTGTCGACACCAGTGAGTATCGTCTGATTCATTTTGGAGGCTCTTGCAATTTAGGGTGTCTATCTTAAATCACTTTTCAGTTATGATTATTATTTATTGAATTTATATACCACCCTATACCTGTAGGTCTCAGTGTGGTTCACAGAACAAAATAAAAATAAAAGGAGGGCCTCAGAAGGTGAATGAATGAATTTTATTATTACAGTCACAGACCAGTTCCGGCTCACTTACAATATCAGGAAAATCATAAAACACGACAGGAATACATTGCATTGCAATTGGGTATAACAGAGACAATTCGGATACAGCGGCAGTTAAAAATATATATTAAAACTTGTTCATTAAAATATAACCTAAAATTGTCATTTAAACCCTTAATCGTTTTGGTAATACAGCTTGTTCCCTAAGTTTTATGGCAGTCGCACAGAATTTGGCCACCCTTAGCGTGATCTCTAGATCCTTGTCCTCTACCAGGAGTTTTAGACATTGAAGTTTGGACCCATTTGGAGATTTTGTATAACAGGAGTGATAAATACTGAGCTTATATCCCCATAGAAACGGCAGCGTAACAATACATGAGAGACAGTTTCTACCTCCATCAAGCTGCAGGGGCAGACTTGTTCCACATATGGTTTACCCTCGAATCTGCCCTGCAATAAGGCAGATGGCAGCACATTGAATCTAGCGAGGGTAAATGAACGTCTGTATTTGGGTATTTGTAATTGTGGGTATTTGTAATTTTGACAAATAATTTGCTGGGGTAAATCCTCTTCAATTATCTTTTATAGCTGGGTGTTCATCTCGCTCATGTGGCTTGGCAGTTCCACATCCCAAATTCGTTGGTGGATTATTGCTCTAGCTTTCTCATAACCTACAGCTATCAGGACCTGTGGGGAAAACCCCAAGGTAATATAGAAGTTGAATAAAGTAGGTGCAAGGACGCAGCCTTGTTTAACACCATGGGAGGTTTGGATTTCCTTGGATAAACTCAGAAGGTGATCTCAGGGTCCGGGTAGGTTCATATGGAAAGAGGCGGGCTTTGAGGTATTGCGGTCCTGAGCCGTTAAGGCTTTATAGGTCAAAACCAGCACTTTGAATTGGGCCCAGACATTAACTGGTAGCCAGTGCGGTCAGACCAGCATTGGTGTAATAAGTTCAAACTGTCTTGCTCCAGTGAGCAACTAGATGGGAGGTAGATATTTGCAGCCCAGCATTTTGAATGGAGGGCTTAAAAACCTCAGAGCTTCTTAATTGCTAGAGAAGGCTCTGCGAGGTTACTTACCCTCTCCTCCTGAGAGGAAGTAAAGCTTTCTTCCAATTCCTCTCTTTCTTTGTCTCTCTCTCCTTTGTGGAACACGTGTCTGAGCTCCTCCCTGAACCCAGACTCCATTTTGGAACTGGCTTTGTAATTTTGTACTCAGTTAATTTGTCTACCTGCATTGCTTTTGCTGTGGCGCTCAGATCTATGACTAAGACCTTGTATTATGGAAGTAGTAAACCTTTTAAAACTTATGCAACATGTGGTCCAATTCATTGCCAGAGCGGTAGAGATGGGAGAGCACATTGTCAGTGCCTAATACTGGGATATTTAAAAGGCCTAGCAACCTAAATTTCCTGTGCTTTGCAAACGCAGATACATAATTGAACAAGTTTCTGCATGCTTTTTAAACTACCACTTCCACCCTCATGACTCGCATGAAAAGAGGATCAGAATCAATCTCCCTCCATTTGCAGAGGGCTGAGGAAAATGACAGTCCTTTCCCCTTAACTCATAGTGAGTTCCATGAGACGGCATTCCTTTTTCCTTACTCCTTCCCGGTGAGGGCAAGGAGCCTCTGTGCCTCGTTTCTGCAGTTGATGGCTCTGAGGACCTCGGCCGTCACCTGCACAGCATAATCTTCCAGGTAGAAACTCAGAAGGTGGTGGCTTAAGTCCACCACATCTGCCTTCTCCAGTGTCCCTAGGGGGATGTTGTCATAGCCCTCCCTGAGGGGGAACTTGTTGAGCTTGAGCTTGAATTTCTTGAGTTCATCCTCCCACAAGTTCTCCAGCGTGGACATCAGGCAGTCTGCGATGGTCTTCTCCACTGCCCTGCAATGTCACCCCCAGCAGCAAGGAAAAGCAGACACAAAACAAGAGAAGCTCAGCAAATGGACCTGGGAATGAGGCAGATCATTGGAAGATACTGCCAACTTCCACAACAAGGAATGACACTGAGGGGAAGAGGTTGGCTGCTACATGGAGCCAAAATGGGATAAAGGAGGTCAAATGACCTGTATTTCAACGTTCCACTGCTGCCTGACCATTCTAGCACTGGGAGAGCTGAGAAGCAGAATTCCCTTCATCAGCTCTGCTGTGAAAGGCCCGCTCCATCGTGCATGTTATGTTTTGCTGGAAGCCGCCCAGAGTGGCTGGGGCAACCCAGCCAGATGGGTGGGGTAAAAGTAATACAATGGTACCTTGCGATAAGAACTGAATTCGTTCTGGAGGCCCGTTCTTAACCTGAAACTGTTCTTAACCTGAGGTACCATTTTAGCTAATGGGGCCTCCTGCTGCCGCCGCATCGCCACCAAACGATATCTGTTCTCATCCTGAAGCAAAGTTCTTAACCCGAGGTACTATTTCTGGGTTAGCGGAGTCTGTAACCTGAAGCGTCTGTAACCTGAAGCGTCTGTAACCTGAAGCGTCTGTAACCCGAGGTACCACTGTATATTATTATTATTATTGGTCTTTACTTTGCAACTGGGGCTCTCTCCTAGTGGAGTGTGTGTTCAGCCCCAGCTTTTTAATCTAGATACCCAGGAATTTTCCTCTTGTTAATTCCCGCACGCACACAGGTCACAGGAATTAATATATTTTCCCATCTCCTTCAAGAGAAATGGGTTAATCCCTACCTGCCTTCTGCATCACGGCCTGAGTCAGTTCTCTGGGATGGTGTATGGGGCAATGAGTAGCCACAATCACCTGGAAAGGAGAGAGAGGGGGGAGGATATGAATGAAGCAAGCAGAAACTATAAGAAATTGATGACGATGGGAGATGAGTTATTGGGAGCCCATGCACTGGATTCCTCTGGCATGTCTAGATAGCTGAGTTCAGCCAAACTTTAAAAACCTAGGTGTTTTTAAAGATCTTGATCAGGCAGCAAAGAACATGATGAAACCAGGTCAGCTTGTCTAGGAAGGCTCTTCCATGACATTACAAATGTTACTTTTTATTATTATTCTGCCATGTGTGTAGCGCTGTATCACCAGTTGCTCTGTGCCACCTTGGGAGGGAGGTGGGATATAAATACAGGGAAATAAAACTTGCTTACCTTGTACTGGGAGTAGAATAGAGGAATTCATCTGACCTGGATCTAACTCTTCTGCAAGAGAACAGGAAAGAGGCAGTCAAAGAGGGACTGTGACTGGGATGCTCTTTGCCGTCCTGCCTCCCAACCTACAGTCCAACCTTGTGATCTTCCCTCGGTCAAAACACACCTTGTTTCACATGGGCCTTCCAGATGAGCTTATTTGTGCGCTTCTCCACCAGCGTGAAGATGAACTTCTCTTGCATTTGCTCAGCAGACAGCTCCACGTACTGCTGCAGCTTCTCAGCATCCAGGTATTGAAACTTCACTTCCTGCGGGGAAAGCGAGAAACCACTGTAGGTGTGAATGTGGCTTAGCCCCGCCCATGATTCCAAGAAAGTCAAATTAAAGGGCAAGCAGGGGTCCTGCTTTAGTTCCTTCCCATTCTCATGCATCACAGCTTAGCTCTGCACTGACAGAATTTTTCATCATCTTTTGTCTCACCTCAGGCCAGATTGTGACGTCGTCTAAGGTCTGCACAAAGACGGGAGTGCCAATCTTCAGACTTTTCAGGGTCCCAGGGGGTTTCTCTATTCTCCGTGAATGGCAATTTGCTTCATGCTCATCCACAGCCTGGGAAGGGCAAACAAGGTCACTTTTGAGACATGCAAAGAAGGCAGCAAGCTCCTACGATACTGGGTCCCTTTCAAATTGGGCATTTGGAGCAGAAGCTCAGCTCTTTTACTTGAAACCCCACAACTTTCTTGGCACAGTTACAGTAGATAAGGCAGGGATAGGAAATCTGCTGCCTTCCAGGTGTTGTTGGCTTTCCTTCAGCCCCAGCCAGCATGGGGCAAGGATGGTGGATGTTGTAGTCTAACAACACCTGAAAGGACACAGGTTCTCCATCCACAGGGCAAGGAAAACTAAACTGCTTTGGCACTAGAAACTATAATGGGGACAGGAGATTTATTGGCCACATGAGAAACTGAAGTTGGGGCTCTTGGATTGGCTACCTTGAACTGTGACACAGCAGAGAGCTACCAGCAACCCTGGGTCAGTCTCCTGATAAGACAATGCAGGAACCCACAGAAGGAATTATACTTCAATATTACTATGAAATATAAGGCAACATTTCTAGGAGCACTGAAATTGATAAGGCAAAATAACAGTGTGCTTTATCTCCAACATGCCAACATTGCAAACCAGGAGGGATGTTTTCCTCAAAGAGCTCATAAGTACAGTGGTACCTTGGTTTAAGAACAGTACTGGAAGTAGTGTCCTGGTTTGAGAACTTTACCTTGGTCTATGAACGGAATCTGAATGGTGGAAGATTGTGTGTGAGATTGTATGGGAAAAATATGGAATAACAGGTACAATCTTGCTTAAAATGTATATAGGAAGTGCAGTGTAAGCAATGGAAGTCAATCAATTACATTTTATTATTGAGATATTTGTAGAATAAATTTGGAGGAAATTCTTCCAATTTTTCTTCTTTTTCTCCTTATCTTTGCTTTTTCTTTTTTCTTTTGTTCCTTTTCTTCTTTTTTGTTATTTTTATATATATGTGTGCTTATCTAAAATATATATGTATGTATGTATTTACAATATTTTGCTTATATTTTGTAATAATTGTGTTAAATAAAATGTAAAAAATAAAATAAAATAAGGTCCCTTACAAATCTGAATAATAGGATTGATAACTAAAAAAAAAGGGGGGGGGAGCGTGTCCTGTTTTAAGAACGGTTTCAGTTTAAGAACGGACTTCCGGAATGGATTAAGTTCGTAAACCGAGGTACCACTGTACCAAGTCTTTTGCTAAATGAGCTAAGGGGAATTTGCTCTTCATGAAATGTGTTTTCTCTGAGGGAAGCCCCACTGGCTTCAGTGTAGCATAAATATATTCCATTTTCACAATTTGGCAACAACTGCTAACTGGTTCTCTAGGCAAGACCTTTAACCATTAACAAGGAGACTGCCAAACAAATGAAAATTGTTTATTTCAATATTGGAAAGTTCACTTTTAGTAAACACTGCTGTTGTTGGGAACCTTGTGAAAGGCAGCTGATAATCTCATTTCTGGTGGCATTTTCATGTCAGCTATAAGTTTGTGCTATAAGTGAGAGCTGGACCAAAAAGAAAGCTGATCGCTGAAGAATTGATGCCTTTGAATTATGGTGCTGGAGGAGACTCTTGAGAGTCCCATGGACTGCAAGAAGATCAAACCTCTCCATTCTGAAGGAAATCAGCCCTGAGTGCTCACTGGAAGGACAGATCCTGAAGCTGAGGACTAAACAAGAAGTTTGGTAAATTAGCTGAAGCCCAACTAAAGCAGTTCACTAACAATAGCACATCCTGGTGCATGATTTTTGCATTGTTATTGTGTCAGGATTAGCATGATCCAGGCAATCTGGAATGGAAATCAAACTTGGGGGTTCCCGCTTACCTTTATTAGGGAGGGGTCATTGGGTAAGAGGTATAGGTGGAATATTGGCATTTTCAATCGAAGTCTCTGATAGAGCCTTGCCACAGTGTTGATCTTTTGCTTAAACATCTTTTTGAAAACGATTCCAAGGGAAGAGAACTTGGGGTTTTCCAGCACAACGTGATGAGGCTCCACTCGGTCTGGCTTCTCCAGATTCATCTCCCCTCTGACAAAATGTGCAATGTAGACCCCGGAATGGTCTTCAGCTAAAAAGGAGCGCAAAGGAAGCATAGACAAATGTGTTACAAGTGTGGACTTGAGTCTGGGGGACAACAGGGCTGGCCCAGCACAATGTGCCACTGAGGTAAAACAGAAAGTGCCGTCCTCATGCTGTCTCCTCCCCAACCCCCATCTGACACGGCCTCCTCCCGTGTCCTCCTCTGCTGCTCCCCCCTGACAAAAGACAAGAAAAGGGGTTTAAAAAGGAGGTCAAAAAGAAGGCCTGCAGGGGGAGGAAGCCAGAGCAGGTAGCGGCATGGAGGAAGAGTCCCAAGCCTGTCACGCCTGAGGCAATGGTTTCACCTCCCTCATGGCTGGACTGAGTGACAAAATTCATCACTTCAGCCTGCCTGTTTCATGCAAGTATTTATGTTGTCATCATCATTCTTCTCAATTAAAGTTTGTTTATGTCATTTTATGGAACAATATCCTCTCAAGGCAGCTTGCAAACAAAATATGATAAACCACGGGAAACAATGGGAATAGCACAGTTAAAATATATAGTGGAACCTCAGTTGTCGAATGTAATCTGTTCCGGAAGACCGTTCAGCTTCTGAAACGTTTGACAACCGAGGCGCAATTGCCGGTCAGAAGAAATGTGAAAAAAATGGAGAAAAGTACTTCAGAAGCCGTTTGACTTCCAAGGTGCGTTTGAAAACAAGCATTCACTTCCGAAATGATCAACTTCCGAAGCGTTTGACAACCAAGGTTCCACTGTAACACAAAAATGATACAAGACACAGGAAAGCCAGCACTATTGAGCCATGGAACCCCATAGCATTCTTTTCTTCTCCTGTCCATGAAAGTTATTCCTGTTTAGGATCTCCTCTTACGGTTATACACTTGGAAGATTTCCTTCCCTCCGCCCTACCTGAAAGAGACAGGAAGTGAGGGATGTGAATGGCTGTCACAGCCTCCACTACATCCACTTGAATGTTGAGCAGAGGGCCAGCGACATGCAACTCCTCAGTGTTCTGTTCTTCCAGGAGCTTCAGCCACGAATCAAAGTAGTATGTTAAGGTCACAGCTTCTCTCACCTCACATATGAGATCCGTATCTAAACAAGAGAAGGAGCCAGCCTTTGTGGAGCTCACTCTGAATGGCACAAAGGGGAAGATGAAAGGGGAAGCGGATTGAACATGGATGAAGAGAACTTCTGCTGTTCTAATCAATTTTTCTTCAAGGAGACCCTTCATATGCCAAGTAAGGAGGTGAAAAGTTTAGGGAAGGAAATTGCCTGGGTAAACATCGCTCTCTTGCATTCAAGCATTTTGCCATAGAGAAACACTTTCACTAAGAGACGGCCTAATAAATAAAACACGTTTTCTTCCGATATGGGAAAGGTGACTTTTAAATGCTCAAGTGGGTACAAAGTAAACTTGTGAGTAGCTACTCACCTTGTTTTCACCAGTGTTTTGGTGTTTGTTAGCATTTCAGTGAAAATTCTCATAGCAAATATTCTGCAACATGTACCCCTTTTTGCTCTAAATACTGGACCTAGCCTCCCCCAAAACTTCTTTCAAGTAATTGGAAGAGACTCAGGTGTAAAAAAGTGGACCAGTCACCATTACATCTAGTTTGCCCCATAGTCAGCACTCCTGTTTGTTATTTGAATGGGTCAAGAGCTGGTGAAAAGCAGGATAGAATGCAGATGGGGAACATTTATTTATTTGATTTAGCTTCCTTACTTGCTCTTTTCCATAAGGACCCAGGGCAGGTTACAACAATGAAATATACAATTATGAAAACAAAACATTTAGAACCAAGAGGTAAGGAGAAGTATAAAATCAGTTAAAAAACAGTTCCATAGTTTAAAATATATATATATAAACATTTTTAAAATTCATATACAAAAGCATTTGAAAGTACTTCCAATGCAGGTGGAGACTGAGATGAAGATCTAAACTCTTTTTGGAGGAAGAAGGTCTTCAGAGCAACATCACCTGTCCAATGTATAATGGGAGAGGATTCCAAAGGGTCAGAATCCCAAAATTCAAATCACAGTTTCAACTGTTCCCTGACGTGAGAAATCCTTAAAAGATCCAAGAGAAATTTCACACACCTGTATTTTTGGTGACCCCCTTCTGAGTCCCAAACCATGTCTGGTTTGATTTTTTCTGGAAGCTCCTACAAGAAAATGGTAACCATTAGTGTGGAGGGCAGATCTCTTTTCCCATCTGAAAACAGGGTATTCTGACACCCCTGAGCTTGCCAATCGGAAGGTTGGCGGTTCGAATCCCCACGATGAGGTGAGCTCCCGTTGCTCAGTCCCTGCTCCTGCCAACCTAGCAGTTCGAAAGCAAGTAGATAAATAGATACCGCTCTGGCAGGAAGGTAAATGGTGTTTCCATGAGCTGCTCTGGTTTCACCAGAAGTGGCTTAGTCATGCTGGCCACATGACCTGGAAAAACTGTCTGCGGACAAACATCGGCTCCCTCGGCTAGTACAGCGAGATGAGCGCTGCAACCCCAGAGTCATCTGCAACTGGGTTTAACTGTCAGGGGTCCGTTACCTTTTTAATATGTGTGAGACTGCACATGCACACATCATGCCGAACCCAGAAGTGACTCAGAAATGCCATAAAAAACACATACCTACACTATAAAAAATAATTTACCGGTAAGTATCACCACACCACCCCTCCTCTCCCCGACCTTAAACTATACTCAACTCTAACGTCTCATAAAAAATGTAACGGATCTGCTGAAAAGACTGCTGAAAAAAACCCCATGTAAATGGGGAATTGTCTGCATAGGACTGCTGCAACTCACACAAACTCAACAACATTCACCCTCCTGATAAGTAAGGATAATGGAATAAGTGTTCAGGCATTTGGAGCCAAGATGCGCTCAGAGAATTAACTTCAGGAGGCTGACACCTGAAGTCTCACACAAGCTGAATGCACATCAATGGCCTATGTTTAAAGCACAGGAAACTGCAGGAGGATTACAGGGGGAGGATGACCACAGCATGTGGACCCTCTGTAAAATGGGTGCGAGGCGCACTGAACAGGAATCACAGCATGGAAAGTCCACTGCAATGCCGCTGGCAATTCTGCAGAAGTGTGATGATTTCTTAGCACCAGGAGCCACCTGTCTAGAGGCAGCCTTTGAAGCTGAACAGCAAGTTCATTAATTAATGTACACAATGAATTAGAAATTCAGATTCAGAACCTTTGCTTTAAAAGGTACCATTGGTGATGCAAATGATTAAAACTGCATCCTCTTACCTCACTGGAGCACCAGCTACCCCGGTCACTTTCCCCAGAACCGGCCAGGTTTTCCATCTTCATGCTTCCTCCTTCCTCTGCAAACAGGGGGGATTCTAACTGTAGCCCTGAGTGGCCAGAAGTCTGGACTGGATCTTGCCCCGAGCCTGTAAAAGAAATACAACTCTTTACCTGAATTTATTGTTGCAAGGAGGAAGGAGGAAATTGCATTGTCCTTGGACTCTAAGCCAAACTCACCACGTATTGCAAGCAGCAGATTCTGGATGGAACCCGGATGTTCCATTTCTACACATTCAAGGAACTGGCAACAAGCTTGCTCCCCCCTTCCCTGGATCATACGCAGCAATTTTTTACTGTTTTCATTGGAGTCTTCCTCTGCTTCCAGCAAGTCCCAGAATTCTTCCCGTGTGATAATATAGCGAGAGTATAACACATGTAAAAAGTTTCTTCCAAGAATTTCAATTAATTCTTTCCTTCCCTTGCAGATAATCTTCTTAGCAGAGATTACTCCTTCCAGGGGCCTGTCGCAGAAATGTTCCATTTGTTTTAGGCATCAGGAGAGGGGGAAAAAGCCTTAGAATCTGGTTAGGATACAAGCTGGGCCTGAGGTTCCCCACGCCTGGTCTCCTGCCCTTGCTGACCCTCTCGGCCATCTGCGATCTGACTCTCATCTGCCGCCCGGAAAACATGCTTAAATAATCCGTAATGAAAAGAAACTATGATGTGATTTGCCACCACTTTAATAACTGTCAAGTATATATCTAGTCTTTGTGGTCCACTTTGCATCTTTCTCCAGGTTGTACCCCACTGCCTGGCCTTAGTGACATTTTCTGCTTGCAAAGCATGACCAATGGCTGAGCATACAGAAGCTTGAACTGGCTGACAGGTTGCCCTCTGGCCTCGCACCCAAGATTTCTTCAAGGATGAGTCTCCCCACATTGACCAGGAAACTATTACTTATCATCCTTGTTTCTAGCTGCATCACCCTCCCAAGGAAATTGCTAATGTTGCCTCGTGCCAACTAACGTGAAATGCTGCCAGACAGGAGTCCTAGCCCTTTCTCTGTAAGCTGCCAAGCAAAATAGCAATGAACTTACCACACTTTTTCCTTTCCCACCTCTCTCTGCACTCTGTCCACATCAGCGGGCATGACCAGGTCATCTGCGAGTGGGAAAGATCCATAACAGTTGTTTATTCCCCCATAGTCTTATTTGTTTAATCCCCCCCCCCCAAAAAAAACATTTATTGGTGCGAAACTATTTATGTTCTTAATCTCCATCCAATACCCCAGGTGGGGGGGGGTGTCACACTGACTCCCCACCCCCACCCCAAATATATTTCCAGTGTGTATGGCAAGTGGGAGTGGAATTGAATGCAGAGTCCATATACAGTGTAATTTCTGTGTTGTCAAAGCAGGCTTGACTGCATCCAAACCGCACGACCAGAAGTTATTCAAAGGTGGCAGAATTTATCTATGCAGCAAATGTTGGCCCCTTCCAATTGAGTAAACAACACAATTTCTCCTCCTTGAATAAGCTATGGTTTTGATTTTCAATTTTAAGCGATATATATTTTAAAGTAAAACTGTTACAAAAAATATTGGGGGAGTTGTAAATTGTCTAGAAGAAACTATTTCAACTCACTGCACTGGAAATTTTTCAGAAATAACCTTTGTGGAAAATGCCATTTAATTTCCTGCCTCCCTCCTCTTCCTTTTTTTCACATAGTTTGGCTATTACAGTGGTACCTCAGGTTAAGAACTTAATTCGTTCTGGAGGTCTGTTCTTAACCTGAAACTGTTCTTAACCTGAAGCACCACTTTAGCTAATGGGGCCTCCTGCTGCCGCCGCACCGCCGGAGCATAATTTCTGTTTTCATCCTGAAGCAAAGTTCTTAACCTGAGGTACTATTTCTGGGTTAGTGGAGTCTGTAACCTGAAGCGTATGTAACCTGAAGTGTCTGTAACCCGAGGTACCACTGTATTGGCATAGGCAGACACCCTTAACGGTATTTTGTGCCCCCCAAAAGCATTGGGCTGGACACAACTCAATGCCACCTTGTAGAGGATGGTGAGCATATTATCTGAAGTGACCCTGAGGTTATTTTGGGGTACACATGTTCACTTCCTCTTTCTTTTTCTACATATTGAGGATATTTGGTGTGACCCAAAACTTCTTGCGGGTTTCAAATCACCACATAGCAATGAGCATTGTTCAAAACTGATGGCTGTTTATTCCCAAATTCCTTACCTTCCCTGTCTGCCTGCAGCTCACAGTTGATGGCTTTCAGAACTCTAGCCGTCACTTCCAAGGCATAATCCGGGCCATAGTAGACTGTTGGGATACTGCCAGGGAGATAAAGTCCATCATGGCCCCAAGCCGTCTGCCGGACGATCCATCGACCTCCCGTAGGCACGCAGTATCATCAACTAGCGACATGAGTTTCTAGAAGATTTCTTGCCACATTCCAGAGCTCATGCACACTCTATCAGCAGATAGTCACAGCAAAAGTTGCACCCAGGAGAGCATTATTTACAAGTTTATTCAGCGTTGATCAGAACACAGAAAAACATGACCGACTGCTTTAGTGTCTGCGACACCAGAGAGAAAACGAAAGCAACAGCAAACATAAACATCCTGTGAACAGGAAATACGCAGACTCTGACTCACAAAGCCTGCTCCCTTTTAAGGTGGAACGGAAATATCCTAACATCCTCCCCCTTTCCGTGTAACCTGTAGTACCTGTGGTTCAACCCAATTGCAACCTTTGTACATAAACCTTAAGTTGTTCTCTGTTAACAACCTTAGACAACAGATCAGCAGGAATTTCATTTCCTGGCATGTAGGACACCTGAATGAGTCCTTTCTGAATACACTCTCTTGCATGATGTAGCTTAATCTGCAAGTACTTGGTCCTTTGCTTGCAACTCTCTGAGTTCAGCAAAGCCAAACACGATCTATTGTCTTGATACACTTGTACAGGACATTTCACAGAAACTCCGATGTCCTTAAACAGTTGCATCAACCATTCACAATCCATGAGTGAAAATGACAGAGCATTGAGTTCTGCTTCACAGGAACTTAGGCTCACTGTCGTCTGCTTTTGCACAACCAGTCAAACAGGCAGTGGTTGTACATGTAGCATACTCCAGAAGTGCTTGTACCATCCGTGGTGTCACTTCCAAAACTTGCATCTGCAAAGATTTCAAGACCTCCAGTCTTCTGACTGGTGAACCTCAGCCTGTAGTGCATAGTCCCTTTCAGATAGCGGGCTATGCGCTTCAGAGCTTTCCAACCCTGAACAGTAGGATTGTTAGCATGTCTGCTAAGCAGGTTACAGCTTACAGCTATGTCAGGTCTTGAGCATCTAGCAATGAAATTCAACTTGCCTAGAATGCATCTGTACAGCGTTGTGTCAGAAAACGCTTCAGCAGTACTGTCTACCTGGTAACCTGTCACCATCGGTGTGTCTGCTGGGTTTGCATCAACCAAATTCAACCTGGTTAATACATCAGCAATTTTCTGTGTTTGGTGTACCAGAAAATTACCTGCTTGGTCCTTCTCCACCTGCAGAGAAAGATAGTTGGATACCTCACCAAGATCCTTCATGTCAAAGTGCTCCTTCAGCTGAGCTAGGGTGCTTTGGTAGAAAGCCTGATTCTTCCAAAACATCAGAAGATCATCAACAAAACATAAACAATACAGTTTGTTTTGCCCCTCCTCCTTGACAAACACACATGGATCAGCTTTGCCCTGGTGAAAACCTAGAGAAAGCAACGTCTCAGTGAGTTTCGTGTTCCAACACCTGGCACTCTGCTTGAGACCATATAAGGATTTCCGCAGTTTACAGACCATTCCCTTCTGTATCTGCATCCCATCAGGTGGAAGCATAAACAGCTCCTCCTCCAAAGTCCCGTACAAAAAAGCTGTATTAATGTCATGATGGGAAACATGCAGTTTCTCCTCCGCAGCTATCTTGAGCATCAGCCGAATGCTCTCATATTTGACGGTGGGTGAGTAGGTCTCGTGGTAATCCTGTCCTGGTACCTGTGAAAAACCTCTGGCAACCAATCTGGCTTTGTGTCTGACTACCTTGCCATTCTGGTCTGTCTTGGCCTTGAAGACCCATTTGCTGCCAACCAGTCTCATCCCTGGGACTATCGGTACCAACTCCCAAGTTTGGTTCCTATTCAAGGAATCAACTTCAGCCTTCATGGCATTAAGCCAAGGCTCAGCATCTTTAGAGGTTAACTCCTGAACCTCTTTGAAGCTTGAAGGTTCCCACACCTTCTCTGAACTACTAAGAACAGCATTTGCTGTCTTAGCAAACTCATCAGCAAATCTCTTTGGAGGTCTGCCCTTCGTGGCTCTCTCAGATCTGCGTACTAGACGCAAGTCTTCTGGACTCATCTCCTCCTTCTTAGGAGAAAAGTGACCAATGGTGAACAGTGGTTCTTCCAGTTCATTGTCAGACGCATCAGATGGTCTGACTGAGGCCTTTGCGCTCTTGTAGTCTGCTGTGTCATCACTATCACCGACATCAGCAGCAGCGCCGCCCACTGAACTGGAATCCGAACTCTGATCATCATTGTCATCATCATCATCCTCAGCAGCTTCCTCAGCTTTAGCTGCTTCTTTGACATCACCTTCATCCTCCTCTGGGTAACTCTGGAAAATTCCCACATTTTCCCCCCACTTAGGATTGTACTCAACACTCTTTGTGAACTTAATGGACTTAGAGTTGGTCATCCATACCCTGTATGCACCTTTTCGTACCCCATGAACAAACCATGTGCCCCACGCTTCCCAAGCTTGTTGCTTTGTGGGGTGTGTACCCACATGTCAGAACCAAAGATTCTCATGTGCTTGATGTTGGGTTTCTTACCAAACATCTTCTCATAGAGGTACAACCAATAGGTGATGACAATCTGCGATTATAAGTGTAAACAAACGAGTTCAAAGACTCCCCCAAAACTTCTCAGGAGATTGGCATCATGCAACAATGTTTTCAGTCCTTGCAGCAACGTTTGCTTTGCTTGCTCACAAATCTCCCATGGAGATCCAGGACTTGAGAGGCTATGCTGGATTCCCTTCTCAGTCAGGAAAGCTTCAAACTGCTGAGAAGTGAACTCCCCGCCTCGATCAGTAAACAGACAGCCAATGCGTTTACCATGAACATTGTCCAACCAAGCACAGAATGCCTTGAACTTAGGAAACGCTTGCGATTTCTGCTCGAGCATAAACACATGAATGTACCTGGAAAAAGAATCAATTAGAACCATGAAGTACCTTGCTCCACCCAAAGAGGGCGCAAGTGGACCAACCAGGTCTGCGTGCACTAGCTGGTAGGGTTTGGAAGCCTGCCTGCTAGACTCCTTGCCTTTTGGAGCAATCTTCACCTTGTTCTCTGCACAAGATACACATTTCATGTGAAACTTACAGGGTTTGATGTTCAAACCCTCAACCATCTCTGGCATCTTGGCCAGCGCCTGCCAAGACATGTGACAAAATCTTCTGTGTGCATCATGAATGCATCCTGCATGAAGAACTTTGTTAGTTTGTGCAACACAACAAGAATCAGCATTAGACACAACAGCACCATTGTCGTCATAAGTTATACAGAACAAGCCATCCATAAACTTTGCATGCAAAATGTCCTCTTTGCCTTTTCTGATGACACAGACGCTCCTCTTGAAGGAAATCTCAAAACCACGCCCAGTCAGCTGTGGGACACTGAGCAAATTGTCTGCAGCGCCTGGAACATACAGTACATCTTTGATGGTCGTGTGCAGACTTGCCAGTTTCACAGTCCCTTCTCCTGCGATTCGCAACGTCTTTCCATCAGCCAGGTGGATCTCACCTTCTTGAGGTTTGAAGGAGATAAATAGGTGGCGGTCTTTCGACACATGGCGGGTACAGCCTGAATCAATAACAAACCTGGCTGTGACCTTTGGAGCAGTTCTGGCAAGCAAAACCTTGTTTTCCACCGGCGTGGGCTTTTGCAGCTTGCCCCCCTGCTCCTGGCCATCAGACTTGCCTTTAGCCTTTGGTGAGGCTGTGCCAGTGCCAGCAAACAAAACCTTGTTTTCCACTGGCGTGGGCTCTTGCAGCTTGCCCCCCTGCTCCTGGCCATCAGACTTGCCTTTAGCCTTTGGTGAAGCTGTGCCAGCAAACAAAGCCTTGTTTTCCTCTGGCGTGGGCTCTTCACCCTCCCTCTGCTTCTGGCCATCTGCAGGCGTCTGCCTCTGTTTACCTTTGCCCTTCCGGCCTCTGCAAAGGCGATGACCTTGGCTCCCACGAGAAACAGAGCTCTCAGCTGCCGACTCCTTGGCTCCCCAGGAGGCTGGAATGCTGCCTGGGATGACGTGACAGTCAGCTCCCCCTGCAGCTTGCAACCGGTGCCCTCGGCATCCCTGCATTCACTCGCATTCTGGGAAACAGCCAGGACCTCCGATGCAGTCAAACTCTGGGCTGGGATGACTGGCAGATGGGCTATCTTCAAAGCATGCCACATCTTTCGTGCAGTCAGATTGCCAGCTAGCGTCTTTATTTCCTCCAGAGAGACGGACAAGACGATGACGTCAATCGCCTTCGAATTAGCAGCCCTCCATCTATCTGTCAGAGGAACTGGAGGGGCTTCAGACACAGTATGCCACACTCCAAACTGACGCAGCAAGCTCTCACACCACACAGCCCAGGTCCCATAATTGTGCCGATTTAACTTTGGGCACGCAGCAGCCTCAGAAGCCTGGAAAAACTCCATTCCAGGTTTCTACTTGAGCCGTGAATCTTATTCACTTCAGAGACGTCTTATCTCAGCAGCTCATTAATCTTGAGGCCTTTGGCGCGGCTCCCAGATCCATTAATCTGCCAGCCGGACATCAAAGCTCTTGCCGCGGCAAACAGAAAAGCCTTACTTTCGCTTTTCCTCCACATACCTTTCAGCAGTCTGTCGCAGTCTTACTCTCCTGTAAGTGCTGTGAATCTGGGCCCGAAACCTGTTGTTGGGATACTGCCAGGAGATAAAGTCCATCATGGCCCCAAGCCGTCTGCCGGACGATCCATCGACCTCCCGTAGGCACGCAGTATCATCAACTAGCGACATGAGTTTCTAGAAGATTTCTTGCCACATTCCAGAGCTCATGCACACTCTATCAGCAGATAGTCACAGCAAAAGTTTCACCCAGGAGAGCATTATTTACAAGTTTATTCAGCGTTGATCAGAACACAGAAAAACATGACCGACTGCTTTAGTGTCTGCGACACCAGAGAGAAAACGAAAGCAACAGCAAACATAAACATCCTGTGAACAGGAAATACGCAGACTCTGACTCACAAAGCCTGCTCCCTTTTAAGGTGGAACGGAAATATCCTAACATAGACAAGGAGCAGCTGGCTGAGGTGCGAAACAGTTGCTTCCTCCAGCAACTCCTTCGAAATATTCACAAAGCGCTTCTTGATGGGGAAATGGTGGAGTTTGCCCTTGAACTTCTTTAGCTCAGACTCCTTCAATATTTTCAGAGTGTTCAGTAGAAAGGTATGTGAAGGCCATGCTCTTCTCACTGTTTTGCATAATAATATTGATGGGGGCAAATCCAGTGAGCCCACCACATTTACCAACATAAAATACAGTATTTCCCCTTCCCCTTCCCTTCCTAGCAGTTTCAAAGTCATTCATTCAAGGTCGTCAGGCTGGGCTGACTGGGGGAGGGATGTGGCTGAGAGGCAGGCCACATGCTTTGCTTGCAGAAAGCCCCAGGTTCAATGCTGGACTAACTAGATGGACCAATTCAGATCTTAGATGGGAGCTTCTGGTGTTCCAGAGGGTCTGGGAAGGCCTGCAAGCTTTCTGAACTTATTATAGGCCTGTTGTTAAATATTTGCAGTGCTGAAACAGGAGCGGAATAAGACTCTGCCTTCTGCATAGGACAACCCGAACCCCAAGTCCAAAGGACTGAGGCAATTCCTTTCCTTCGTTTTTGCTGTTCTGTGTATCCTAAGGGTGTTGAAGGTATTTGTAATGCCTTAAGGAATAATAGTAACTCTTTACACAAGTCAGAGGTGCCAACTTGAATAAAACATTGGGGGAGGGGCAGGTAAGCCCCTCCCTGCATAATCAAGCACATGATGCTGTACACACACACACACACACACACACCATTTGAATGGCAATGCTCATCAAGTTGGGGGAAGAGGCCCCCCTCAAATATTTTATTGGGGGAGGGCGAAGCATGGGCGTAGCCAGGATTTACGGTATGTTAGGGGAGGGCAGGACTTTTGTTAGGGGGAGGGAGAACCGATCTATCTGTGACGCAATTGGTCAGTTAAGTATTTTTATTTATTGACTTGACTTGGCAGAGGTAGCTGCCCTCCTGCACCCCCCTGGTTATGCTTATGGCCAAAGACCTCTTTGGGCCCTTAGGTGGCTTCTGTGTACAGTGGTACCTCAGGTTAAGTACTTAATTCGTTCTGGAGGTCCGTTCTTAACCTAAAACTGTTCTTAACCTGAAGCACCACTTTAGCTAATGGGGCCTCCTGCTGCTGCTGCGACACCGCTGCACGATTTCTGTTCTCATCCTGAAGCAAAGTTCTTAACCTGAAGCATTATTTCTGGGTCAGTGGAGTCTGTAACCTGAAGCGTATGTAACCCAAGGTACCACTGTATCTGATTGCTATCAACAGGCTTTGCATATGAAGGCACGCACAGCCAAGAAATCTGCTGCCAGGGCAGACTCAACTCCTGCGACGATCGGGACGCACGCAGGTTTACCTGGCCTGGTGAAGGAGAGGACCAGGCTGCTCGCCTCGTCCTTGCCATCGATGTCCCTCGGTGCGTCGGCCATCCCGTCCAGGACGCAGTGTGGGAGCTGATCAAGAGGTCTGCAAGGCGCCAAGCATCGGCCTCCTCCAGGAGACTTTTCAGGGATATGGGCACAGCCTTTCAGGACAGGGATCCCACGGTTTGCCCGCAAACTTCTTCAGGTCACCCTCGCCCAGACCCGGCAGGGTTTTCAGCAGCCGGGCACATGAGGCCAAATCTACCCGAGGGCAACTGGGCAGCGGGAAGGGGCAAAACCGTAGCTAGTTGCTGGCCCCTTCCAGCAAAAGTCACGAGGCTGCAGAGGCTGCAGCATTGAAAAACAAGCAAGGGAGGAAGGAAGGAAGCGGGCGGGGATGCAGTCCTCAGAAAGCACCGTCGCTGCAGATTGGAAACAGGAACATACACCCACATCACAACACCTGCCTGATACGTCAGATTTTCACATGTGGTCTTTTTGATTAGTTAAAATAGCACTCCTATCATACTATTCAGAAGCTGCTCAACAACTTTCCCACAAGAGCCTCATTGCTCCCTTGATGACACGCAGCACAGCATACGATTGCAAGCCGTTGGAAGACTCTGATTCAGTGGTTGGGACATTTGCTTTGTATGCAGAAGGTCCCAGGTTCAACCCCTGGGGTCTCCAGCAAGGGATGGGACAGACTTTCTTGAAATCCTGGAGTCTCTGATACTCAGTGACAGCAACACAGAGAAAAAAAGACCCTGCCTTCTTCTGCAAAGGACAAAGTGAACCCCCAACTCCAAAGGGCTGTGAGCCAATTCCTTTCCACTATTTTGTAATGGAGGAGAGAGCAATTTAACCCACCCAGCCCAAACACTGTACAGTACTCAAGTTCCCTCTCTTAATCAGTCCTTAAAGGAAACATGCAGGCAGATGCTACATTCCTTTTGGGGTAGGGGAGGAAGTGCAACAGAAACAGTTTAGTAGAAGTCACGTGTTATCTCAGAACCCAGAGAGTGACGCTTAAAGTTTCACATATCACTTCCTCTGCTCCAGTTGTTTGCTAGCTGGAGCTGAGAAGTCCTTTTGCTGCTCCTACAGAGAAAAGAAGGTAGGTTCTATTCCTTTCTACCTGAGATGCAAAGCATACATCTTATGTGAATGCTTAGAGTTTGTGTACATTTCACAAACTCTTCCTTATTAAATTTCCAATTGTGATAAATCCTGCCCTACATTTGGGGTGATATTAGTACCCACTATGTGTCCAAATCAGTGGTCCCTTCAGTAGCAAATATATCTATCTATCTATCTATCTATCTATCTATCTATCTATCTATCTATCATCTATCTATCTATTTATCATCATCATCAAGCCTTTATTGGCATCACATACAAACATTCAGAATACAGTGGTACCTTGGGTTACATATGCTTCAGGTTACAGACTACGCTAACCCAGAAATAATACCTCGGGTTAAGATCTTTGCTTCAGGATGAGAACAGAAATCGTGCTCCGGCAGTGCAGCAGCAGCAGGACGCCCCATTTGCTAAAGTGGTGCTTCAGGTTAAGAACAGTTTCAGGTTAAGAACGGACCTCCAGAATGAATTAAGTACTTAATCCGAGGTACCACTGTAAATAGATAGTGCGATCTCGTCGCCATTACAACAATACAGTCATTTGCCAAAGGGAAGAAGAGGTGAGCAATCTATTTCATCTCTGTGGGTCACCATCAAGGGCAGGATCCTGTAGTGTACTTCGGGACAAAAAAATCAAATAGAGGAACTTAGCTACTGTCTTGGTGAGCTCCTAGTCTCTACCCTGTAATAAGAAGCATACAGCCTCGGTCTCTGGTTTCCATGTTGGTATACATAGATGGTCTAGAAATTGTTGATGGAGATCATCATACATTTTACATTTAAGGGCCATGTAAGCTAGAGTTTCCACCAGGTGGGCATCACATGGGCAGATCCTATCTCCTTCTGCCATACCCTCAGACCTACCCCAAAGGAGATGAGAAGGATTAGAATTGAACCTAGCCAGTGAAAAAGCCCTTCTTTCTTGCGAGTTAAACAAAAATTGTAAATAATTAAAGTTAAATTCCTGCGCCCAAGAGAGATGAAAATAAAGAGGGGGACATGTTTTTTCCGCAGCTGAGATTAGTTCCTGGCGATCTATGTCCCACAGCCTAGTTTTTAACATGGCCTTGGCGATTAGGATAGCCACAGCACCCAGGAGATTCTCTGAAAGCCCGAGTTGCCGTATCTTTGTGCAAAACAGTTGTAGCCCTGGGGAAGGGAAGGAGTCTGACAGAACTTCGCTAAGTAAAGTATCTTTGTCTGCTGAAAAACAAATGCTTAGCCAGCATAAAAGAAAACTCGTCCACGCAACTGTCTCTAGCTTATGTTTGCCTCCCTCTAAACACAGGGCTGCGTAAGTTACACAGCATGGGACAGCAAAAATCTTAAATAGAAAGGCTGCCTGGATTCGTTCCACTGACTGGGTAAACCCTGACATCCAGACTGAAATTCCATAGAGCAGTTGAGCTCTAACTTTAGCATTAAAAACCTTGAGGGCAGAAGGGATGTGTTGGTTACCTCTTGTTGCAAAGAGGCACGATATGGCCTGCTTAGACAGCTTGCTGGCATTTACCGCCCCTGCGCAGTGCGAAGACCACCGGAGCCTGTGATGGAAAGTGATCCCCAAATAGTTGAATTCAAATACCTGCTGGATGTGTTTCCCAGCAAAGACCCCCAAGACCATTATTTGCTTTTATCGAAGGTCATACTCACTTTCATTCTCGACAGATAGTCAATACAGGCATTTAACAAACGCTTTAAGTCGATTCTAGTCCGTGAGAGCAGAATCATATCATCTGCATATAGGAGAATGGGAATTTTTGATGCATTGAGTTTTGGGCTGTGAGCATCCACCAGTTTTAGTAGTGGGGCAAGGTCATTTAAGAAGAGATTAAAAAGAGAGGGAGCAAAAACACAGCCCTGTTTCACACCTCAGTTTAAAGCAACAGGGTCTGACACCTCGTCCCCTGGAGTTATTCTTATAGACAGGTATTATTTGAGTAAAGCTTTTTAATCAGATAAAGTAACCTGGGGTCTAAGCCCAGGGACTCCAGTTTGGACCATAACAGCCCCCTGTCGACTGAGTCAAAAGCAACCTGAAGATCTAAAAAGGCCACAAATAGGCCTTCTTTATGGTGCCGTGTGTATTTGGCAGCTAAATGGGATAGCACTATACAGTTACGTAAAGTGGATTTCCCTGGTCTAAACCCTGCCTGCTCTGGGCCTATGATGTTGTTCACGTCAAACCACGTAGTTAATTTGAATAATAGATGTTTTGTATACAATTTCCCAATATTTGGCAATAGGCTTATTGGTCGATAGTTGGAAGGTAACTTTTTGTCCCCCTTTTTAAAGATTGGGATAATTATGGATTTCTGCCATGAATTAGGCATAATTCCAGTTCTGTCCACCACAGTGAATAGTTCCGCTAGAATCGGAGCCCACCAGTCTGGCTTGGCTTTAATTAGTTCAGACGGGATGTCATCAGAGCCTGCGGCTTTGCCTAGTTTCATTGAGAAATTAAATTTTTGACTTCAGTAATGGAAACAGGGGGCCACTCAACCAGGGTCGAGGAAGGGGCAAGATCTTGGCTGTCTGATGGAATTCGATCGTCATAAAAGATCGCCTTAAAATGCTCTACCCAAAGCATAGATGGAATCAATGTCAGTCTTGAGTCTGTGGGGGTTCTGCAATAGCCTTCCAAAATTTCTTATGATCATTGGTAAGTATGGCTGAAAGCAGCGAGTCCCAGCAAGCCTGGTTGTGTCTTATCTGGCCAAGCTGGATAGACTCCCTAAGTTGCCTGGTTCTAACGAAATATGTATCAGGCAATCAGGAGCTGCCTGCCTCTCTACGCTCTCTGTAGATTCTCCTAACCTCTACTGTAATACCGTTGATTTCATTATCAGTCCACTCGCCGAACCCCTATTTCTATCTTTTTATCTTGTGGGGAACAACACAAAAGAGATTTTATATATATTTTTTGGAAATTGGTTGCATTGTGTTCTTCCTGTTTGAAAACCTATACAGGGCAATGAAAAACTGGTAGGCATAATCAGTATGGTTGCCAACTGATCATAAAAAAATGCTGTGTTCTGCGTCTTTTACTGAAGTTTTTGCTGCGCAGGAAGAGGCAGAGAAGCATTTCACAGCACAGAGTGAATCACCACTTCCTGTTAGTGGCAGATCCTCAGAAATTATTGAAAAGCATTAAAAATAGGGATCCCCCCCCCCAAAAAAAAGAATCCTGGCTACTCTCAGAGTGGCTGCCTGTCAGTACACTGCCCGGGATGCTCCTCTGCTGCTGGGGGGGGGGGGCAGCGACGAGACATGCAGGCGCGCTGGTGGAGAAAACCAGCATGGGCCATTGCAGCAGCCCTGTGTGGCCCCTACCTAGTGTGAGCAGCTTAGAGTGAAAAAAGGCAGAGAGGGTGAGCATGAGTTGCAGGAGGAGGAAAAAGGGAGGGAGGGAGGCAGGTAGAAGGCAGAAGGGAAAGCAGTGAGTGGGAGCAGGAAGGCAGGCAGGCAGATAGACAGATGGAGGAGGAGAGGCAGAACAGAGCACCCCTGACCCCAGTGGCCGAAGAGGAAGTCACTGGCAGAGAGTGAAAGGCAACAAAAAGAAAACATTTCTGGTCCATGGTCTATTCCAGCTTCGGAGGCGCCAATACAGCCCCTTGCCAAGGGCTCAAAAATGTCTGGCAGAAGAGGGGAGGGGGTTTTGTGGTGCAAGTGCTAAAAATCAAATTGCGCAAATTAAATTTGCTGCTAAGCGACTGAATCCCACCCTAAAATAGCACATCTGGAACCACCCACAGTTTCCAGCTGAAGTAGGAAAACAAAAATCTGATTTGGTATAAGACAACTTTTGAAAGCTGAACAGGTTCTTCTTAGGGGGGATGAAAAAATTATTTATTGAAATTCATTAATGTCATTACAGACATTCATCTCATCATAAACAATATTCCAAAAATTTTGGACCTTTCTGCATGTCCACCACATATGATAAAAATCTCCTATTTTTTCTCCACACTTCCAACACTTATTTGAACTATTTTTATACATTTTGGAGATTTTTGATGGTGTAAGGTACCACCGAAACTGCATTTTCATCATATTTTCTTTGATGGTGTAACATGCAGTAAAGTTCATGTTACCTGTTGTGTATTGAGTCAAAGGATTTTATATCTGTATTATTATTGTCTGTATTTGCATTAGGGTAAAGTAACTGCCTTTTGGTTCCAGAGGGTACAGCTACTATTGGTTCATTTAAGCTGCTGTATTTGGATCCTCTGTCTTATTGGTTCCCTCCAAAAGGCAGGACTGTGATTGCCTGATGTTGTTCCCTCCAAAATGTATCCTTTCGTGCTAGTTCCCTGTCCCTATAAATGTAGCTTTCCTCTCCCCAGTCTGGAGTCTTGTTGCTTTAATAAAGAAGTGTTACTAGAGAACTGTCTCCAGCATGTTATATCAGGAGAGCTGAAATCACAAACCCCACGTCACAACAACTGGCGACGAAGGTGGGATCCGGAATGCTGAGGAGCGGTTAGCGCAGCCCTGCCTCAGAGTCCGGATTGCAGCTAAGAACAAGACTCACTGACCAGCTGAGAAGACGACCCTGCCACAGGACAATGGAGAGTCCAAGGGTATTGGAGCCCTTCCAGCCATCAGAGCCCGACACGTGGGAAGACTACGTCGAACGCTTCGAGTTCTTCGCAGAGGCTCAAGGGATCACCGATGCCAGCAAAAGAAGGGCCACATTCCTGAGCCACTGTGGGCCTGAGACCTTCAAGCTGGCCAAGGCATTGCTTGCTCCAGCGAAGCTAAGTGAGACATCTCTCAAAGATATTCTTGCCTGCCTAACAAGCCACTTGGCGCCTACTGAGACCAAGATGGCTCGGCGGATGGAGTTTCATAAGAGGCAGCAGCATGCTGGGGAGTCTGTATCTGCATTTCTGGCTGAACTGCGGAAGCTCGCTCAGCACTGCGACTTCCAAAATCTGGAAGAGACTCTCCTGGATCGGTTTATCGGTGGTCTGAGCAGCAAGAAGGCCAGAAGACGCATCGTGGCTAAAGAAGAGGTTACCCTTGCTTCAGCCTTGAAGGAGGCCACCGCCACGGAGAATTATGAAAGAGGAGCTTGATGCCAGTCGCAAGGCCCCTAAGCCACAGATAGAAGTTGCGCATGCCATGGACGAGCTAGAGGCTACTCCGAGCCAGAGCCCAGTCCGTGGGGTTGAGTCAGTGAGTCAGGCCTGCACAGTGCACAAAGATCACCGAGGCAGGTGCCCAGGTTGTGGCGGAAACCATGAGCGGAAGAGTTGTCGTTTCCGGGATGCTATGTGCCGGACGTGCGGGAAGACAGGTCACATCGTCAGAGTCTGTAGATCGGCGGCATTGGGAGCGACAGGAGCACCTAGACCGGAGCATCGCAGACCACCCGCAGCAACCCATTTTCTAAAGGACTGCCACTACGTTACGGAGATCAACGGGAGGGTCGTGCAGTTCCCAGCACAAGGCAAGGCACACGTCAAGGTGAAGATTGAGGGTCAGCAGTGCGACATGGAGGTGGACTCCGGATCTGGATTCACTATCATGTCAGACCAGACCGCGAGGACATTCTTCCCCAGGGGTAAGTTGCCCCCTCTGGAACCCTTCCCGGCAACCTTGCAGTCATACTCAGCGGGCCGCATCCATGTTATGGGAATGTGTGCCGTGAGAGTACAGTTCCGGGACAAACAGGCTGTACTCAAACTGGTGATTGCGAAGGGCAGTCGCCCCAGTCTCCTGGGCACTGACTGGTTCCCCGCCCTGGGACTGAGTATATCAGGGCTTAATTCAATCCAAACCTGCCCTGAGATGAACGAGGCATTATGCAAAGAATTTGCTGGTCTCTTTAATGGAAAACTGGGTTGTTATAAAGGGCCCCCAGTTGACTTCGAGTTGGACCCTGGGGTGGCCCCAATCCGGCTCAAACCAAGGCGAGTGCCATTTGCACTGCAACCCAAGATCAAAGCAGAGCTGGATAAATTGGTCAAGCAGGGAGTTCTCTCACCCGTGGACTCTGCTAAGTGGGAGACTCCAATCGTCACGCCCTTAAAGCAAATGGGAAGTCAGGATCTGTGCAGATTACAAATGTACTATCAATAAGGCACTCGGGAAACTCATACCCCATTCCAGTCGTATCACATCTGTTGGCTAAACTGGCTGGGGGCAAGGTGTTCGCCAAAATTGACCTGGCACAAGCTTACCAACAGCTGCCAGTAACCCCACAATCAGCGGAGCACATAATGATGCTGGAAACACTTCCGGGGGCTCCTGTAACGGCTACTGATATAGCTGAGAAAACGAGGAAAGATGCTGTTCTCTCCCGTGTGCTCACTTGGGTGGGGAGGGGGTGGCCAGGTGGTCCGCATGAAGACAAATTCAGGCCTTATGCGACTAGGCAGCACGAGTTGTCCATGCATAAGGGTTGTCTCCTGTGGGGAGATAGGGTCATCATCCCAGCACCACTGAGAAACAGGGTTATTGAGTCGCTTCACATGGGACACCCGGGAAGGGTCAGGATGAAGTCGCTAGCCCGATGTTATGTGTGGTGGCCTGGAATGGACCAGAACATAGAACAATGGGTACGAACATGCAAGGCATGCCAAGAGGTGCGGCCAGAAGTGGCCAGAGCACCAGTCCACTGGTGGGAGCAGTCCAGATCTCCCTGGAGCCGGCTGCACTTAGATTTTGCTGGGCCATTCCAAGGAAAGGTCTTTTTGGTTATCGTTGATGCATATTCCAAATGGTTAGAAGTGGCGATGGTCCCTAGCATGGCATCAGCTGCCGTCATCAAGGTGTTGAGGCAGCTGTTTGCAAACCCACGGGTTACCTGAGACCATTGTATCAGATAATGGGGCAGCTTTTGTATCCCAAGAATTCAGGGCATTCTTGGCTGATAACTTCATAAGAGGGGTCACATCCGCGCCCTTTCACCCATCCTCCAATGGGCAGGCTGAGCGCATGGTAAGAACAGCCAAAGAATCCATTGCGCGCTTAATGGAGGGTAACTGGTCAGCTCGCATCGCGCGAATGTTATTTTTGCAGCATGCGACGCCGTGTACCGCAACGGGCAAGTCGCCAGCTGAGCTGCTCTTGGGTAGGAGACTGGTAACGGTGCTGGATTATGTCCACCCGGATAAAATGCCAAACCATAATTCAAGAGCAACCCCCCAGGCTGAGACTGACACAACAAGGTATCTCGCCCCTGAAGATCTGGTCTGGGTGAGGAACTATTCACGAGGTTCGCGGTGGGTGGCTGGTGTGGTCACCCGGGCTAGTGGACCTGTGTCCTATTATGTGACCTTGGAAAATGGGCAAGTGTGGAAGAGACATATAGATCAGCTGAGGCGCCGGGCGCTCAGCAGGGAGGAGCCAGATAATTCATCCCAGGCTAACGACGCAGAGCCGCAAGACCAGAGTGAAAATGGCCCAGAGGTGCAAGCACCAGGGGCTTTAACAAATGAACCAGGGTCTGCTAGTCCTCACGATGACGAGGTACAGATAGGGGACCCTGAGATGTCGGGGACTCCATCTGTTCCTGACGAAACCCCTAGAGCAGCCCCTCTACCACAGGTAACACCCAATCCAGAACCTGCAACACCTGTTGTCAGGAGATCAAGTAGAAGTTGTAGGCCCCACAGTACCTGAGAGATTACGTCTGCTGTGCTCACTAGGGGGGAAGGGGTGTTGTGTATTGAGTCAAAGGATTTTATATCTGTATTATTATTGTCTGTATTTGCATTAGGGTAAAGTAACTGCCTTTTGGTTCCAGAGGGTACAGCTACTATTGGTTCATTTAAGCTGCTGTATTTGGATCCTCTGTCTTATTGGTTCCCTCCAAAGGCAGGACTGTGATTGCCTGATGTTGTTCCCTCCAAAATGTATCCTTTCGTGCTAGTTCCCTGTCCCTATAAATGTAGCTTTCCTCTCCCCAGTCTGGAGTCTTGTTGCTTTAATAAAGAAGTGTTACTAGAGAACTGTCTCCAGCATGTTATATCAGGAGAGCTGAAATCACAAACCCCACGTCACAACATTACCGTAATTTTCCAGAGTGATTCCCATTCTCTTATTATAATGGGACGTCTAATCATGACCACCTTCACCTCCTCGGTACATCCTTGTGATAATCATGGTGTCATTATTTAACAGCACTATTTCAAATTTAGAGGGCTCATTGCCAAATCCATTTTTTTTTGTCCTGTCTGTTTTTTCTGAAAGCTGAACAGGTTCTAATTCTTTCCCCCCTCCTCTTATTCTTTAAATAAAGTGTTTCTTCCACAGACTGCTGCTTTGAGGGATTATGTCCAGCTATGAAATTATACGCAAAGGGAGAAAGCAATTAATTGATATACTTCAGAAGGACATAGACTGTGTTTTAGATGACTTACGCTCAGAGATTGTCATCACAAAAGAAGAATATGAGGGCCTGGAGAAAACTGAAGACTCAAAGAAAAAAAGTAGAGAATTGCTTATTCTGATACAAGAAAAAGGGGAAGCTGCCTGTAGCCAGTTCCTGGAATGGTTAGAAGTCGCATGTCCTGCTTCAAAACATGCCCTGCAAGGTCAAAAACACAGTGAGTCTCACCATTCTTCCCAAACCTTAAAAACGTTTAGATATCTCTTCCTTCTTCCTTGTTATCACAACTGCCATATGAGTTAAGAAATCACTTATCACTTTACAGATGAGACTCAAAATCCGCTCCAGAGTTCTGGCCACTCAGTGCTGATGTCAGAATCCAATCCAGGTGAGTTTGGAACTTGGAAGCAGAGGCTGTTTGTTTTTGCCTTTTAAAACCTTTTTCTTTGAGGCAGGGCCAGGAAAATATTTTTCTGCCCGAGGGCTGCATTCCTTTCTGGCCAACTTTCCCTGCTGGTGGTGGGTGATGGCAAAGGCAAAAGTGGGTGGAGCAACAAATGCATTTTTTGCAAAAAGGCTAGTTTCTACACATTACCTTCGTGTCATGCGGGGCCTCTGAGGGATGTGGCATTTTCAGAGAACTGAAAAGGAAAGTTCTTTATGAACTGCCTATGGACTGCCAAAGGGGAGGAGGTTGTAGAGTGTGGTGCGCATCACCTCCCACTTGCCATTCACCTGATATCCCAAGGATGTCAGGTGACCCATTTTTGCCCAGAGCTGTGCATCATCGAATCCTGCTTCAGGCTTCCCACAGGCATTTGGCTTGGCCTGTCTGAGAACAGGATGGTTCTGTGAACCGCCCCTTGTTCTGTGAACCACCCTGAGACCTCCAGGTATAGATCCAGCAGGCTCTTCGTAATGTTCTTAGAAGCTATGCAGAAATGGGAAATAATTTGGTGGTGGTAAATAAGGAAGGTGTATGTAAAATGGAGCCCCTTTAGTTATGGCAGAACACACTGATGCCAGTCGCACCTTGGTGGAAAAGACTGCCATCCTCAGCCATTTGGTAGTCAGCCTGGCAGATAGTGCTGGGGAGCAGTTGGTGGCGGGGGTACATGTTGGAACCAATGACATGGGGAATGTAGTTGTGAGGTCCTGGAAGCTGCAACAGCAGACATGAGCAATAGGGAGCAGCTGGTGCCCATAGTCCTTGAACCTGGAAGCTGATGTTTTTGAAGGAGGGGCTGCAATTTCTGTGAGCAGGCGTAACCCTCCTTCCCCAGGCTGACCCTGCTATGAGGCAGGGAGAGGCAGGTACCTCAGGTGTCATGGGCTGGAGGTACAGAGTGACAACAAGGGGCTGAAGGGAGAGAACTGTCTGGGGCCCCCAGCCTGCCCTACACCCTCCTAGGTGGCCTCTTGGCCCCATGTACAGTAAAGGACACTGTTCTGCCACCAGTGGGAATGTCAGATTCAACAGCCAGTCCAGTCAGGACACAGGGTGTGTGGCACTATCTTGCCCTTTTCCTCAGGCAGCAAAATAACTTGGACCAGCACTGCTTCTTCCCCCTCGGGGGATCATTGCAAAGCGCTGTGTGCACACTGGCTCTCTGTTCTGCTCACCTCGATTTTGCAAAGCAAACCTGCTCACAAGTGTTTGGCCCACAGAGGCGACATTTGAAGTGGAGAGACTGGCCTTTGCCGACAGAGAACTTACCTGCATGTGGTGCCGAGTGGCGCCACTTGCAATGCTGGTGGTGACCCTATACTTCCCCTGGCAGAGGGCACTGATTGGCCATGCCATGGCGTCACATTGGCAGGTGGCTTGCCTGGGTTTCACTGGAATATATGCCGAAGTTACACCTTCACCAGGAGCATATTTCTGTGTTCCTTCCTAGAGCATTCACTCCCCAAGGAGAAAGATGACAGCCCAAGAACACTGCTGGATGCAAATGAAGACGTTTTCAAAGGTACTTACTTTCGTAAAGCAAGAGTGCACCTAAAAAGTCAATACCGAAAGGACCAAAAAGCACAAAGATCTGGGAAGGAAGGAAATTACTGAGCTGTATCACATTAAAGAAGAGTCTGTATAATCCCCGCAGCAAGGCCTTGGCATCTATTTCCAGGAGTGAGGAACCTGTGGTCCTCCATCTCCCATCATGCTCCAGCCAGCATGGCCAGTAGTCAAGAATGATGGAAGTTGTTGAACCTTCGGAGGGCGTGTCCACAGGTTATCCATCCCCTGATCTAGTATACTGTACAATAGCAAATGTTCAGAATGTTTACACAATTTTGCTATTTCAACTTGTTTGTTTCTAGGTTGCTCAGTCGGTGAAGAGGAAGGTGAAATTCAGAAACACCCAGAGGAAGAGAAGATGGATCTTGAAATAGGTAATCCCACCTAATCAACAATGTAATGAAAGTGAGGGGTTGCAGTTCAGGGATATTTTTTTCCAGAGCAGGAGAAATGACATGATCTGCTGGAGAAGTACATGGGTAGCTAAGGAGTTCCACCTTTGGTTCTCCTCGCTGCTGCTGTGTGGTCTCAGGTGCTGTTATGAACATTGGTCAAGCCTGCAGCAAGGTCTATCCTATTTTGGTCCCTTAATAGGAATATGGCTTTTAAGTGGTGATTTTAATCCCAGCATGTAGCTTTTGTTGTTAAACCACTTGGAGATGTTTCAAAGGAAATATATACGTAAATAGGTTGTCACATTGGGGAGGGCAAGTTTAGATAGTTGTCCTAATGTGAACTTCTGTCTCTAGGTTGTCGAAGTCAAGAGAAAGAAGATGATGTTCAGGAAGAATCAGAGGAAGAGAATCAACATCCTACCATAGGTAATCCCTCCTAATCGTCATAGCAGTGGAAAGGGAATGCAGGGTATGTTGGAGAGTGAGTTTTGGAAGAGAGATCTTATGCTCTTGTAGCAGAATTAAGTAGAATGGTGATTGCTCCAACCACATTAAAACTTCGTTATATTTACTTCTACCCTCAGCCACTTTTAAACAAATATTCTCCCGCAAAAAATAGGGTAAAATAAATCACATACACTTAGCCATCCGGCGGGTGCCAGGGAGGCAGCGGCGGCTGAGGCAGGCAGGCAGGGGCGGCCGCTGACTATGCACTGCCAGCCTCGTGGGCGGGGAGGCAGGCGGGGAGAGGCCCGGGTTGCCCAGGCCGCATGCTCGCAGGTGGGTGAGGAGGCTGTGAGAGGGAGACGAGGCGCACGGGGTCCAGGGCGCACGGGTCGCCTCTCTTCTATACAGTCCCCTCCTGGCCCTGGGAGGGCTGGGTCCAGGACCCTGGCAGGCCGCATCCTGCCCACAAGCCTTAGTTTGGGGATGCCTGTCCTGTCAGGAGAGAGATAGGGAAAATGTGTTTTTGTAAATTCTTCTCGATTTTCAATACCATCTACCGTAGTATCTTTCTGGAGTGGCTATCCAAGCTAGGAGCAGGTGGCACTGCTTTGCGGTGATGTTAGGGGTTGCTCTTCAGCTCCATGGAACCATCAATGTGGAGTTCCTCAGGGTACAATTTTATCTCCTTTGCTGTTTAACATCTACATGAAACCACAGAGTAGGACCATCCTGAAACAGTTCAGGACCACAATACCTCTCCCCATACAAAGCAACCAATAACCTGCAATCATCCTCTTGTGCCTCCTCCATGAGAGGTCTGGAGAGAGGCAAAACAAGAAAAGGCCTTTTCTGCTATGGTTCCCCGCTTGTGGAACGCTCTCCCTAGGGAGGCTTGCCTGGTGCCTTTGTTACATACAGTGGTACCTCGGGTTAAGTACTTAATTCGTTCCAGAGGTCTGTTCTTAACCTGAAACTGTTCTTAACCTGAAGCACCTCTCTAGCTTATGGGGCCTCCTGTTGCTGCCGCGCCGCCAGAGCACAATTTCTGTTCTCATCCTGAAGCAAAGTTCTTAACCCGAGGTACTATTTCTGGGTATGCAGAGTCTGTAACCTTAAGCGTATGTAACCTGAAGCGTATGTAACCCGAGGTACCACTGTATCTTTAGGCTCCGGGCAAAGGCATTTTTCTTCTCTCAGGCCTTTCGCTAATTAAACAATCCATAGCCTTTTAAATGCAGATGAGGGGGCAACTTTTTGTTTGTTTGTTATTATGGTACGCTATTATCAATTTTAATATACTACTAAATACTTTTCTCATTTTCTACAGAGAGAAGAAAAGCAGTTATGGATATTCTGTGCAAATTAAAGCTAGAAAAGCATAAAAGCAAAGCGCTCTCCCTCCAAGAAGTCCTGAAAATCAGATCGGGGAGCTTGAAGGAATTCACACCTCAAACCCGGGAAGATTTGCCTTGGCATTTTCTGAGGAAGATATTGGCTCTGAATGTGACAGCCAGGAGCACCAGCTTCGAAGAAGTTGTTTCTGATGATCAAGTACTTAGAAGAAATGAGGGGAATGAGAGGATTGATAAGGACATTTTTGTTACTCTTGAAATGGGTGAGAGTCATTCTGTCAACCCCCTTGATGTCCTTTGTGCTGTTCTGCTTTGCTCTGACAGTTTCCTCCAACAGGAGATCTTCTGCAAAATGTCCATGTGTCAGTTTGCTCTGCCTTTGCTCCTCCCTCCCTTGGAGACTCCCAAATGCACCCTGATGCTCTGGGCCATGAGGGACATCGTGAAAATATGGAGGCCCCATTCCTTGGCTGAAAGCAGAGGCTTCAGGGAGGAGAGCCTGGTGTTGACATCCATGCCGACCATTTCCTTTGTGAGGATGGGGAGCTTGAGCTTCTCCAAGTCCAAACTGCTCGGTGAGTTCCTCAGCCCTGCCCAACAGCACCATGATTTCTTCTTCCACCGAGATATGGAGTGCGGAGACATCCCACGAGAAATTGCTGGTGGGCTTGTGGAGATTGCCTGGTATTTCCCAGGCGGGCAGAAAAGCTCAGATCTCTTTCCAGAGCCAATTGCAGTTGCAAATCTTCGTGGAGACATTGAATCACACTGGGTGCAGTTTAGCTTTTTAACACAGGTCTCCTCTGCTGTGTTCATATTTGCTGAAGCCATTGATGAAAGACAACATGACCTCTTGTCCTCGCTGAAGGGAACATCAACTCAGTTCTATTTCATCCTGGAACGTGACAGCAACAAATGCCACGAAGCTTTGGGTGTTTTAGATAAATTGGCTCCAATACTTAACCTCTGTAATTCAAACATACTAGTGCAATCTGCAAAGAGAAATAAGGCAGAGTTTGTGAGAAAATTACGGTCAACTGTGAGAGGAATACTTAATTCTCAACCGACGTGTATGAGTGTACAAGGGATGTGTGCTGTGACATGTGAACTTTCGATTCAGGCAGATGTGGATGGCCAAGAATGTCAGAATGCCCTCCAATGTGCTGAAGGAATCACCGCAGACATAAAAGATGTAGCAAGGTACAAGCAAGAAATGCTGAGACTCCAGGGCGATCTCTGGAAAAACCTGGCCAAAGTGGAGAAAGAAAGGTGCAGAATGAAAAGACAGGGGGACAAGCCTTCAGAAAAATACAGGTCTGAACTGAAGGGCAAATGGCTGGAACTGCGTAAACAGCAGAGTCAATGTGAACTCACCACTGGCTTGATGAAATTTGTTGATGCCATCAGTCATTTGAAGTCTGCAGAGAAGCACTACTTCCTGAAATGGATGAAGTTCAACCTGGATCATATTGCTAGAGAGAACCTTTCCAAGTTAAGGGCTGAGTACAAAGAGAAATACAAAATTTCAGGAGATGATGTCCAGAAGACTGCAGAAATTGACCGACAGATATCTTCCTCTTCCTTGGGAGTTGAGCACTTCATGCGTGAGCTGGGGCAGTTTTATGAGGCCGAATACTCCATGGTTATTGAGGGCAAAATAGCAAAACACAGAAGGCAGTTTGTTCATTTCCCAAGCATTGCAGCTGACCTAATGCTAGAAGGGTTTCCTCTTGAACTGATGGATGGAGATGCATCCAACATCCCCCTGCAGTGGATAAGTGATGTTCTGACCGAGCTTCATAAGAAACTAAGAGGACGATCCAAAATTAAGGTGATAACCGTTCTGGGGGTGCAGAGCACTGGGAAATCGACCCTTCTGAACACCATGTTTGGCCTGCAGTTTCCTGTCAGCAGTGGGCGGTGCACACGAGGTGCCTTCATGACACTTCTTAACGTCTCAGAGAATTTGGCTCAGGATCTTGGCTGTGACTTCGTCCTGGTGATAGACACAGAGGGCTTGAAAGCCCCTGAACTGGCCAAACTGGAAGACAGCTATCAGCATGACAACGAGTTGGCCACTCTAGTCATTGGGCTGAGTGACATCACCATCGTAAACATGGCCATGGAAAATGCCACCGAAATGAAGGACATCCTGCAAATTGTGACCCATGCCTTCCTCAGGATGGAAGAGATTGGGCAAAGCCCCAGCTGCCAGTTTGTTCACCAAAACGTCAGTGATGTTTCTGCATATGACCAAAACATGAGGGACAGGAAGCACCTTTTGGAACAGCTGAATGAAATGACCCAGGCTGCAGCAAAAATGGAAAATATTGGGAGGGATATCAAGTTCTCAGACATCATGGAGTATAACCCAGAAACAAATAATTGGTACATCCCTGGTCTTTGGCATGGCGTCCCACCAATGGCCCCAGTCAACAGGGGGTATAGCGAAAAGGTCTTTGATTTAAAGAAGTGCCTTTTCGAATTCATAAGAGACCATGCACATGACAGGCCTTCCAAGAATATTCTTGACTTCATTGAATGGGTGAAGAGCCTGTGGAATGCTGTAAAACATGAGAACTTCATCTTTAGCTTCCAAAATAGTCTCATAGCTGAAGCATACAACAACCTCTCCATTAAATATTCTGAATGGGACAGGGATTTCCGCAGAGAGATGCACCTCTGGGTATCTGAGCAGGAAACTCTGATTCAGAATGTGTCACCTGATAAAATTGCTTTCAATAATTTGAAATGTGAACTTCAAAAGAAACTATCATGTGGAGAAGAGCAGATTTTGGAGAGTTTGAATAAATACTTCGGGAGCGAAGCAGCAAATCTGCATCTGGTAGAAAAGTACAAGGAAGATTTTGTCAGGAGTGCCAACAGCCTCAAGCGTGAACTTGAAAATTATTCTTCTAACAAACTGCGAGATGCCATTCAAATTAGAAAAGGTCTACACAAAATTGATGCTCTTCAAGCAGAATACAAGAAAGCAATTGAAGGAAAGGTTGACAGGCTGCTTGAAAAATGCAGAGGCAAAAAGCAGAAATTAAAAGAAAAAGAATTAGAAAGAGAGTTTAAAAAAATGTGGAGAGAAACACTGTTGGAAATACCACCCATTTCCTTAGAGAAACGTGACATATATGCAGAAGTTGAGTCATATCTGAGAAAGAATTCATACTCTCATTTGAAACTATACACACAAAAATTAGCAGGAAAAAGAGGATTGTTAAGTTACAGAATAGACACTTTTGAAATTAAAAATGACCATGTACAATCATCATTTTGGAAACATATGCTTCATTTTAATTCTCAAATGCAGTATAAGCATATACTGGTAATAAAAGATTTTGTTAACTCCTTGTTGTGCAAATGCACTTCATATATTGATGAAAAGCTCAATTCTAAAGGAGATTATGATGAAACCTACTGCATTGACCTTTTGTGTATGATCAATGAGACGCTTCAACAACCTGATGTTCAAAATCTTCATACAACCCCTGGCTTTGAAGTGGACCTTAAGCTCCACATCCTGGGAGAAGCAGCTCATGCATTTCAAAGGAGACACGAAGAATTTGTTAAGGAAAATGATCCTCACATGCGCCTGGAAAAACTGAAACCCCACTATTTTGCAATTTTCAGAGATCTTTATCAGGAAAAAGATGCCCATCAAATCCAAGCTAAAGATTTCTGTGAAATGTGTCTCCATCCTGCTATAGTGAATTATGTCAACAATAGACTTGGGGTGGAAATAGTGGACAACTTTCACAATAGTGAGCAGTCTGTTGACTTTGGCTCTCGGAGTTTTTTCCAGTTTACTATCCTGAAGGATCTGTTAAATGAATGGGATTTTGACCAATATGTTGAATACATCACAACCTATGAAAAGTTTGTCAAGAGTTGGCTATTGAAAAAAATGGTGGATTACTATACAAAAAATGAGGATCTGAAGAATCTGGAGGAAAACATTTTCTCTGCAATACTAGACAGAATTAGAAAAACATTGCGGAAGCTGAAGCATCAAGGTGCTGCGACAATCTCAGAATTTGTGCAGGATTTTTCCCAAGAAATGCAGAAGGAGTTAGTCATCCCTAAGGATAGTTTGGTGGGGACACACATGAAACAGGCATTTGATCCTGGCCACTTTTTTGCTTTTGTTGAAAGCTTCCTTCCTAATTTGCAAGAACAAATATTAAGCAGATTTAGAGACTTGGATATCGAATCCAAACTCTCCAAACTGCCTGTGAAGCCCCAAGATGAAATCTTCAAGCAAATGTTTGGCTGTGGGAAGCAGTGTCCCTTCTGCAAAGTCCCCTGTGAAGCTGGAGGGAGCGCTCATCAGGAGCATTTTGCAACAATCCATCGACCTCAAGGATTTGGAAGATTCAGATATATAGATTCAGAAAAGCTGATATGTTCTCTGTGCTCCACCGATGTGTCCACCGATCAAGTGTTCCGAAATCAGGACACAAATTGGGAATGGCATCCGTACAAAGAGTACCGTACGTATTATCCAGACTGGCGTATCCAACCTGATCCCAGTATCAAAGCTTCTGATTACTGGAAGTACATTTTCAAAATGTTCAATGATGACTTTGCCAGACAGTACAATGCTAAACCAGCTGATCTGCCAGAGGACTGGGGAAATATAACCAAAGAACAAGCACTGAAGGCCTTAGAAGATAGATACAAATTGTAACCAACACCACCATCAGAATGCTTGCCTTAAAGACCTGGAAACAAAAGTGGTTTCAAACAAGTTGTTGCATTCACAGATTGCATCTAATTTTATTAAATGTATGCCATTTTTGTACGAAAATCTCAGACGTTATGTACAGCCACCCAACATAATGTGACTCTGTGCATAATATGACAAGGTTGCATGTTGAAATTAGCAAAACAATGATGTGTTCATTTTTCAGATTATGGTAAAAGTGTAAACGCCTTGCGCTAAAGTAGTCCTAGTCAGTAGCCACACACATTCCTTTTTTTTTTTAATGATATTTATTCCAGATTTAAGGTTACAAAAAAGAAAAAGAAAAACCATACAACTTTAGCCATAACAAAGCGAAAAATAAACAAGTAAAAAAGAACAATAAGATAGAATAAAAAAGACGACTTAACAAAAAATATAAAAATACATTGAGTTAAAATAAAACAAAAACAGATTAAACCTTTACATAGCCTTTTCCCTTTACTTATTTCCATGACCTCCTCTCACCTCCCAGTTTTGTATTCTAGTTCAGATCGTGTTTCCAGCAAATCCTTCTAACCTTATTTTCATTTACGTATTTTAAAATTAAAATAATGTGATTAAACCTCCTCTATTTCATCAATTTCATCAACTCATTTTTGCTTAGTCCATTATATCATATCTAGTAGCCACACACATTCCTAGTTGTCTATAACCGCTTAATTATATGATATATACCTTTGGGGCAGTGAGAGACTTTTTTACTCTATAGCATTCAGGTATGGGATTGTACCCATGATTATTTGCTGCCCCCATATTTTGTAATTCACAGCCTAAAGCAGCACATATATTCTTTGTCTTTTCCAAGTGTAATAAACCAATCTTTCACTCTTTCCTGGTGTGACAAATTCTTTATTGGGTATAAGGGTTGAAGGTATTAATGCATTTTAATGAGTGCACCCCCTGACTCTGTGCCAAAAGTTACATTCCTATTTTAGGTCCATGCTGGACAAACATGTGGGTTCAGACATGCACATTGTAACACACGTCTGTGGGCAACTTTTAGGGCAACCTTTTTGCTGAAATGGTGCACCGCATTTGTTTAGACCTGGGGTTTTCAAACTGTGGCTGGTGAGCTTCATCCTGGAAGACCACTTCCAACCTGAATTCTATGGAATTCAAATGGGTAATACAATAAAGTACAATATAATAAAAGAAGCAATAAAACTAAAATATTAGCTATTTATATACTGTTGTTTCCCCTGAAAAGTTCAAGGTGACATACATGGGTGTCCCACTTCCCATTTTATCGTCACAACAACCTTGTGAGTTAGGTTAGGCGGATTGACAGTGACTGGCCCAGGGGCACCCAGTGAGCCTCATGACTGAGTAGGGAGTTGAGTCCTGGTCTCCTATGCGCCATTCCAATTCTCTAACCTTTACACCACAATGGTTCTCGGCACATACAGCATCTAGGGAAAAGGTAAAGGACCCCTGGACGGTTAAGTCCAGTCAAAGGCAACCATGAGGTGTGGCGCTCATCTCGCTTTCAGGCGAGGGAACTGGCGTTTGTCCGCAAACAGCTTCCCAGGTCATGTGGCCAGCATGACGAAACCACTTCTGGCGCAACGGGACACCATGACAGAAACCAGAGCGCACGGAAATGCCGTTTACAGCATTTAGCACATCACAACTGCTGCAACAGGCAGGAGACCCAGGTGATTCACCAAGAACATCAGAAAATTTTTAATGGTCTGTGAGGGGGAAAAGTTTGAGAACCAGGGATTTAAAGCATACAACTTCCGACCTGCTCTCAGGAGCAGGTGATTTCCCCACACAATTCTGAGCACTGCCACACCCTCAAAGCAGCTGGAGAGCATGATTTTGCACAACGTGCAAGCTTCTCAATCTGCGGAGAACTGATAAATTTGCAAAAGATCACAAAGGGTTTGTCTCAAGCTCTTAACCCATCTAGTTCTCTGACTTACCAATGAAATCTGTGCTTGTTGTAGCCACAGCATCAGCATCCCTCATGGTACAAGGCTGCCTTTCTGTCTGATCGCCCTCCACTGGTTCAGGTAACATTGCAAGAGCTGTTGCTTATCCCCCAACACAAACACTGGGAGATACAGTCTCCCAAGTACATACTGTAGGTTCCAGACCAGCCTTTGTCCACTTGGTGCCTTCCAGATGTGTTGGATCACAACTCCCATTAGCCACAACCAAAATCAAACTCAGTAAGTAAAGCCCTAAGGATTCTTCGGAGGATGTTGTGTGTTTTAAGTGTCAATGTAAGAAATGTTTCCTGTTTTACCATTAAAAAAATTCCCCTGCCAGTGGCCATAGAAACAAAGTGGCAATGACAGTCCTGCAGCTCAGCCCAGCGTCCAGCAACTGGGTGGGAAGTGAGAAGAAAGCAGACCCTGCAAGTGTCCCTGTTTTCCAGGGACAGCCCTAAATTTAGAGAATTCTGTCCCAGTTTCTGATTTGATCTGGGAATGTCCCGCTTTTCCTTAAAGGTAAAGGGACCCCTGACCATTAGGTCTAGTTGTGGCCGACTCTGGGGTTGCGGCGCTCATTTCGCTTTATTGGCCGAGGGAGCCGGCGTACAGCTTCCGGGTCATGTGGCCAGCATGACTAAGCCGCTTCTGGCAAACCAGAGCAGCACACAGAAATGCTGTTTACCTTCCCGCCAGAGCGGTACCTATTTATCTACTTGCACTTTGAGGTGCTTTCAAACTGCTAGGTTGGCAGGAGCAGGGACCGAGCAACGGGAGCTCACCCCGTCGAGGGGATTTGAACCGCCGACCCGACTGGCAAGCCCTAGGCTCTGTGGTTTAACCCACAGTGCCACCCGCGTCCTTAGGATGTCTCTCTTTCCATCGGAGAAATGTCGGAGGGTATGGGAAAGTACGACAACCCTGCGATGTAGTCCGTGGTTTATACGACGGGGTTAGGCGCTGGGGGCTAAGCCTGCTTTGGATTTCCAGCCTGCAACAAAAAGAAAGCCCGTCTCCTTCAACTCGACGCCTCGCTGCCCAAATCCGCCGTTCCGCTTCCTGCTGCACCGGGCCCGATTCCTTCCTCGGTTTACACCACTGCCAGCCCGGTTCACTTTTACCCTTCCGGGACAGAGGGAGGAGGGAACTGAAAGCGAAAGCGGATCCTTGCCTTTAACAGACGGCGCCCCACCCGCCGCCTTTGGCCCACGGCGGGGTTTCAAGCTGCTGCCTTCTCCCCCCTCCCCCCGCAGCCGTCGGGGGCAGGTTTTGCAGCGGAGTCGGACTTCTCTTTGCTCCCTTTCTCCTCGGGGAAGGAGAGAACGCGATGGCGGAGGAGAGGAGGACCGTCCGCGAACGCCTGGCGGACGCCCTGGAGGACTTGAAGGAGTACGATCTGAAGCAATTCAAGTTCCATCTGAACGCGCTCCCGGCCGAGGAGGGCTATAGTAGCATCCCCAAGGGGCGGCTGCAGAAGGCGGATCGCTTGGACCTGTGCCGCCTGCTGCTCGGCTACTACGCCGAGGATGGCGCTGTGGAGGTGACGCTCAAGGTGCTGGGATGCATCAACCGAAGAGACCTGCGGGAGAAGCTCCTGCGAGTCAAAGGCGGTGGTGGTAAGGAGAGGGGCGGGGGTCGCAGAAGCACAGTGGGCCGGGTGGGGGGGTCTTAGTGGTGGGGGAAATCTGCTCTGGTGAGTCCAGATCATCTCGTCTGAAAGTGGGACAGGCTAAAAGCAGCAGAGTTTGGGGATTTTACCTGGCCCAGGTGTATCCCTCTTCCTTGCTGCAGGTGAAGGTGGATAAAAACTCCTAAGTCAACAGGCTGGCATAGGACTTAACCTTTCTTTCACTTCACCTACCAGATTAATTTTGTTCTATAATCTCCACATTTTTATTTTTTATTAATAATTTTATTAACAGTTGTATTAAATACTTTAAAAAATAATTTTATTAACAATTTTATTAAATACTTTTAAGAATAATTTTATTAACAATTTTATTAAATACTTTTAAGAATAATTTTATTAAATACTTTTAATAATGCTTTTATTAATAATTTCATTTATAAGTTTTTTTTTCTTATGGATTATAATCCAGCAGTTCCTACAAGGGGAATTCTGTGCTGCTGTTTGGTTTTTTAATCGGAGACCCTTTTCGATGCGAACTTTTCTTCTAATGTTCCCAGCCCTCCTCGATGGCTGCTTTGGTCTGAGGCAATGGCAGCGAGAAATCAGAAACATTGGTGGAAGAGCACATCCTCCCTTTGAGAGAGAGGTTGCTTCACTTCGTTCTTTGAGAGATCCTTCCTTCTCTCTCCGGCTCTTCACTTCATTTGACAGCTGTGGGATGGGAGATTTCAAGTTTGCATCGACTAGAACCAGAACAGTCGGTGGCAAAAGCATTACTAGAAGGAGGATGGTTGAAAATGGACAAGAAAGAGTAGAAGTTGAAGTTGACCAATCAAATACTTTAGCTATAAATGGTAAGAAGTGGTTTCTCCTTTTAAATAACTAGTTATTAAATGCAGATGTTTAACATAAATCTACACAGGAAAGATTCTTGAGTAAGGCTGATCTTATCTGTCCTCTCTCATCCCCCCCCCCCCCAACAGGCTCATCTGCAACCATCGGAGAGACAGAGGCCATTGCCAATTGCAAGAACTTAAAAATCAAGGTCACTGAAGTGCTGGGTGGAGAGTTATCTCATTTGGTAGAGGCGAAAGACGATGTGGCAGGAAAGGTTTCGTCAGGAAAAAACACCAGGAGGTAATCTCAGTGCTTAAGCGATGGACGGAACTGTTGCCAAGAACCACACAACTTTATTGCGCTCCTTGCTCTATGCAACACCGTTACTCCGTTGTATTAAGTAGAATAAGGTGCAAGCTGACTGTGAAATGAGAACTGGAGAAGAAATTATAGGAGGTGGGTAAAAATACTTTGAGAGGCACGTGGAGGTGAGACGGAAAAGAAAATAGAAAAGAAGAGCTTTCTTCACTTAGAACCACTGGGCTATATTCAACTAAGTTCTACTCAGAGTAAACCTATTGTAAGTTCCAAACCTAAATTAATTATATCCATTAGTTTCTATGGGCCTGTTTTGACCCATTGAGACTAGCGTTGGCTATAATAACCCTCTGGATCCGCAAATTCTGCCTAAAACGGGGACGCTGTCACAATACTTCCAGAGCAGAGACCTGCACTTAGTCTGATGGAAACTGAGCTGCAAGGAAAATGCAGCAGCAAATAATTTACAGTAGTCATTTTCGAAGCTGGAATAGATATATAGTAGTAGTAGTAGTAGTAGTAGTAGTCAGTTTTATTGCACATAGCCAAAGGCTGCCGCAATGTACACAGAATTATTTGACAATTAAAAGAAAATATACTGAATTGATAAAAAAGACTTAAAACATTTATATTATTAAAACATTACGTACTCTAAACAGAGCTATAAAAGTACCCTAATGTACAAATAAAAACATTAAACAATAAAATTCATAAGCTAAAATCATCACGTGGCCACTAATGTTAAAAACAATATCAATTAATACAGTGTGCAATTTATACTCAGAGTTTGGTGACAAAGTTAGAGCATAGCCTGAGGTAGATAGATAGGATCAAATAAATTCATCTCCTTTACAGTTAATGGCTACCTTGGCTATATAATTTGCTTTAATTTTCCTAGCAGCAGTTGCAAAAAGTGCTACACGCCAGGTCACATACTTATCTGTGTCTGCAAGGAGATATAAAAAAATGTCAATGGGGTTCTGTCCAGGGGACCCTGTATAAGTACTAAAAATATTTTTCTTGCATCATTATATATGGGACAGCGCAAGATATAATGCATAAGGTCCTCTACTTCAGAACATCCCCTAGTACAGACATATTCGTTTTTTGGTATGCCTCTGTGTCTCCCATCTCTATAAGCAGAGCTTATTGTATTTAGTCGTAGCTCTGTAAAAGCTTTTCGAAGTTGTGCAGAAGTCAATTCATTAAAATAAGATGTATGTATATTGGCCTCTTTAAGTTTAATGTAGATGTGCACATAGAGTTTAGATCATTTTTAGTTGCCACTGCCCTTATGGTTCGTTTTAAGATATTTTTCTGGGAATATAAGGGAAGTTCTTTAATCTCAGTCACTGAGAGGTCATATTTGCCCATCAGTTGGGCAGCATGATGTACCCAGTTTTTAAGGGGTAATCCATTCGAAAGCTCAATCAGGCATTTTTTTGGTAGCCTAGGGTTGTCCATCTGTTGAACTCTAAACCAGTAACAGAGAATTCTTTTATCGAATAGATATATAATGCCAGTAATTGCCAGCTGATTACAGTGAATTCTGCCTCAATCTGCCACTACAGTGGTACCTCAGGATGCTAACGGTATGTAAGATGTGACGGCACATCTGCATGTGCGTGGGTCGTGTTTCGCTGCTTCCGCGCATGTGTGTGACGTCATTTTGAGCGTCTGCGCATGTGCGAGCGGCGAAACCCGGAAGTAGTGCGCTCCCGGAAGTAACACGCTCAACCCAAAGCACATTCAACTTGAGGTATGACTGTATTTAGTTGTTGGCATAACCCTGGTGATAGAAAGCTTGAGAAAGCGTAGGTTTCATGCTAACCCTTTACCTCCAGCCAGCATCACACAGAGTTGTTGGTTTTGTAGCAGACTGAGACTGTTCCCCTTCCTGCCTAACTTTGACATTTCTTTTGCTTTGCCATTTTGTTGCAGAAGGAGTACAGTGGAGAAAACCACCCACAGCCGTCTTCTGGGCACCCTGGAGAACTTGGCAAATTACAATTTGAGGAAATTCAAGTACTATCTCAACTCGCTCCCAGTCAAGGAGGGCTACAGCAACATCCCCAGAGGGCGCCTGGAGAAGGCAGATCCCACTGACCTGACCCAGTTGCTGCTTGGCTACTACAACGAGCATTATGCTGTGGAGGTGGTCCTCACGGTGTTGAAATCCATCAACCAAAGAGATCTGGAGAGGAATCTTCTCGCTATCACAGAGAATGATGGTAAGAAGATTGGAAGAAATTTAAAGACTATTTACAGAAATATTGCAAAATTAATGAATGTTAGAATGATGTTGGATAGAAATTAAGTGGTTTTTAGCTGCAATACTATAAGGGAATATGAAAAATGGATTATTAATAGGTAAAAATTTAATGTTACAATATTTTAAGATTAAAGATTAGGATAAACAAAGAGGGGAAGGATTTGCTGAACCAACAAACTGAACTGGAATACAAAAAAGGGAGGCGTGAGGAGGTCCGGGAAATAAGCTAATGGAAAATAAGTAATGGAAAGATTGTGTTGGTTTTAATTATTTTTATTTTGTATTTTTCTTTTTTTGTGTGTAATATTTTGAAAATCCTAATAAATATCTTATAAAAAAAAGAGAGAGAGAGAATGATGGTAAGGAGAGAGGAGTCCCGGGTGCACACTGAGCTGGGTGTGGGGAGTCTGAGAGGTGAAAGAAAACTATTCTTGGTAGTCCAGAGCATCTCATCTGAAAGAGGATCTTTCAGAGTTTCGGAGAAAGGAGGAGTTTTTGTTTCTTACCTGGTCCAGGTGCATCAGAACTCTGTATTACAATACACCAACAGCCTCTGATTCAGTATTTTTCATATTTGTTTTCCCCTCACCTCCCCCTTGATTTTGTTTCATAGTACCAGTGTAGGGGGAGAAAATCCTAATTTAGGGAAGGATTTAATTTTTTTAGACCCACCTTAATGATGTATATAGAGAGTGTTTTCATTATAATTTTTGTTGTTCCCCAGGCCACCTCGATGGCTGGTGTGGTCATGGACAATGGCAGTGTGGAAACAGAAATGGAGCCTCCTGTAGATTTCCTTCCTTTGGGAGGGATTTTCCTTCGCTTCGCCATTTGAGACAAGGGGGTCTTATTTCATTCTCTCTCACGCTCTCTGCATCGTTTGATGCTCTTGGGGCAGGAGATTTCAAGTGTGTATCCACGTCAATCGAAATGGTTGATGGCAGAAAACGCATCAGAAAGAGAATGATTGAGAACGGACAAGAAAATGAAGAAGTTGAAGATATTGACGAATTAAACCCTTTGGCTATAACTGGTAAGACACAGTTCTACTTTTAAATAGCCAGTTATTCAGCGCATGCCTTTGTCAGAAGTGTTCAGACTTAAAATGAGACCTATTTGGAGCGTCTAGTAGGGACGTTATTGAAAAAAATGAACACTTTCATTATATACTGCTTCTGCCAGCTATATGGAACAGAAGTGATATATTTTTGTGCTAGGCTGCTGCACTTATAATGTTTCTCATGGGGCATTTGTGGTTTGAACAGCTTAGCAGCACTATTTGTGCATACTTAAAAGGTAAAGTTAAAAGGGCCCCTGACCATTAGGTCCAGTCGTGGCCGACTCTGGGGTTGCGGCGTTCATCTCGCTTTATTGGCTGTGGGAGCCGGCGTACAGCTTCCGGGTCATGTGGCCAGCATGACTAAGCCGCTTCTGGCGAACCAGAGGCTAGCAGGCAAGGCAGAAGACTAAAAAAAAATCTCTCCACAGCGGGAAAGCCCAGGGGGTGTGCAGGTGGGGGGAAGAATAAATAAATTGAGAGCAGGGAATGGCTGCTTCCCCACTTCCATTTATTTATTTCCCCCCACCTGCATAAGGTTGAGATCACATAAGTAAAGTGAGCATAAGTTGCAGACCTAATGTATGAAAATGAAAAGCAAAACTTAAAAAAGAAGTGTATTTTGGGGATAGACAGTGGGCAGTGTTCAGTTGTGCTCCTTGTTGTACATATTTTGGGGGCTGTGTAAAGCAATGAAGAGGGGGAACCTCATCAACTTTACAGCCCTACAGGCTCAAGTCCATATAAGTCTACACTACAGCATAAAAGTTTACAACATGTGTTTAGTCAAAAGCAGAGTGATCAGCCTCATAGGGAGACTTGAGTGTACTAAGCATATATCCGAAACATATTAACCAGCTTACTCCAGCACACACATGAAGTATGGAGAGATAGGCCATCGTTCAAGTAAGACTGCAATCCTAACTCCTCTAACTTTAGAGGGAGGCCCATTGAATTCAGTAGGATCTACTTCTGAGCAGACCGGTTAGGATGGCACTGTAAGTCTGGTTTATCTCTGCACTCTCTCAATTTCTCTCAGGAGGGTCACCTGCAATCATGAGATTTCCAGAGGCAGCTGCAAATTTCCAGAATTTAAGAAATGAGTTCTCCCATGTGCTAGCAGGAGATGTATCTGTAATTGAAGAGGAGGATCTGGGGAGAGAAGTTTCATCAGGAGGAGCCGCCGAAAGGTGATCTCTGTGCTTAAGCAATGAGTTAAAGAGTTGTCAATCATCACACCTTGTTAAAGACTATGCCTACAACAAAGTTATAACTCAGGCGTCTGCCATTCTCTCTCCTGGTGCTTTTGCACTGTGGAGAAAGTGGATAGACAAAATGCGGTTCTTAATTTGGGCTTGTATAGCACCCTCAGTACGCATGATAATTTACGGAGGCCAAGAGGGACTTACAATCTATAATTTAGTACATGTGTTATAGCTGGGATGGGAGAGTACAGAATAAGAATGCGCATCCATTTCATTTAAACATTCTTAGGGTTATTTACAGCAGGGCATGCCGACTGCCATAATCTTTGTGGGAAAGATGGATTTTTCAGGTGGGATTTGAAGGGGCAACCCAGGGAAATTTGAGTGTTGGTAGAGATGTCAGGAGAGATAAAAGGGCATCTTCAGACAACCGATTTTGTGGAGCGCACTGCCACAGAATGTGGCAAAGGCCATTAGCTTATCTTAACATTAAGATGATGGCCATCCAATGGGATAGGCTCATTCATTTGCAACAAGTTGCTAGCCATGATGGGTTAGCTGTGCGGTGACAGCATATCACCATATACCAGGGAAGAATGCTGTGAAAGTGCATCATCTGCTAGAGCTTCCTCCTGGCATTTAGGTGGCCACTGGGGGCAATAAGATGGTAGATTTCTTTGGCTTGAGTTGAGTTGCCAAATTGAGGAGGGATTTGAACTCAGGTTTCCCCTGCTCCAACTCACTAGTCTACCCGGCACATCACACACTTGTTTTCATACTATATCTTAACATATGTAAATGGTCTTCTCTCCTCTCCTTCACCCTCCTTAAGATCTGCTTTGTGCACAAGTCAGAATGGAGTGACCTTGTTCGGGGCACATGCTCCTTCAAAAAGGCCTGGTCTGGAGATGTTCCATGAGTGGATCCCCCAGAACTGCTTGGATAACTTGCAACACATCGGCAGAGGGGGCTTTGGAACCGTCTTCCGAGCTCAGCACAAAGAAAAGGGGATTGTGGCGGTGAAGATTTTCCACCGGTAAAGCTGGTGGTTGGGTGTGTGGTTGAGGGTGGAATTATTATTAGAATTAGAATTAAAATTAGAATTAGAATTTATATACTCCCCTATACCTAGAGGTCTCAGGGTGGTTCACATAAAAGATCACAATATATAAAGTCAAAGTAAAAACAATAACCCAGTAATACCCCCCAAAAGAGCTGCATTTTAAAAGGGTACAGGATGTCGATCAGGTCAACCAAAGGGCTGGTTAAAAAGGAATGTTTTTACCTGGTGCCTAAAGGTATATAATGAAGGCACCAGGTGAACTTCTCTGGGGAGAGCATTCCACAGACGGATTGTTGCCACCCTCTGGATCTCTCGAGGAGGAGGCACATGAAGAAGGGCCTCAGAAGATGATCTCAGGGTCTGGGTAGGTTCATATGGAAAGAGGCAGTCCTTGAGGTATTGCCGTCCTGAGCTGTTAAAGGTTTTATAGGTCAAAACCAGCACTTTGAATTGGGCCCAGAAACGAATAGGTAGCCAAGTGCAGTCGGACCAGGATTGGTTTAATAAGCTCAAACCGTTTTGCTCCGGTGAGCAACCTGGCCTCTGAATTCTGCACTTGCTGAAGTTTCTGAACCGTCTTCAGAGGCAGCCCTACATATAGCACATTGCAGTAGTCTAACCTTGAATTGGTTATACAGATGTGGTAGAGCCTATATCTTGTACCCACAAGGTCCCAAATCCCAGACTCTCTGCCTTCAGCAATGCGGCAAAGAATTTTAAGGGTTTGGGAATGTATGTTGTGACTTCTTTGGACGGTGCCAGGTTGTTTCCCGGATCCTTCAAAGGAAACCCCAAGGGCAGGCCAATTTAGGCTGCTGACATCTTGGTTCCATATTCAGAATTTTGTAGCTAATGCTCCTTATTCATGGAGTTTATGGGGGAAGAGCTGTCTGTCTAGGTCAGGCCGGGAGAGAGCCCTACCTGAGACCTTGGAAGAGCCATTGCTAGTCAGTGTAGACTGGCCTTCACAAAACCCGGTTCCCTCCAGATGTTGGCTGTGGCTGATAAGAATTATAGTCCAAAAAAATCTGGTGGGAAATGGGTTGGTGAAGGCTGGTCTCGGCTATACTGAGTTAGATGGACCATTGATCTGACTTGATGTGAGTCAGCTTTACATATCTCCTCCCAACCTACTCAGACCAGCTCTTGACAGACTCAGGAGCTCTTGAGACCTTCTGATTAGGCAACCCCATCTTGAGTTCATCATTCAATGCGTCTGTGTCTCAACAGTACTTTGTAACTTTTCCTTCGACTCTCACCATGGACTCTCTTTCACCCTCAAGCACCAATGCACCCAGCGCAAATGTGTCCTGCATCCGACAGCAAGCCCTGACTGAAGCCCGCTTCATGGATGAGGCATCTTTTGCCCCCATCCCTCGTCTTTATGGTCTCTACGAGAAGGGAAACGAAGTGGGTCTAGTGATGGAGTATGTGGAGAACGGCAACTTGTCTGGCTTGCTGTCCAGGGCCTTGCCCTGGCCCCTGCGAATCCGCATCCTCTACCAGGTAGCCCTGGGGATAGACTTCCTGCACTGCCTCCATCCTCCGCGGTTCCACCTGGATCTCAAGCCCAGCAACATCCTGCTGGATGAAGCTCTGAATGTGAAGGTGAGCCATACTCTCTCTCTCTCTCTTTTTAATTGGGACCAGTCAAGGTCAGTGCTCCCTTTCTGCTTCCAGGAATGTTTTTCTCTATCGGCTGAGTGACTCCAGGCAACTGTGTCATGGAGCACTTGTAAGTTGCTGAGATTCTGAAATGTGTTCTTGGGTGTAAGCAGGCCTCTTGAGCTTCCTGCTAACTCCTCCTGAAGCAAGTCCGCACCAGACCATGTGCTCTTGCAGCTTGCATGTTCATGGTGCCATTGCAAATGACCGCATCCATCATACAATGGATCCAAATTCCTTACAGTTGTTGAAAGCTTGCAATATTCAGTAAAAAAAATTCTTCGCCATTGTAATGTAGCCTTCATACTTTGGAATAATTAAAAACTCATTTGAATGTTTCTGGCATAACAAACACAAGTCCCATTAAAAACTGTGCCACTGCAGGGTCAGTCATAGCATCAGCCAATTCGTGTTCCCTCTTCATGGACATTATTTGTGATTTCTCTGAAGCAGACACCAGCAATCTCTACTTTCCACAGTGATGATGTTTCAGCCTCATGATACACTCAGCTTTTGTTCCTTACGCCACTTGCCTTAAAACAAAGAGAAATTTTAGCATTAGAAGGATTAGAAATCTTGCATATTATAAGTAAAAAAAATAGTTTGTGGCCTAGCAGAGTCTCATATCTTTAAATGAAGGGTTTATGGTCATAATTTGCAGGGGGAAGATGACTCTAAGGGTCCCTTCCAACTCTTCTATAATTCTATGATATTTGGCGGGGGTGTCATACTGATGTACGTATGTGTATATGTATATGTATATATATGTATATGTATATGTATATGTATATGTATATATTTTGCTCTAGGAGGTTTTGTTTGCTCAGTATCAAGTATACACTTCCAGAGTGAACACTAAATACATTAGTTCTGGTAAATGAGCTACCACAACTGCTAGAGGGCTGTGAAAATTTGTGTCCTGGGCTTTTAAGACTCGTCTACCCATGTACTATCTGAAACCAGAGTGGCACATTGGCTGCCAGTTTCCCCCCCCCCCCCCGCCCAGCTCTCCCACCCAACTATTAGTCTTCTGATACTTTTCAATTCTGTAATATAAAGTTTCTTTATGAGCGTCTCCTGCTTGGAGACCAGAAGAGAGGATGCTGCAGTCCAAGGAAGCTGCCTTCTCCCCCAGTGATGAGAGTCTGCCTGCTACGCAGAGCAGTGGTGCAAAACCCAGTTGCTTGTGGAGCGGCACCGTGGTTAGTAATCCTAAAGAGGACAAAGCGCAGGTAAGTCAATACCTTGGGAAGGAGCTGTCACTCAGAGGCAGAGCACCTGCAGTTCAGTCGCCAGCCTCTCCAGGTAGGATTGGGAATATCCCCTTTCTGAAGCTCTGGACAGCTCCTGCTGTCAGTCAGTGTGAACATGACTGGGCCAGATGGACCAATAGTCTGACCTGGCAGGAGGCAGCTTCCTATGTTGTCCCAGTTGGGAGTTCTCTTAACTCTTTTGCCTTGTCTCCCCATTCAGGTGGCTGATTTTGGCTTGTCCAAGTTTGGGACAACTCAGCGCTCCCCTCTCACCTCTGAAAGCGCAGAAGTATCTGGCGGGACCCTCGAATACATGCCCCCCGAAGCCTTTGCCGAGTCCTACAAGCCAGACCCAGCCACAGATGTCTACAGGTGGACAGAAGCGTCTGCTGTGGGGCACAAGGGGGTTGGCACAATTGCATGAGCACTATAAAATTAGGAAAAGGTTAGCATGACAGATGCTCAACTAGAAGGGCCATTGGCTCGATCCAGAAAGGCTCTCCTTACGTCCCTGTCTTTGGAGTACATTGTGGGTTGGATACTCTTGCACAACCTGATGCCGCTGGGACTACAATTCCCATCAGCCCCAGCTGGAGCTTGTAGGATTTGTACTCTGGAGGGCACCAGATTGCTAAGGCTGCTTCTTGTGTGAATGAATGAAGGCAGTGAGCCTGGCATTGGTTAACCTCTCTCTTGCGGCGTTCCTTCTGCTGACTAACCTATAATAGAGGATAATGTAGAAGCCCTGGAGATGGGAAACGGCATGGGACCACTGATATTGCTGTCCCACAGGAAGAGGGAAGATCTCAGTTGAAGTTGGGAGGGGCTTTTAATCGACTTGCTTTTTTCTTTTCAGCTATGGGATCCTCATGTTCTCAGTGCTAACCGGCAAGGAACCTTATCCATGTGAGTTGTGCTCTTTCTGCCTATGGCTTATTTCTGCCTGTCTGAATTACAGAGAATATATATTCAATGCAGTTGTGCCCTGGGAAGCCAACACAAGAGAAAAATGTGTACCCCTACAATAGCGTCTACAGCATCTTGTGGCAGGGAGTCAAGCACATACAGTGGTACCTCGGGTTACATATGCTTCAGGTTACAGACTCCGCTAACCCAGAAATAGTACCTCGGGTTAAGAACTTTGCTTCAGGATGAGAACAGAAATTGCGTGGCGGCGGCGGGAGACCCCATTAGCTAAAGTGGTGCTTCAGGTTAAGAACAGTTTCAGGTTAAGAACGGACCTCCGGAACGAATTAAGTTCTTAACCCAAGGTACCACTGTACTGGGAAAAGAAGGCTTGTGCAATTAAAGTTGCCTTGAGGCCAGGGCAGGGGAACTGGATCTGGCTGGTGTGCCGGATTCTTATCTCTTATCCCCACCCCCATGGCCCAAGTGGAACAAGTGGGGTGGGGCTGCCAGCCTGTCAATCACCTGTGTGATTGTGGCCCATTTTTGCCCCTGTGACCAGCTGATGGTTGGAGCACTCAAAGCACTGTGCATGGCAACCTGCAGGCTCCAGCAATTAGCCAGTTGGTGGTTGCAATCCCCATTTGCTGCATCACCTATAGGACGGTGGGCCAAATAGCGAGGCCTGATGTGGCAAAGGTTTCTCACCCCTGCTTATGACACTGTCAAGCGATATGCCTTGGAAATGTTCTGTTGAATGCCTCAATATCCATCCCTGCTCAGCCAACCCTCAGAGAGACAACTCCATCTTCAGAATGCAAATCCAAGAGAATCAAAGGCCAAACACCCGGGAGCTGGAGGGGAAGATACACGAGGTGGAGAAACTGGAAAATCTGATCAGCCTAATGAAAAGGTGCTGGCAGAAAGAAAAGACCCAAAGACCATCCTTCCAGGGTAAACGTGACCTCTTCTCACCTCTGCCCCTGACTATCAGTCATTATTATTATTATTATTATTATTATTATTATTATTATTATTTTAAAGGTGCTAGACCTCAAGCCTCTTCGAAAGTTGAGTCTTCTGATTCAGAAGCCCTTCTTTAACCCCAGAACTTGTGAGACAAAAGAAATGCACTTCTGGAGGGGAAAGTGTTGTGGGAGATGGCACATTTTCAAAGGTCCTCTTGTTCATTAGATAAACCCAGGCACTGAAAACAGATTTTGGGGCTGAGCCCTGGTAACCCTGACTTAATGTCAAAGCACGCAAACGTGACTCCGTGAGTGAATTTATAAGCGCTTTGGGGCTTTCCGTGTGCCTGTGGGACTGACTCTAGTGCCATTTTGAATGCATAGAAAACCCTGTCAGAGCTGTGCGGGAAAAGTGTGTCATTCTTTTGTTTACTTTTCAATTTTGCTCAGTCTGCAGCCAGGAGATGGAGGAAATCTATTCCTGCTACATGCCGCACATTGAGACTGCTGTTCGTGAAGTTCAGGATAGTTTGGCAAAAGGTAGTAAAACCATGTTACTTATCAGTTTTGTATTCTCAACCATCCACTAGGTAGCAGTAATGTGCCAAGAAATTTATCACGCCTTTCTGTTCCTCAAAGTGTAGGTCCAAGGTGCCTGGCAAGAATTTTTTTTTTAATGGAACAATTTAAAAAAAAGATTACTGCAGCAGAAAATAAGGAAACAAAAGAAGCTCAGGATAAATGGGGCCAACAGACCGTTGTGGTATAATGGTTAGCGTGTCGGACGAAGACCTAGGAGACCTGGGTTCAAATCTCTACTCAGCCATGAAGCTCACAGGGTGAGCTTGGGCCAGTCACAGACTGTCAGCCTAACCTACTTCATAGGGTTGTTTTTAGGATAAAATGGGGAGGAGGAGAACCACACCTTGAGCTCCTTGGTGGGATATAAATACAGTAATAATAATAATAATAATAATAATAAAAATACCAATCTCAGTTCTGTGTACCAAAAGCACATTTGAGCAGGACGATGTTAACTAGATGTCAACAGTGAAGGAGCCAAATGAGTTGAGCTAGGGAGTAATAACCAACATTGTGTGTGTGTGTGTGTAATTATAATATAATATAATATAATATAATATAATATAATATAATATAATATATTTTTATTAAATTTTCTGTTTTACAATTTAGAATATTCATCTAAACAACTTTAAAATATCCAAAACTTCCCTTCTTCTCCATGGTTCATTTTGCATAACATAAATCCCTGCATATTTTATATAAACCAGACCATTCGGTATTCCATTATTCCATCCATCAAAACTTATTTACACTGTTGAATTTATCTTAATAAACATTTTCCAATCTTCTTTAAATGTATATTCTTCTTGTTCTCTTATTTTGTATGTTAGGTCCACAAACTGCGCATATTCCATCAGTTTAAGTTGCCATTATTCTTTAGTTGGGACCTTGCTATTAGGTCCCAACTAATAACCAACATTTTGAATCAATCTCTTAACAACCAGCATGGCTTTTGCTGTTGGTTCAGAGGGCAGGGAAGCCACTCTCCTCATAAACAGAGTCCCCACCGGCTGTTGCTGGTGAGCACGTAATTGGTCTGTTTCCCCAGGGCAGATATGCCATTGGGTTGATTAAATAAATCTCTTTCTCTGTGTTTGCTTTCTAGCAAAAGTCCTCCCTTTAAGGGTTGCTCAGGACCAGGCCGGACATCAGAGTGGAATAAAGCGCCCTTGGTCGGAAGTGGACTGTGCCATGCCCTGTACCATGGAGACAAAAGATGATTTGGGGAGAGGCGCTTCTTCAAGAACAGCTACCAAAGGGTAATTTCTGTGCTCAAGTGATGAGCTGAGGCATTGCCCGGTATTGCCCAGTTTTTGCTGGAGGACCACGCTAGGGACCATGTTTACACCAGGACTGGACGTCCACCTTCTTCTTCTGTTCTCAATTGCCATGGCTGTGTCCCAGGAGCAGCCAGTAGTAAGAATGTGGGGAACTGAAATACAGGTCAGTTTCGGGCAAAGACTTGTTTGATTGGGACAGGGCTGTTATCCCCAGCAAGGAAGTGATGTTGAGTTGGATGGTTGAGGCCACATGTGAAATGCAGTGGTGTTGTTATGGTAACTGTGGGGCTACTGGATGGTTTTCAGAAGCTGAGTTAAACATTTGGGATGGGTTGGAATGATGTTGTAAGGAACTGTGTCTGGGGCACACATCTGAAGCGGAGAGGAGAGTATGAGATCATGCCACAGTAAGTGGGCCAGGCCGGGGCAGTGGGAGGAGTTGAAAGGAATATTTAAAGGCAGTTGGGGTGGCCATAGAAACTTGACAGTTGGAAGAGGGTGGAGAGGATTAACCAGACAGAAATGAGGTTTAGGGTGGGGAGGAGGTGACCTATAGCCATCTCCAAGCTAACAGGAATAATCTGGTCTCCCCACCAGCAGCCTTAGGAGGAAAGAGGGAGAGAGCAAAGGCCTGTGCAGCAGGCTGTAGGAATGTTGTGGATAATAGGAGAGGATATATTGATTAAATGTTATCCTTCCTTCACTCACACTAGTGAGTCATTTAGCAGAGCACATTCCCCTCAATACGGCAGGAAGCTAGTTTGCAGATTCATTTGAATCTCTTTGGTTAAGCAATCCAGTCTGGCATGCCCATATTGGATTTCTTCCTGGTAAGTCCGCTTTTGATCCCTCTCAAAAGAATAAAGACACAACAGTCTTTCCTTAAAAGTAACAAGAAGTTTACTTACATTCAGTTCACAGTATGATCCCTGAAGGCAGGCTTTAGCTTGTAGTTACAGTTACAGAGAAAGCTGTGGATTCATCCCATATGGGGATTGATCCCATGTGCTGCTGGCTGAGAGTCAGCAGGGCAGTCCAAGAGAATCAAGAGAGAGAAAGATGGCTGCATGACTAGACCTTTTGTGGGGTCTGCAAGGGTCACCCCCACCTACCTGGTGTAACAGGAAGTTATACTGGCTGGAGTAACATCCCCCTGTCTGTGTCCACACTAGGGAAACAAGGGATGTTGTATTTGACTGCTCCAATGGATTACATCACACACAGGCCTCGTTCCTTGAAGTGTTTAAGAGGGATTGAAGACCTCCCCTTTTAATGGGTGGTTGGAGATTTTGTACTATGGATCCTTGGATTTTATTGCTGTATAGATTATTATTAGATTTATGGCAGCAGTTAGGGACCTAATTAGGCTTGGCAAGCCTCTCTATTTGGCCCATAAGGTAATTTTGGCCAAGCCAAACCCATTTGCCCTACGTGCTGTTGCAGGAATTTATGTATAGGTTGGGGGGGGTTGCCCCTCCAGCAGATATCATGCACATGCAGCCCACTACCAAAATCAGCACAATCGCTTTTGTGACTTTTGTGATTTGTCCCCACAAAACACTTCATCACATCCTGGAAGGAAGGAAGGCAAAAGAGGCTTGAGCCCAGGAATCAGCCTCTTTTCCTTTTTGGCCTTAGGCCCGCCCCTGGCTGGCCGTCCATTGTCCTCCCTGGCCAAGGGCGGGTCAAAGGCCAGCTCAAGCAGGTGGGTGACACCCGCCCAGGTGAGCCTCGCTCGGTGCCGCAAACCCCGCCCACCTGTGGGGAAGGGAGGGCGGATATTCTTCCTATCTATTCAAAGGGCCTCTGCTGCACAATACCAAATGTAACAATTCACTGATAAAGGTATCTATGTACTGGCTCACTGGGAAAACTTCAGAAATTCATATAGAATACCTGAGTGCCAGACAGGTAGCCATTCCAGAAATAACAAATCCAGATGAAGGCAAAAGGGTGTGATTAACTTGGCTGGGAAACAAGGAAATGTAAATATCTTTTTGTTACACTTGATGGGTGTTTGGTGGAGGGCAAGGAGAACCTTGGGGCAGGGTCCAGGATGCTCAGATTACTGCCACCAGACCTCCCCTTTCATGATGTAACCGTGATGTATGAGTAATGTAGTTTGCAGGGGTGTAACATGGGGATTAGCAGCTAATAAAAGTTTGGGGGCTCTTTTGTTCTGGGCTTCCATCTTGTTCCACCTTGTGGCACGTGGGAGTCCTGTCACGACAGTCTTCAATAAAGACCAAGCCTACTGGCTGCTGTTTTGCTCTGGTATTCCTGGCTGGTGTCCTTTTTCTGTCCAAGGGAGCCCTCAGATTTCTCCCCCCTCCCCGTAACATTGTTTTTGACATCAGGTGTAGGGCAGGCCAAGATGCAGCCACCTGCTGAAAGCAACACCTCTGTGTCTTTGCCTGTGTGGTTTGGATGATACAGGCTGCTGAAAGGGCAGTAAGATAATCTTACTGTGATTTCAGGTGATTGCCGGGTGGGAGGCCCTGGAAACAGATATTGTGTGTGTGTGTTGTAATGTTGCTTCCCCTTGATTCTCAGCTCCATTTGTTTGGAATCTCTGCCTTCTGGTGAAAAGCCTGCTGATCGTATAAAGAAGTCTAAAGGAAAGTTAACGGAAGATTTTGCTCTTCAAAGAAACCGAGAGGCATTCCTGAATATAGCAGAAGAGAACCGTCTTCTTACGAAGGGCGAGTGTTTATGCCTGAGTCAGATGAATCATGCACAGGAGTTTGTGGAGAGCCTGGTCAACACGGTGCTGGGAAAAAAAGAAATAATGCATAAGTTATTCCTCTACTGTCTGGAAGAGCTAAGGCTATGAGCTTGGAAAGATCTGTCTATTTCTGAATATTTAGAAAACGGTGGCTTATGCACTGATTGCTCTTTTTTAAAGAGCCCATTGAAGTCAGAGAGAAAGAATCCAAAGCACACAATTTTCTGCTGCTATCTTTTTTACTCCCTATGTGGAAAGCTTTCCATTTTTTAAAGAAAACATTACTTCTAAAGTAATGGATGCAGAAGAAATGGACACAGTGCCAACCAAACTGAGCAATTAGATTGGATAAAATGCCAGTCAAATATAAAATCAAGGTTGGAATGAACCTTTCTCAGGAGACTATTTTATATTTGTTTCTCTGCCCCTTTTCATTCACCTTTTCAGTTTGCGCTTTCCTAGTTTTACCAACCCCCCTCCCCTAATGTTATGCTATATACAGCACTAACATCACACATGGAATGTTACTGCTCTACAGAAAAGACTTGACGACCTGAAAAAAAGAGACAATGCACGTACTTGTGTAAACTAAAATATCTTTAATAAAAAATATTTTTTAAAAAAGAAATGTTTGCACTTTCCTTACAGGTGCCTTGATCAACATCTCTTCTGGGGGACAAAGAGTGTTGGTAAAGTATTTTAGCTTGGACTAAGTTAAGTTTATTATTTGGGAGTGGGGAGTGTTGTATTTCCCCCAAATGTCCCTAAATTCTGTTTAGGGAAGTTTTAAATGTTTGATGTCTTACTGTGTTTTAATTTGTTAGAAGCTGCCCAGGGTAATCCCAGTCAGATGGGTGGCATAAGAAGAAGAAGAAGAAGAAGAAGAAGAAGAAGAAGAAGAAGTCTTAATCTTACATCTTTTACTCCTGTTCAGTAACAGGGTTTATGCTATGCTACTATTTTAGTTTTCCTGGACCCTGACCAATAGTATTTGCAATCTGTTGGCAGACCACAATGAGTTAAAAAGAAGGTGGGCCACGTTTGCAGTAGCAACTAAAAAAAAAAAAAAAGCCATAAATTTCTGAAGACTTTTGTCAAAAGACTATTTTCTGAAGACTTTTGTCTCACCAATTGTCTTAGGGACTCCACTCCGGAATTGGGTAGGATTTACTTCTTAGTCTTTTCTTCTCCTGAAGATGTCCTGCAAGGCAGTGGATATGGATTTTTCCTTGGGGTTTACTCCTGAAGCCTTTCTCAGAAATGAGTATAGCCCCAAGGCAGAGGAGCTTTAGGCCTAGTGTCTTCCTTCTCCTAGCTACCTTCCCAGGTTGGGCTACAAATTTAATAAAGCTTCCACAACCCCTGGTGTGATGTTCTAGCCATGCAGAGAGAAATTAGGAGTGCTTACCAGTTATATTAAAGGAGAGCGTGATATGTGTGGCATGAGTGGTTGCGCTGAACAGTCTTACAGTCTGTATATGCATAAACGCTTCGGCACATGTAGAGAGAGACAGCTTGTACCTACCTGTCTTTAGTGTAACACGGGAACAAGCCTATCGAAAAAGAAATGGCAAGTTTACCACATAATATGTAATCCAGCAATTAGGCTGTATGAACACTACACACATCGGTTTTGTATCATTTTGCCTGTCCTCACTTCTCAGAAATCCTTGGAATTTGAATTCTGAGGTGCAAAAAATCCTATTTCAGAAGTCCTTAGCCTCTCTTCACAAAACAACAACGCCCAGAGTTTCAGGAAAAGGATTTGACGGTGAATCACTTTGCTGCGTGGGCATGACCCTAGTAAGTGAGTTAATTCCCATCTGCTTAATTTTGGTAATGGATCTGTAATCGATGCATCCTCTCTGATCTCCTTTAGATTGGTGCTTAATGTGTAAGTTTAGTTCAGTTGAATTTGATTGAAAAAGTAGAGGCATTCTAACCCAAGAATAATATTGAGCAATTCAGTGTAGTGCAAACAAAGCATTTAGTACAGTGGTGTCCAAACTTTTTTCAAAGAGGGCCAGCTTTGATGAAGTGAAGGGCCGTGAGGGCCGACCAAAGTTATTGACCTTTTTTTAGGATTTAAGTTATTGAGGTTTTGGGGGAATTTTACCCCAGGAAAAAAACTTCGTATGTACGAAGTGTTCGATGGTAATGAATACTAGACAATTCGGGCCCTAAAAAAATAGGATGGGCTATTCCACAAAGGGTCTAGCTAAACTCTAGAATTCTCTACCGCAAGATGTAGTGGTGTTCACCAACTTGAGTGGGTTTATTCAAAGAGTATTAGACAAATTCATGGAGCACAGGGCTATCCATAGCTATGCTATCATTCTACCTCTACTGCCGGAGGCCAGTATGCCTCTGAATACCTGCTGCTGGGGAACACAAATGGGGAAAGCACTGTCAGGCTTGGTTCCTTTTTGTTCCCTTGGTTGGTCACAGTGAGAACAGGATGCTGGACTAGATGGGCCTTTGTCCTGGTCCAGCAGGGCTTATTTCCATATGAGAGAGTCAGAAATTGAGACTGTGGTGTGTGTTTTTGCAGCAGCAAGATGACTGGTGCCCAGCTTGAGATTCTGCCACTTCCCCCACATACAGAACTTTCTCTGCCTTTCTACAGAACTACAACACCCCTCTTTAGATGAAACAAGTGCAGTTTGAATGCAGAAGGGCGTCAAAGGTAAAGAGGTGGCTATAAATCATTGGTGATCTAGGCAGGTATGCCCAGGAACAAACAAGGGGGAGTTCTTGATACAATTCATAACCATATCACTGATCAAACTAAGCAGATGGACTTTGGAATCTGGATTAAGCTCAAACAGGTTGTAGAAAGGGAAGTCTCTTGGATGCTAGCAATGGTGATTGGGTTGGGGTTCTGCCAATCAAATGACCTACAGTATGTTTCAGTGTAAAAAGGAAAAGATTAGCCACTGAGGCCACACTTGCCATTTCCAGGAGCCCCAGAGCGCTTGGCTGTTGGACAGATCCATGTAAGTAGCTACGTCTAGGAGACTCTTCACCACTTTCTCCTTTAAAATCTCTGTTAAATGGTGTTGGCAGACTGAACTGAACAAGTTTGATGTTATAGGAGTATGCACAGCTAAATTCTGGGTGTGATAGGCTGCAAATTAAGAAAAGGGTGCCTTAAGAGGCAAATACCATATTTTTTGCTCTATAAGACTCACTTTTTCCCTCCTAAAAAGTAAGGGGAAATGTGTGTGCGTCTTATGGAGCGAATGCAGGCTGCGCAGCTATCACAGAAGCCAGAACAGCAAGAGGGATTGCTGCTTTCACTGCGCAGCGATCCCTCTTGCTGTTCTGGCTTCTGAGAGTCAGAATATTTTTTTTTCTTGTTTTCCTCCTCCAAAAACTAGGTGCGTCTTGTCGTCTGGTGCGTCTTATAGAGCAAAAAATACGGTAATTTCACCCAGAGGCAGAGACCTACCATGATGTGAATTTTCTGCTTAAGCTTGGAGAGAAAGGAGAGGGGGAGAGTAAGAGAGAGAGAGAGCGCAGACCTGTGGACTCAGTGCTCTTCAGGCAAGTTTCACTGGAATTAACAGGAACCGGGCAAGTCTGGGTGTGACCGCAGCCCCCAATGAGTTCACCAGCGCTTCTTCTGAAAAACCTCCAAAGCGGTTTTGTGCCTGTAATCGCAGTGTTGCCAGATGCTGGCCTGTCACTTCAGATCACTGAGTCTCTCTAGTCCTCCATTGTGCATAAGCAAGAGACATGTTTCCCTTCAAGGCTTCAAGTGTGGAATGGATGCTGTCGAGCTGCAGAGGTGGAAACGGTTCATTTTCCAGCTTCCACGATAGCTGGGTCTACCTCTGCTGTTGGAGGCAGTATGCAGGGAATTGCCAAGGATTAAGAGAGCGCTGTTGCGTTCATGTCCTGCATGTGGGTTTCCTCCAGGCATCCGGTTGGCCACTGAGAACAAGAGAGCCAGGGTGGTATAGCAGCAGAGTGTTGGACCAGAACTGAGGAGACCTGGGTTCAGATTCCTGCTTTCAGCCATGAAGCTCACTGGGTGACCTTGGGCCTAGTTATCTCTCTCAGCCTAACGTACCTCACAGCAGAGGCGCCAGCTCATGAGTGAGGGGGGGGGGTCCAACGTTACGCGCAATTGATGATCCAGTTCAAAAATCATGCAGTAATTGTTTCTGAGCTGGTGGCTGTCGGAAGCGGGTGCCAGGAGCAGGTCAGCAATAAGTCACACAGCATCAATGAAGTTAACTCTTTATTCAGTAAAGCACGGTCAGCTCAGGAGGCCAGGCCTAATGAGCACAGCCACTCATCCCAGCAGATATTGCCTCTATGAGGCAGTTGTGAGGACTGCCTTTCCACAGTTGCCTAAGTCTCTTCCTCCCCCAGGTCCTTCCCAAGCAATCTGAGACTCTGTCACTGTATCTGTCTTTGCTCCTCCCTCTTCATACCTCTTCTGATTCTGGGATACCAGGGGAGCTGGTCACAGGAGGAAGGGGAGACACCTCAGCTGTTTCAATGGCCTGCCTCATCTCTGTCTCTTGGCCCCCCTCCTCTCCAGCCTCCGCTTCTGCCTCTGATACTGAACTGCTCTCTGCCACAGACTCTTCCTGCTCACTAAGCCCTGTTACCTCTTCAGCTTCCAACACCTCCTCCCACTCTTCTCCCTCTGTCAACTCATTGTTGTCCCACCACCACTCCCTGGGCTCTGAGCCTTCTTCCTTTGGGGTTTACCCAGCTGGTGCCTCCCACCACTCCTCTTCATCCAGCCATCCCCTGACAGCAGCCTTCAGCCAGCCCATCAGTATCATCTGACCTTGGTGATGGTTTGGGCTCCTCCAGAATTTCCACACATCTTGAGCCTAATCTAAACGGCTGTCAAATTGAAACTGATGAAGTGTTACAGAGAGAGCTGCCCATCTAATGACCCTCCGTTAGACAGCAACTCCCTAACCACATCACACTTTTGGTCTCAAAGACATGAACTTGTTGGTTAAACCTTGAAGAGCAAAGTGACAGACTCTGCTGGGTAAAGTAGACAGGATTCCCCATCTTAGGTCCACTGCTATTGAATTGGTGCCAGATCCAGAGCTTCCAAGCAAAAACAGCAACAGCAAGCCTTCCAGAGCAGCAGGCAATCTGGGGAAGAATTTTGCATTCCAAAAATCATGTATTGGTATGAAAAGAAATTTGGGGGCTTGTAGTCCCCTGGAGTAGGGACGCGGGTGGCGCTGTGTGTTAAACCACAGAGCCAAGGACTTGCCGATCAGAAGGTCGGCGGTTCGAATCCCCGCAACAGGGTGAGCTCCCGTTGCTTGGTCCCTGCTCCTGCCAACCTAGCAGTTTGAAAGCACGTCAAAGTGCAAGTAGATAAATAGGTACCGCTCCGGCGGGAAGGTAAATGGCGTTTCCATGCGCTGCTCTGGTTCGCCAGAAGCGGCTTAGTCATGCTGGCCACATGACCCAGAAGCTGTACGCCGGCTCCCTCGGCCAATAAAGCGAGATGAGCGCCGCAACCCCAGAGTCGGTCACGACTGGACCTAATGGTCAGGGGTCCCTTTACCTTTACCTTAATCCCCTGGAGACCAAACTATACAGTATATGGCACTTACTTCCTAGGAGATCTCCTCCCCAAAGACACCCTGTGAACTCCAGCAAAAGACTGGCATGGTGTGGGAAAGACCTTAATCCCTTTCCTCTGAAAATACCTCTCTCCCCACAAAAAAATCCCTTCCCCAAATGCCCCCCCCCTTCCTCAAGTTTCCTCCGATCACCCCTTGGAGGATGGGAAGGATTTTTGCTTCTTTATGTAACTATTCAAACTCCCTCCCTGCAAGGTTTGAAGAGCAAACTTATTGGCAGTTCTCCGCATAAGTCCAGCTCAGTGATCCTTCACAGTTCCAGGAATGCAAAACTGATGTCACCTGCCGTGGTCCTATTTAATTTTAAAGGCAGCTGAGGAGCGGAATCTGTTTTGTCAAGGCTGGAGGCAGACGGCAGCTAACTGCCTGGTTAAATTGTCGAGAAAACAACCCAAAAGTACTTAGGAAGTTTAACTGTGTAGCTTTTACGCTACAAAGCTTTGAAGGGGGAAACTTTTAATCCACCTCTTCTGGGAGGGACCTTCCAAGCTTTTCAACTAGGAACCAATCAGACCCGGTTTCCTTTCCAGTTGTGGCTGCTGCAGGGAAGGACCTAACCGGGAAGTCTCTGAAATTCAACATCAACTCGGCAAGGACGAAAGGTACAAAACTGGCAATAAGTTGGTCTTTCGGAGTGGCAGTACCCCACACTTTGAAGCGCTCCCTGGTTTCCCTGTACTCTTTTTGGTGCCTGCTGAAAATATTTCTGTTTAGGCAAACCTACCCAGACATGTGCTGTCATGTGTTTTGAACTGGCTTTTAGCTTACAGTTTGAATTACAGTAATTGTTGGATGTTTAAAATAATTGTTTTTAACTGAATTGGGTTTTGTTTTTGTTTTTTACTGATGATTTGATCGTCTTATTGTTTTTGCAAATTGCTTTGGGGCTTCATTATAATCAACCAGTATATAAACCTCATGTAGTACCGTCTAAATCTAAGCGGTCTGTCTCAAGAGGTTCCTGCTAAACCCCAAATGCGTGTCCACTCTCTGCTTGGACAAGGAATTTTAGGGTGTTTCAAACTCACACCTGAGCCTTCTTCCCCGCCTATTCAATTTACATTTTTCTCAACCTATACCATTTTAAGTTTACCGGGGGGGGGGGGGGACGCACAATATGTGATCTGGCCATTTGTCCGCTGCAGAGCCTCTGGCTACTTAGATGCAACAGAGAGTAATTCTTCTGTGACACGTTAAATTTTAAAGTGCCCCAAGACACAGGCTGCAGACACGCTGTGGGATGTAACATAAGCAGGCAAGTACAACACTTCCTGTTTGCCCTGAGCAGACACAGAGGGGGATGTTACTGCAGCCAGGAGGACTTCCTGTCACACCTGGTCTGGAGCATCCTCCCCCTGCGTGTGACCAGGTAGATAGGCGGGACCCTATAAGACCCTGTAAAAGGGCTGCTCACACAGCCATCTTCCCTTTCTCTCTTTTGCTGCTTTCTTCCGATACTGATGTATTTAGCTGTCTGCTGGCTCTCAGCCAGCAGGGCATGGGCTTATATCCCTACATGGGACGAACCTACTCTGGTTTCTGTAACTTCAAGCTAAAGCCTGCCTTCAGGGAACCTACTGTGAACTGAATGTAAGTAAACTTCTTGTTATACTTTTAAAAGAAGACTGTTGCGTCTTTATTCTTTTTAGGAGGAATAAAGGGGGAATTTACTGGCATCAAACCCAATCTGGACAATCCAGATTGGATTGCTTAAGTAAATTCAAACGAATCTACTGACTCACAAGTGTGAGTGAGGAAGGATAATATTTAATCAATATATCCTCTCCTACTATCCATGACATTCCCACGCACGCCACACATTTAAAGCACTTACCCACCCAAAAAAGAAAACTGGGAACAGTAGTTTACCCCTCAAAGAGCTATAATACCCAGCACCCTGGTGAATGGAAAGGCCAAGATGGGGAAGAGGTTGTGGAGGGGGCAGAGCTATCTGGGAGAGGCTGTGGGTCCAATGGGGATGTACAGGGACTGTGACTGTATCCTCCTCTTTTCCTGCCTTCCTTTTTCTCTGGCAGGGCTCTTGCGCCTTTTGGCAGGCAGAAATTAGAAAGGTGAAGAAGCCCTTCTGAGGAAACCCACCTCCAGCTGTGTTGTGCATGCCCGTTGTTGTTAAAGGCTCAAGAGTCCTGATATATATAACAAAGAGAGAGATGGCAACCGTAACCCAAACCTCAAAGACTTTGTTGTTGTTTAGTCGTTTAGTCGTGTCCGACTCTTCGTGACCCCATGGACCAGAGCACGCCAGGCACTCCTGTCTTCCACTGCCTCCCACAGTTTGGTCAAACTCATGCTGGCAGCTTCGAGAACACTGTCCAACCATCTCGTCCTCTGTCGTCCCCTTCTCCTTGTGCCCTCCATCTTTCCCAACATCAGGGTCTTTTCCAGGGAGTCTTCTCTTCTCATGAGGTGGCCAAAGTATTGGAGCCTCAGCTTCAGGATCTGTCCTTCCAGTGAGCACTCAGGGCTGATTTCCTTCAGAATGGCAGAGACGCATAATAATGCAAGGGGCTGTATTTTCCTTGTGTCTTGTTTCCCCAGCAGAGAGCAATGCCTACAGGACAAGGGAAAGATGCCCAACCAGAGGGGCGCCCCGAGCTGGGCGAACTGGACGGGATTCCCCTGGCAAAGGCTACTTGTCAGGAATGGAGCCGGATCCAGAGCTTCCAGGCGAAGCCAGATGACCTGCTCATTTGTACATATCCCAAAGCAGGTAAGAATTCAGGGACAAAGCTGCATCCAGTTTGGGAGTTGCAGAAGCACAAAACTCAAGATTAGTCCAGCAAGAGTCCTATATTGCCTTCAGAAAGACGGTTCTGCTAGGTCAGGCATAGGCAAACTCGGCCCCCCAGATGTTTTGGGACTACAATTCCCATCATCCCTGACCACTGGTCCTGTTAGCTAGGGGTGATGGGAGTTGTAGTCCCAAAACATCTGGGGGGCCGAGTTTGCCTATGCCTGTGCCAGGTAGACGATTATTACATTCAGCTCTGTGGGTGGTGATCATTCCATGCATTAATGTTTGTTCTTTTAATTTTCAGAGCACATATAGGGCTCAGAAACTCTAGGTTCATCTTTTGTGTGTTTATTATTATTATTATTATTAAAACCAAGTTCCTAGTCCTAGTGAGTTTGAACGCTGTGCTTAAAACCATGTGTGCAGAGAGGGCTTTAAAGGTCTCTGTATCTCCCTTTCTTACAGCTAGCAGAAGCAGTATAAAGTGTGCAAAGTTGGCACATAGTGGTAAATATGCAAAATCTATTCAGGATGCAGAATAATTGGCTTGCTGCACTACCGATTACTGTAAACTTTCTGGGCACAGATCCACAACACAACTTTGCACCTGCTAGTTCACAGTGTTAGATGGAAAGTAATATGCATTAGTGGCTGGAGTCACACGGGTGCTGAGCTGTATACAACATGCACAGGAGCCCTGTAAGCAAAAGGGGAAAGGGGATTTAAGTTTTAAATAGCAGACAGGGCAAGAGAGCTGAGGTCCTGGGCAAAAGACTGGGCCTGAATATATTAATGCTGATTTTCCTTCTCTCTCTCTTTGCGCATTATGCCAGGTACCACCTGGATACAAGAGATAGTGGATATGATCCAACAAGAAGGCGACCTGGAGAAATGCCAGCGGGCCCCTGTGCATCATCGCCACCCATTCATTGAGTGGGCACGGCCACCCCAGCCCTCAGGTGACAAATACAGCACCATCCATATTCCTGTGGTGCCCAACCCAATCTCTGGGCGGGGAGAGACTTCCAGGGTGCCTGCTTTTACTGTGTTTCCTTGGAACGAAGGTCACTGGAGACTGTGGCATCTTTAGGATATATGGCTTTACTTGCACAGATGTGCAACCTGAGCATAGGCTCACAGCAGGAACACTCCAACAGGTCTTGGCCTCCCCTCTAGGTTTCCAGGGAGCCTCTGTCCCTGTCTTTCTCAAGCTTCCAGCCGAGACAAAACTCACCCCAGACTAGCCCCCCCCCGGCCTCCCCCCCCCCCCGCTTTCTAGGATGAAATGGTATCCAGCCAGGTGAGATGGGGAAAGGCCCACTCTTCTCCTCCAGAAGCATCTCCAGTTGTTTCTATGGCAACACATCTGGTCTTCACCAACTTCTAGGCATGTGCAGATAGGATGCTTAACAGACTTGGCCAGGGCCCTCATTTTGAAAAAGAAACCATTCTGACCAGTTCAGGAGGTTCCCTCTTGTACAGGCTGCCATGTTGTAGATACAAAACCACTGGCTTGGTTGGAACCTATAGGTTTCCTCCAAACCAACCGTTCAATCCTATAACATTATAAAATGGGTTTCTCAGCATAACTACCTTCCCCAGGTCTCCCTGAAAGGCCAATCATGTAACTTGATTTGGATTTTGAAATGGATTCATTTTTCGCTGTGTTTTGCCCTCCGAAATGGGACAGGATGATCTCCCATCCCTGTTCTGTCACTAATGCCTCACTCTTCTTTGAGCAGGGGTTGATCAAGCAAACGCGATGCCTTCTCCACGGACTCTGAAAACCCATCTCCCCGTGCAGTTGCTCCCTCGGTCCTTTTGGGAGCAGAACTGCAAGGTAAGGGATGGGAAAGGGGGCCTCACACTTTGGGAAGAGACATCCTTTTGCTTCATTCTGAGAGGTAGATCCTAGGGCTAAACTAGGTGCCATGCTAATTTTGGAAAGGCAATCAGCATGTATGCTTTTAAAAATATAAAAATATCAATAACAGCTGTGAGATACCCTAAGCAGGACTCCTTCTTCTCCCCTCCATTGCAATGTTGCAACAAAAATGTCTTTCTGATGCAAATAGCTTTGCAGAGGCAATGTTCATTGGGATTCAGACCATGGTGGAGAGCTAATCTCTCCCTTTCCACTCCTTATGGTTCCAGCACCCTCAGCACCTGCTCTTTACATTTTTTAAAAATGTGCATAGTAATTGCATTTGCATAATTAATTTCAACATCTGTGGCCCTCCAGATGTTGTTGAACTACAACTCCCATTATCCCTAATGGTTGGCTACATTAGCTGGGGCTGATAGGAGTTGGAATCTGACAACATCTTGGAGGGGCACAGGTTTCCCATTCCCAAATTTGGACCTTAGGCAGCTCTCTACCACTTGGCTTGTAAACCAGATTCAACCCAACTGCCAGAGCAGCTACTTCCCATTTCCAGATGTTTGTCTGGATGCAATGAAAGTCTTTTTGTTGTGGGACGGTTGCACATGTCCTATGTGGTTCAGCTGCCACCACGTGGCAAACAGGTATCTGGACTCCATGGGGTGCAGCTCAGCCTCTTGTGACCTTTGCAAGAGAATGGTCCAAGGATATATGATGTTGTTGCATTGCTAGGCAGGGTCAGCTCCAGACTGTCTGTATTCTGCACGAGGGATTCAGGCACATACCCAAACATTAGATCTCTGCAGTTGTCAGGGTGCTGTCAGCGGATCCTGGCTGGTTGCCAAGGAAAGTATAAAGACAAGGAAGAGTTTCTTACTGCCCTTTTTCATTTCAGTCTTTACAGAGAGAGGCTAGAGCCCAGCCTCTTGGATAATGGCGTTGTCCCAAGTGAATCTCCACCCTGCCTACTCCTGTCTCTCCCACTTCCTCATTCATCATTCTTATCCTCTCCTCTATGGGTGCTGCTACGTGTCCTCTGTCTTCGAACTCTTTGCTCTCCTACTTTTAAGGCTTGCCAGGTTCTGGGAGATGGAGGGTCTGGAATGCTTTCTAATGACTACATGTCAGCCAGGTGTTGCTCTGGCTCTCCCATGATTTTCCAACTTTCCCCCTCATCTGCCTCTGAGCTGTGACCTCCCTCAACCCCCTGTTGTAAATCTATACTGTCTTCCTCTTCCTCCTCCCTGGAAGGTTCAGGATGGGGAGGCGGTCTCCACCATTCCTCCTCTGCCCAGTCCCTGACAGCAGTTAAAATAGATTGAAGTGCTTTTTGCAGTTTGGAAAGTGATGGGGACATACACTGCAAAGTTTGGGGTGAATGAATGATCAGTGGGGAAATGTATAACCACCATGCAAAAGGATGGATGCCATTGTTGTATAACCTCCCTGCAAACAAATCAGAACAAATGCTCTGTGAAGACCGTAAGGTGGGTGCTCCCAGATGACCTGTTAATATATTGTCCATTCATCCTGATTAGTTTTGCGGCGAGCTTAGCAGACATAGATTTAGTGAGCATTCATTCTGACTTGTTGTGGGGAGGTTAGATGACGTTGCATCAAAGCAAGAGCTAGCCCAAACTTTCCAGTACATTTCCCCTTCTTTTTCCTTATTGCAAAAAAATCCAATAGTTGAGGGGATGCAGGTTTGTGATGCAAGACTGATTGCGGCTGAAGCAGCCCATAGCATTTTGAGGACTTTTATTTGCTGCTGTGTCCAGCTGAGAAGTCTGGGGTTGTGTTTAGGAAAGGTTACAACGCTTCCCTGAGTTGTTGGGCAAGTTGTAGGGAGCTGGTTTAAGTCTATGAAAAGTGTGTTGCCTCCAAGACAACTATAATCATACAACCTGAATATTTCTTTACACGACTGTCATTATTTTTGGGTGGCATTAGGTTTGGAAGCACCCCTTGTCTAATGTCTGTATAAACTTTGTGCAAGCAAAAAGGAGTGAAAGATGCTGAAAAGAGGATACTTGGGTGAGCTAGAGAAGTCCTACGTCTGTCATCTTGGTGCTTCCTGGAGAAAAAGCTTGTTAATGACTGAATTGTTAGGATATTTCCGTTCCACCTTAAAAGGGAGCAGGCTTTGTGAGTCAGAGTCTGCGTATTTCCTGTTCACAGGATGTTTATGTTTTCTGTTGCTTTCGTTTTCTCTCTGGTGTCGCAGACACTAAAGCAGTCAGTCATGTTTTTCTGTGTTCTGATCAACGCTGAATAAACTTGTAAATAATGCTCTCCTGGGTGCAACTTTTCGCTGTGCATTATCTGCTGATAGAGCGTGCATGAGCTCTGGAATGTGTACAAGATATTTTCTAGAAACTCATGTCGCTGCGTGCCTACGGGAGGTCGAGGGATCGTCCGGCAGACGGCTTGGGGCCATGATGGACTTTATCTCCCTGGCAGTATCCCAACAACAGGTTTCGGGCCCAGATTCACAGCACTTACAGGAGAGTAAGACTGCGACAGACTGCTGAAAGGTATGTGGAAGAAAAGCGAAAGTGAGGCTTTTCTGTTTGCCGAGGCAAGGGCCTTTGATGTCCGGCTGGCCTAATTGGTCTGGGAGTCGAGCCAAACAGGCCTCATGATTTATGAGCTGCTGAGATAAGACGTCTCTGAAGTGAATAAGATTCACGCCTCAAGTAAAAGACTGAGATGGATCTTTTACAATCCTCAGAAGCTGCTCCGTCTCCACCAAAGCTAAATGGCCACAACTATCAGACCTGGGCAAGGTACTGTGAGGGCCAGATGAGAAAGCTTGGAGTGTGGAATACCATTTCTGAGGACCCCCCAGCCCCTGTGACAGATGAATGGACGGCACAGGACTCAAGAGCCATGGGGATAATTTTGCTCTCAGTAGCTCCTGAAGAGTTAATCACCCTGGCTGGCAAGGCCAGTGCCCGTGAGATGTGGGACGGGCTTAGAGCCTGTCATCTCCGACAAGAGGCTGGGTCTGTGTTGCTTTATTTCAGAAAGCTGCACAGGAAGCGTTTGGAGCCAGGGGAAGACCTTAGAGCCCATGTTTTACATTTGCAGCATCTCAGACAGGAATTGACTCAGAGAGGTTTCAATATGCCTGAGTCACTGTTTGCAATTCTCATCCTGGACTCCCTGGATGAAAGCTACCATGCCGTGGCAAGTCAGCTGGCGACCCTCCCTGCGCAAGACCTCACTGCTACAAAGGTCTTGGCGACTTTGCAAAATGAATACGATAGAAGGAATGCAGCTGAGTCGGCTTGTGCGCTCCAGGGGGAGCAATGTGGGACAGCATTCCAGCCTCCAGGGGAGCCAAAGCGTTGGCAGCTGTGAAGTGCTGGAACTGTGGGACCCAAGGTCACACTCAGAAGTTTTGTCCAAAGACTGGAAATAAACAAAGGAAGAAGCCAGCAGATGGCAAGAAGCAGAGGTGGGGTGGAAAGCCCAAGCCAGGGAAAAACAATGCTTTGTTTGCTGGCACAGCCTCACCAAAGGCTAAAGGCAAGTCTGATGGCCAGGAGCAGGGGGGCAAGCTGCAAAAGCCCACGCCGGTGGAAAACAAGGTTTTGCTTGCTGCAAAGACTGCTCCGAAGGTCAAGGCCAGGTTTGTTGTTGATTCAGGCTGTACCCGCCATGTCTCAAAAGACCGCCATCTCTTTATCTCCTTCAAACCTCAAGAAGGTGAGATCCACCTGGCTGACGGAAAGACGTTGCGAATCGCAGGAGAAGGGACTGTGAGACTGGCAAGTCTGCACACGACCATCAAAGATGTACTGTATGTTCCAGGTGCTGCAGACAATTTGCTCAGTGTCCCACAGTTGACTGGGCGTGGTTTTGAGATTTCCTTCAAGAGGAGCGTCTGTGTCATCAGAAAAGGCAAAGAGGACATTTTGCATGCAAAGTTTATGGATGGCTTGTTCTGTATAACTTATGACGACAATGGTGCTGTTGTGTCTAATGTTGATTCTTGTTGTGTTGCACAAACTAACAAAGTTCTTCATGCAGGATGCATTCACGATGCACATCGAAGGTTTTGCCATCTCTCTTGGAAGGCACTGGCCAAGATGCCAGAGATGGTTGAGGGTTTGAACATCAAACCCTGTAAGTTTCACATGAAATGTGTATCTTGTGCAGAGAACAAGGTGAAGGTTGCTCCAAAAGGCAAGGAGTCTAGCAGGCAGGCTTCCAAACCCTACCAGCTAGTGCACGCAGACCTGGTTGGTCCACTTGCGCCCTCTTTGGGTGGAGCAAGGTACTTCATGGTTCTAATTGATTCTTTTTCCAGGTACATTCATGTGTTTATGCTCGAGCAGAAATCGCAAGCGTTTCCTAAGTTCAAGGCATTCTGTGCTTGGTTGGAGAATGTTCACGGTAAACGTATTGGCTGTCTGTTTACTGATCGAGGTGGGGAGTTCACTTCTCAGCAGTTTGAAGTTTTCCTGACTGAGAAGGGAATCCAGCATGACTTGTCAACGCCTAGATCGCCATGGATGAATGGGCTTGCGGAGCGAGCAAATCAAACATTGCTGCAAGGAATGAAAACATTGTTGCATGATGCCAATCTCCCTGATAAGTATTGGGGGGAGGCTCTGTCGAATTTTGTTTACACTTTTAATCGCAGATTGTCATCACCTATTGGTTGTACTCCCTATGAGAAGATGTTTGGTAAGAAACCCAACATCAAGCACATGAGAATCTTTGGTTCTGACATGTGGGTACACACCCCACAGAGCAACAAGCTTGGGAAGCGTGGGGCACATGGTTTGTTCATGGGGTACGAAAAGGTGCATACAGGGTATGGATGACCAACTCTAAGTCCATTAAGTTCACAAAGAGTGTTGAGTACAATCCTAAGTGGGGGGAAAATGTGGGAATTTTCCAGAGTTACCCAGAGGAGGATGAAGGTGATGTCAAAGAAGCAGCTAAAGCTGAGGAAGCTGCTGAGGATGATGATGATGATCAGAGTTCGGATTCCAGTTCAGTGGGCGGCGCTGCTGCTGATGTCAGTGACAGTGATGACACAGCAGACTACAGGAGCGCAAAGGCCTCAGTCAGACCGTCTGATGCGTCTGACAATGAACTGGAAGAACCACTGTTCACCATTGGTCACTTTTCTCCTAAGAAGGAGGAGATGAGTCCAGAAGACTTGCGTCTAGTACGCAGATCTGAGAGAGCGACCAAGGGCAGACCTCCAAAGAGATTTGCTGATGAGTTTGCTAAGACAGCAACTGCTGTTCTTAGTAGCTCAGAGAAGGCATGGGAACCTTCAAGCTTCAAAGAGGTTCAGGAGTTAACCTCTAAAGATGCTGAGCCTTGGCTTAATGCCATGAAGGCTGAAGTTGATTCCTTGAATAGGAACCAAACTTGGGAGTTGGTACCGGTAGTCCCAGGGATGAGACTGGTTGGCAGCAAATGGGTCTTCAAGGCCAAGACAGACCAGAATGGCAAGGTAGTCAGACACAAAGCCAGATTGGTTGCCAGAGGTTTTCACAGGTACCAGGACAGGATTACCACGAGACCTACTCACCCACCGTCAAATATGAGAGCATTCGGCTGATGCTCAAGATAGCTGCAGAGGAGAAACTGCATGTTTCCCATCATGACATTAATACAGCTTTTTGTACGGGATTCTGGGGAGGAGCTGTTTATGCTTCCACCTGATGGGATGCAGATACAGAAGGGAATGGTCTGTAAACTGCGGAAATCCCTATATGGTCTCAAGCAGAGTGCCAGGTGTTGGAACACGAAACTCACTGAGACGTTGCTTTCTCTAGGTTTTCACCAGGGCAAAGCTGATCCATGTGTGTTTGTCAAGGAGGAGGGGCAAAACAAACTGTATTGTTTATGTTTTGTTGATGATCTTCTGATGTTTTGGAAGAATCAGGCTTTCTACCAAAGCACCCTAGCTCAGCTGAAGGAGCACTTTGACATGAAGGATCTTGGTGAGGTATCCAACTATCTTTCTCTGCAGGTGGAGAGGGACCAAGCAGGTAATTTTCTGGTACACCAAACACAGAAAATTGCTGATGTATTAACCAGGTTGAATTTGGTTGATGCAAACCCAGCAGACACACCGATGGTGACAGGTTACCAGGTAGACAGTACTGCTGAAGCGTTTTCTGACACAACGCTGTACAGATGCATTCTAGGCAAGTTGAATTTCATTGCTAGATGCTCAAGACCTGACATAGCTGTAAGCACTAACCTGCTTAGCAGACATGCTAACAATCCTACTGTTCAGGATTGGAAAGCTCTGAAGCGCATAGCCCGCTATTTGAAAGGGACTATGCACTACAGGCTGAGGTTCACCAGTCAGAAGACTGGAGGTCTTGAAATCTTTGCAGATGCAAGTTTTGGAAGTGACACCACGGATGGTACAAGCACTTCTGGAGTATGCTACATGTACAACCACTGCCTGTTTGACTGGTTGTGCAAAAAGCAGACGACAGTGAGCCTAAGTTCCTGTGAAGCAGAACTCAATGCTCTGTCATTTTCACTCATGGATTGTGAATGGTTGATGCAACTGTTTAAGGACATCAGAGTTTCTGTGAAATGTCCTGTACAAGTGTATCAAGACAATAGATCGTGTTTGGCTTTGCTGAACTCGGAGAGTTGCAAGCAAAGGACCAAGTACTTGCAGATTAAGCTACATCGTGCAAGAGAGTGTATTCAGAAAGGACTCATTCAGGTGTCCTACATGCCAGGAAATGAAATTCCTGCTGATCTGTTGTCTAAGGTTGTTAACAGAGAACAACTTAAGGTTTACGTACAAAGGTTGCAATTGGGTTGAACCACAGGTACTACAGGTTACACGGAAAGGGGAGGATGTTAGGATATTTCCGTTCCACCTTAAAAGGGAGCAGGCTTTGTGAGTCAGAGTCTGCGTATTTCCTGTTCACAGGATGTTTATGTTTTCTGTTGCTTTCGTTTTCTCTCTGGTGTCGCAGACACTAAAGCAGTCAGTCATGTTTTTCTGTGTTCTGATCAACGCTGAATAAACTTGTAAATAATGCTCTCCTGGGTGCAACTTTTCGCTGTGCATTATCTGCTGATAGAGCGTGCATGAGCTCTGGAATGTGTACAAGATATTTTCTAGAAACTCATGTTGCTGCGTGCCTACGGGAGGTCGAGGGATCGTCCGGCAGACGGCTTGGGGCCATGATAGACTTTATCTCCCTGGCAGTATCCCAACATGAATCTCCTAGTTAAATGCATTAATGTCTCCCATTTGTCTTCCCCATTCAGTTCCTTTACGTGGCAAGGAATGCCAAGGACTGCATGGTGTCCTATTTCCATTTCCAAAGGATGAGCAAGGTGGTACCTGCCCCCGGAACATGGCAGGAATATTTTGAGACTTTCATGGCAGGCAAAGGTGAGTTAAAAACAATGCACCCTTCCCTCCCAATCTTTTTGATTCTAGCAATGACAACACTTTGCATGTGTGAGGAAGTTAGAATAAGGAAAAGGCCAGATGCAGTTGGTGACAGTGTTTATAAATTTGGTGGTAATGTTAGCAGCGGTTGCATTGTGGTTTTTTTTTGCTCCTGCTGGGGGATTTGTCACTGTGCCCCTCATTGCCCCACTCTGTGTCTTCCAGTGGGCTGGGGCCCGTGGTACGATCACGTGAAAGGCTGGTGGAAGGCAAAAGACACACACCGTGTGCTCTACCTCTTCTATGAAGACATAAAAAAGGTGAGCAGATCAGGAAGGCGGTGGGGCCTCCTGGACAGCATCCCTTGCGGAGATCAGACTCTGTTCTGCACCCAGGCAATAGTGCAGGGATGATGTGGAGTGAATCTGCATAGGGGAGAAAGTGTCAAAAAGCCTGTCCCATCTGCCACACCCAGAATGAATTGCTGGTGAGAATCAGATGGCGGCTCTGTCATCGCCTCTCCCTCATCTCTTGCCAAAAGGAAGCAGGAAGAGGCTGCTAGTAAGCTGGGGGTGGGACAGCTCCACAAACATATTTGCCTGCCTATCCTTGGTCCTCTTCCCCCACCTTCATCTTTTATAAGCTTTCAACAGATCCTGTGTTGTGTCTCCAACCCTGGTTTCCAATCTTGTCTACTTGCCTCCTCCTCCTCCTTGTTCTATGTTAACGATACCAGGCCTGTTCCTGCAGACACTGCTCACATGTCACAGGTACCCTTTGACACTACAGCAGCCTTCACTGTGGCCTATAACCAGGGGGGACGAGAGGACTCAAGGCTGAGGGGGACTGCATTTGAGGGAGGACAATAATACAGTGACCACAGCAGTAAGCCCTGTAAACAAGGAATAAAAGCTGTTAATGTGGTTTCCTTCTGGCTTTTACACTATTATGAGGGAGGTCTCCATGTTGGCCAGTTTGAAAAAATGGGCAGATTGTGGAAGATTTACCAGCAGATCTGTCTGCTTGGGATGCCAAGGCACTTCTCCTAAACATTCCTGTTCTCAGTGCCACCCTGCCCCTTCCTGGCATCCTTTTTCTCAGGCCAAACCCTGCTGCACTTTCTCCATCTCCACACAGGACCCAAAGCGTGAGATCCAGAAGGTGATGCAATTCATAGGGAAGCAACTGGATGAGGCGACCGTGGACAAGATTGTCCGCCACACTTCCTTCGAAGTCATGAAGGACAACCCCATGGCCAACCGGGCTGGCGTGCCCATCTCGGTCATGGACCTGTCCATTTCCCCATTCATGAGGAAAGGTATGGCTTCTCCCTCAACATCTTTATTTTGGACGGTGCCAACTATGCCCAACAGGCAGAACATTGAAATCCCACAAGTCACGCCACCTGAAGGAAACGGGCATTGTCTTAGAGGGCCCTCCAGACTGATGTTTGAATGTTCATTGGCGGTGGGTTTATTAATTGTTCTGCGATGCTACCCCATGTTTGCTGTCTGGAAGGGTATAGTGAGGCAAAACTGGAACAAAAATGAACCAGAACATTTGTGGCCTAAAAAGTTGCAGGATTTCAGTTATGGAAAATGAAGCAGTGTGACCACTCCAAAATGTTTGTGGGCGCACACAGCATTGAAAGTGGTATCTCATGTGACAACAAATCATCATGAAAATACAGTGGTACCTCGGGTTAAGTACTTAATTCGTTCCGGAGGTCCGTTCTTAACCTGAAGCACCACTTTAGCTAATGGGGCCTCCTGCCGCCGCCGCGCCGCCAGAGCACAATTTCTGTTTTCATTCTGAAGCAAAGTTCTTAACCTGAGGCACTATTTCTGGGTTAGCGGAGTCTCTAACCTGAAGCGTATGTAACTTGAAGCATACGTAACCTGAGGTACAACTGTACAAGCAGGATATCTAAGTCTCCAACCTATATAGACTCTTTCTTCGAACATCCCCCCACACCCTTGCAAAATCTCTCATTGAGGGATTACTGCTACATCCTAATGACATTGAGCGCTGTGAATATACCCACCCTGGTAATTTATGGGGCATAATAGCAGACAGTGCCACTGAAAACTTCTACCCATTACGCTGAGTGGATTGTGTGTGTTTCTTTTATAGGGACAGTTGGGGACTGGAAGAATCACTTCACGGTGGCTCAGAACGAGCGGTTCAATGAAGACTACCAAAGAAAGATGGCTGATACTACCCTGACATTCACCATGGAGCTCTGAGAGCCAAAAGTCCAATGTCAGAATCCCTTAAGAGGTTTCCCTGAAAAGTGAAGGCTCACCTCAGCCAATGTCCTCAGGGGGGTTGCCTTTTCCAGCAGTACTAATAAAGAAAAAGTGTTTTATAATTTCATAGGCTGTATGTTTGGATGCTTGATTCCATGTGGGTGGGGACACCGCTTTCTGCTTGGTGGCATTTCCTGATGCACACTGTGGCATTTGCTTTCTGGTGCCGAACTTGGTGCATCTGTGAGACCCCTAAAAACTCCAGCTTCCACTGAGAGAGGTGGGAGAAGTCTAGGGCACTTCTAGCCTGTGACTATTTTCAGGTGAGATTCAGCTTTAATTGCACAGCCTGAATTTGCTGGCATGTGACTGAATCTTACCTGAAAATTGGATCACTTGATATGGAATGACCCCTCTTGTAAAACAAACCCAATTCCTCAAAACATCCTATTTCTTGCAGTGATGGGGAAATGCCCCAGAAAGTGAGAGATAAACACTTGCTAGCCTCACAATCCATCTAACCTCCTCACAAACAAATATGGGTGAGAGCTCATTCAGTACTCAGTGTTGGCTAACCTGTCTTCAAACAAACCAGGATGAATGGCCAATAAACAGATCTGGAAGCTAAGCTAGTCTCTTCACAACTGAAGAGACAAGTTCTTATGAATGTGAGCACATAATTTCTGATTGTGCTGTTGCTATTTTGGTGGATTCAGTCGGTAAAGCTGTGCAATTAAAGTTGCTTTGCAACTCTTGCACAACAAACGCACTCTCCCCACCAAAAATCTCAGACTTTTTCTGATAAGTAAAGCAGAATGTTTGTGATCAAGAGAGGGGAAATGCAATGGAAAGAGGGGGACAGCATTTGCTTGATGCAACATCCTGTAACTGCCCCACAGTCAAGTGAGAGTTGTTATAAGAATTCTAAGGTCCTAAATATAAAATAAACGTTCATAAATGTACAAGGCAAACACAGTTTTAAGTATATAAACCACGTGTCTGAAATTGTACAGGAGAGCAATCCTGAAGCCATTTTGACTCTCCCAAATTGACCTCAAATATTTCTATGCAAGGAGGAAGGAAATGGGAAAGCCTTCCCATTGTCTTTTGCTTACCTGTCTTAAGGGCATATTTGTGCAGGAATAGGGTGAGCCTGTGACCCGGTTTCAGGAAAGTATTTACCATCACAAAAGAATAGCCAGGCTGCCCAGGTAAAGCAGTCGGTGACCATTAACAGATATCCTGGCAAACAGGATTTCTGCTGTAGACCACCGCCTTCTGTGATGTATGTATGATGTTTTGGGTTGTGGTCTTGAGCTACAGGGTGGGCAATTTTAAAAGTCTATATAAGGGCTTGCGCACCATTGTTTGGGGTTCCTCCTGCATGTGGTGAGTGAGGACCCTGTTGCAACAGTTTAATAAAGATCAGGCTTACTAGCTGCTTTGCTTCTCAATATTCTCTGGTTGGCCTCTTGTTATTTTCTCCTACCGATAGAGAACCCACTTAAGGACTCTATATGGGCTCTTGGATGCCCCATAAGGGAAAAAGAGCAGGTTTTTTCTATAACAGTGAATGCTCAATAAAAAGCCGAGATCCTCTAACCTCCCCATACATTTTGTGTGAACAAAACGCTCAATCAACAGGATATCTGAAAATGGCCTGGCTTAAGAGTGTGAACACTGCTTCAGATGGCCAGATGGCAGGAGTCTTTTGGCAGATCCTGATTCCACCCAGTTACCTGCTGCATCTCCTGCCTACCAACAACTCCTGAGACCTTCCCTGCTGTTTCATGATTATACAAAGGGATGAGGCAGGGGCCACGCAGAGCCCTGAGGCCTGACACTGGCGCCAAATCCTGCTCAGCCTCTTCTGGATTCTGATATGTCACCAGGCCTGCTTTCAAGCCGATTTTGTGCAGTGTGTAAACATGTTTAGAACAAAGGAACCCAATCAAACTTGAGATTAGCCTGGCTTGCCCAGTATCTGGTTGTGCACCACTCTTTTGGGACCCCACTATACCCAGTCACTTTCACAGGTCTGCCCTGAATCCCAGAAGACTAAACTAGAACAAGCCAGTACAGAAACCAGAAAATTCTTTACTATGTACTTGCCACACCAGGCAATATTATCACGATTGTTTTTTGTCCAAGCACCTGCGTCAGGGTTTCATTTCAGTGCTAGGTACTTCAGGAGTCGCTTTCCTTAGCCTCCAACTCCCCATACCCCGACGGATGTTCCTCAGGGGCTTCGTCCAATGTGTTGCTTCTCCTGACGGCTGCGTCTTGGCAGTCATCCAGGCAAAGATTTCTCTCCCTGTCCTCCTTCTCCTTTGCCCACCTCTGTAGCACTCCTTGTGGCCAGTTGAGTTGAGTATAGTACGTTTCGACTGGGGGGGCAGAAGACCTCAGGCACCGACAGTGGACATCTGCTCTTAACTTGGCCAGTGCTCTCAGGGGATGGCGGAGCCTCATCAGGCCCTGTGGTTCTTGGCTATTTTTGTCTGGCTCCTTCCCAAGTCTCCTGGCTGTGTCTTTTGGGTGGACCTGAGCCAGCTCCCTGGGATCTGCGCCTCTGGATGGGAGCTGATCAGAACGTAATGATTGTTCAGACCGGAAAGAGGCGGAATCCATGATGCAACAGGAGAGGAGGCAGCCTTGGTTATCAAGGTGTGGAATTGGTTGTCGGCTATTCTTTTGTACAAGGATTGCGGCCACCACAGCGGCTGAGGGCAACCTCCACACCTTGGCACTGGCACACACAGCTGGTGGAAAGTTTCTGGGGGGGAAATTAGGAAAATTAGAACCAGGTTACCTAAACGATTGCCTTCTACTATATCTGGGATGGGGAACCTCAGGCCCTCCTGCCCCCAGGCTGCCCTGCCTCCTGGACCCCTCACTGACCCTCCACCACCCCTCCCTTAGTGACTTTTGCCAGGCTGAAATTGTATCCTTCGACTGCAATGAACTTTCTCGCTTGCATGAATGAAGGGCTGTGCTTGTGTAAGGACCACTGGTTTTCATGTTCCTGCCTACCATCAGGGCCGGATTTACATATAAGCTAAACAAGCTATAGCTTAGGGCCCCACTCTCTTGGTGGGGCCCAAAAAAATTAAAGGAAAAAAACTGGATGCACATTTCCAAAATAGAAGATGAAAAACAAATAAAATAAAATCTAGATACAGCAAATGGCTTTAGATACCTATTAGGTCCATAAATTACCATATAGTACGTTTCTGAGCACAATTCAAAGTGTTGCTGCTGACCTTTAAAGCCCTAAACGACCTCAGTCCAGTATACCTGAAGGAGTGTCTCCACACCCATCCTTCTGCCTGGACACTGAGGTCCAGTCCCGAGGGCCTTCTGGTGTTCCCTCGCTGCGAGAAGCCACGTTAGAGAGCCTTCTTGGTAGTGGCACCCGCCCTGTGGAACACCCTCCCACCAGATGTCAAAGAGAAAAACAACTACCAGACTTTTAGAAGACATCTGAGGGCAGCCCTGTTTAGGGAAGCTTTTAATGTTTAATAGACTATTGTATTTTAATATTCTGTTGGAAGCCGCCCAGAGAGGCTGGGGAAACCCAGCCAGATGGGCGGGGTATAAATAAATTATTATTATGATTCTAGCATACATTAAACACAAAATACAGCGGCAATTTGTTGCTGACAAAGAACAGCTGGACATATAAAAGGGCCCCATTACCTTCAGTAGCTTAGGGCCTCATGAAACCTAAATCTGGCCCTGCTCACAGTATACATGTGAAAATGGTATCCACTGAAGTACTTCCTTTTCGCTTCTCTCACTCCACTCACTTCCTGCTTCTGGCTAAGTGCCCTAAGGTCATTGCTAAGTGCCCTAAGGCCACCTGCATGGGTGAGATTCCCCACCCTTCCTCTATATGCATTCGGCAGATCACTGAGATTGTCAGAGGAGGCCTTGCTGATGGTGCCTGAGCTGTGCAAGGCCACCTGGTGGTAACATTCCCTCTGGAACACTCTCCCACCTAGGACTGGGGCGTCTGACTTTTACTAAAAACTATATTGTTTGCTCAAGCTTTCCCAGATGAATAGCACTGATCCTACTGCCCAATACCATTTGTTGATATCTGTAACATTGGTGGTGGTTGCGTTTTTAATTGTTTAAATGTATTTTTGTAAGCTATTTTTGCAAAAAAAGAGTATTTTTCTGTGTATAAGTTGCCCCCATATATAAGACGCCCCCTATTTTTAGGCACTCTAATTTAAGAAAATGGGGGGGGGAGATTGCCCCGTGTATAAGATGACCCATAGTTTTTTGCATAATTTTAAAGTAAAAAAACCTAGTCTTATACACGGAAAAGTATGGTATATTTGTCAAAACTACATACAAAAAATGTGTTTATTAAAATAAATTCACACTAAAATGTGAGGTGTGTTTTTTTTCAACACACAAATTTCAGCAGAAATGTGGAAAACTGAATTTCTGGTTATAAAACTGAGAAAAGGAGAGAACCGCAACTGACATGGCTCACCTACCCGTGAGGGGTTAAGGAAAAGGGATGGTCTGCCAATTCTCGTGTAACAGGCCGGGAACACAGAGGGTGTTGGTGCCGAGTGTTTTTGTAAAAGGTTAACATAATAAATAAAAAATGCAATAAATAAATATTACACTGAGAGTAATTACAAAAGGGAAATAAATTACCACAGAAGTGGTATTTACTATTTTACCAGGAGTAACTGTTTCTTGGTGAGGAGTTAGTATAACCTAAGTTGAAGTAATGATATTTTCCTTCCTTCCCACAACATAAGTTCAAAATGGATCAAATTCAATTTATTTATACCCTGCCCATCTGGCTGGGTTTCCCCAGCCACTCTGGGCAGCTTCCAACAAAGATTAAAAATACATTAAAACATCAGTCATTAAAAACTTCCCCAAAGAGGGCTGCCTTCAGATGTCTTCTAAACGTCAGATACTTGTTTATTTCCTTGACATCTGTTTGGAGGGCGTTCCACAGGGCGGGGCCACTACCGAGAAGGCCCTCTGCCTGGTTCCCTGTAACTTGGCTTCTCGCAGCGAGGGAACTGCCAGAAGGCCCTCGGCGCTGGACCTCAGTGTCCGGGCAGAACGATGGGGGTGGAGCTGCTCGTTCAGGTATACTGGACCAAGGCCGTTTAGGGCTTTAAAGGTCAACACCAACACTTAAAGAGATGCCATGGCTGAAAGGAGGTTGTGAGTGTAAGAGAGATGGGAAGCAAATGTAACCAGGGGAGCCAAATTCATGCCTTATCAGGAAACAGGGCAGACAAAACAATGGTTTTACGGCATTCACTGTTTTCTGCCTTCCTGAACTGGGAACAAATCACCATAATTGTACATCAGTCTTGCTACCTTCGGCACACTGGTCCTAAACGAAACTGGTTCCTACATGAACATACATACCTATGTTAAATGATTTGCAATAGCAAGATCCCTAGCATCCCAGATTGCCTTCACATCCAGTTGCCTCCACATCCAGAAAACACCTGTGGTGGTTTTGAAAGCTTTTCTTACCAGATTGAAGGGTGGGGACAGCTGCTAGGACTTAGTACTCCTTTGTTGCCATGACAACTGAAAGTCCCTTTGCTGGTTGCCAAGACAATGGAGTTCCCATAGGGATGAAGGTTCCTTCCCTCAAGCCCAACCAGATCTGATCACCAGAAGGTTGGAAGCACCTAGAAATATCGCAGGTAACTTTTGCCTGATGGCTAAGAATTTTCTAGTCGCGACAGCATTTTCACATTTTGCTCTGTTGCTAACTCCTTTTTAAACTAATTCAACTTTCTGTGTTGCTCTCTTGGCTGTTTGAAAGACACTTTCAAAAAAAAAATGCTATTGGTGTTCCTTAATCTTTTCAGATAGATTCTTACTTTAAATTCTTAATATTTTTTTAATACTTGATATTTTCATGTTACTGCGAGGCAAATTTGGTAATGAATGCTAAATGAATTATCCTGCGCTACCAAACCTTGGCTGCTGTGAAGTTCTTCTCCTTTGCACAGGTCCATCAATCTCATTAAGTTAAAACTGTACTCAATATCTAGATCTACCATTAAAACAACCCGCACAAATTGTTATTAACTGACAACTTAACACAAATGATACGCCTTTCAATATTTTCAGGTTAAGCATTATGTTGAGGGAGAAATTGCAACAAAATCAACATCCCTTTTATAACAAATATTTATGGAACCTGGCTTAAGAAGAACTCTCTCAAGAACATGTTAAGAGCACCCCTAAACATTTTTTTTAGAAAAAAAAAGCACTGCTGGTCATGTCCACAGAATATGATTTGGGAGAGTCAAAATGGCTTCAGGATTGCTCTCCTGTACTATTTCAGACATGTAGTTTATATACTTATGTATGTGTTTGCCTTGCACAAAAACAACCACAAAAAACTGTAACATCGGTGTATTTTATTTTCACTTTTGAAATGCCTGTTAAGAGGTGAAACCAAATTTCAAAGGTGGTTTGCCACCTTCAGGAACAGAAACCCAGTGTCTGGAATAGAAGCATAATTGGAAAATCTTTCTCCTAACACTGCATTTCCTCGCTGGGAAGAAGCTTTCTGTTCATTTCTGCCTGACCAGGTCGTTAATTTCTTATTAATTACTGCACAATACGCTGGAGGAGAGAAAAAGATCCTGCGTTTGGGGCAGATTCATTTCGTCTGACTCATGCCACCGCCATGCAAGGCGAAGAAGCCATGGTCTCTGTCTGAGCCACTGACCTAATTTCCACGGTTACCATGCCAACGCCCGAAGGCCATTCAAAAGCCGACAGGCCGGGCCTCTAAACTAGATCGAACCGGTTTCAAGGACGCAGACAGAGAAAAAGCTGCAGTTCAGCGGAAGGAACCATTTCGCAGCAGTAGAATGGGGGGGGGGGATGAGGCGGAAAGGAAGCAGACTTCGGGCGTGAATCCTTTGCGAGTGTTATACTGTACAAGTTTTCTAATGTCAAACGGGAGCGAAGAGAGATGACAGATTTTGCAACAGAGAAATCAGATTTTTGATGAGTAAAACTGCTGATGATAATAAAAATTTTAAAATGATAATATTTAGGAAGAATTTGCAATAGCATAAATGTCACTGGCAATATTTTTTTTTTAAATCATAGAATTGTAGAGTTGGAAGGATCTAGTCCAACCCCCTGCAATGCAGGAATCTCAACTAAAGCATCCATGACAAATATACCTAACCCAACTCATAAACAGGTGTTTAGGAGGTCCAACAGCTTGGTAGATTTATGCGACCGTAAATCTAGTAAGATCATACAAGAAATTCATGGTGCATGAGGACATCTGAGGCTTCTAGCCAGAATTTCTGCATTCTCTGTACCATGCCCATGAGGCCGACTGAGACAGCTGCCTTGGGTGGCAAATTCCAAGGGGTAATAATAATAATAATACATTTTTATTTATACCCCGCCCTCCCCAGCCAAGACCGGGTTCAGGGCGGCTATGGATAGTGCCATGGACGCCCCCACTGCTGCAGGAGAAGTGAGGAGAAGCAGTTATGGCAGATCCTCCAAGTGTCCCTATTTTCCAGGGATTTCCCTGATTTAGAGAAGCCGTCCTGACTTCTGATTTGATCACGCAGTGCCCCACTTTTCCTTAGCATGTCCCTATTTTCATTGGAGAAATGTTGGAGGGTATGGAGTTATCCGATCCCCGAGCCGCCTGAAGGCAATCCTGTACAGTGGTACCTCGGGTTACATACGCTTCAGGTTACAGACTCTGCTAACCCAGAAATAGTGCTTCAGGTTAAGAACTTTGCTTCACGATGAGAACAGAAATCGTGCTCCGGCGGCGCAGCAGCAGCAGGAGGCCCCATTAGCTAAAGTGGTGCTTCAGGTTAAGAACAGTTTCAGGTAAAGTATGGGCCTTCGGAACGAATTAAGTACTTAACGCGAGGTACCACTGTATAGGGAAGGTTTTTTAAAAAATGTTTAATGTTTTATTATGTTATTATATATGTTGGGCGCTGCCCAGAGTTGCTGGGGCAACAAAGTAAGATGTGTGGGGTATAAATAGTAAAATTATCATTATGGAATGAGACATTCCTATTTTCATCAGTGAAATGTCGGAGGATATGGTATGGCAGCAAGATCTCACAAGAGCCCGCAAAACCATGTGTGACCTCAGCTAGCAAGGCTTCAGCAGGGGCAGCAAATGGTGAGGGGTGTGGATGCTGGGAAGCACTTTCCTGTTTCACCTCAGGCGGCAAAATGGGATGGGCCACCCTTGGTCTCTGAATACCAGTTGCTATTGCGTCCAGGTCCTGCTTGTGGACTTCGCATGGGCATCTGGTTAGCCACTGCAAGACCAGTGAGACTAGGCAGGCCTTTTTCCTGATATAACAGGCTCTTCTTTTGCCAAGGACCAGCTGCCATAGCAGCAGTGGCCTCCAGCAAATGGGGACTGGATGTACCAAACTCAGCGGACACTACCAGTGGACTCCCAGCAGGGAGGGACCTACACTGGTCGCTTGACCCGGGTGAGCCTAAAGGAGCCTGAAATATACTCGGAGTCGAGAGTGGATTTAATGCTCTTTATTCAGCTCATAGTGGTGAGGAAGAATGGAAGTTCCCACACAAAATCTGCTTTATATACATTATTTACACAATGGGCTGCACGTGATTGGCTAATTCCGGGATTCTCCTGTAGGCCAATCAGGTTGTGGATTCACTTCCACCTGGAGCTGGATTGGGTGGCTCCTGCGGACCAATCATACTGCTGCATTGTTCTAGGACCAGTCAGACTGCTGGATTTTGGATCCTATTGTTCTAGGACCAATCAGACTGCTGGATTTTGGATCCTATTCAACTCAGTACATAACAGAGCCCATCATCCAAGGACTTGGGTGAGTGCGGGGAGGAGGCTGTGATGCTTCATGCAGTGCAACTCACAGTCACAGAAGGCAGGAATGGCCAACAACTTGGTGGAATTAAAAGCGGACTGGACAAATTTATGGAGGAGACAGCTATTGATGTCTGCTAGCTATGATGGCTCTGCTCTGCCTCGGTCAGAGGCAGAGATGCTTCTGAATAATACCAGTTGCTGAAAATCGCAGGAGGGGAGTTGCTCTTGTGCTCTAATCCTGCTTGTCAGTTTCCCAAAAGAGGCATCTGGCTGCCCATGGTGCAAACAGGATGTTGGTCTTGATGGGCCTGATCCAGAAAGCTCTTCTTATGTTGTTGGGTTATTATGGGAGAGAATGGTGGCCTCACACCAGGGTCTGGAGGTGACTTGGAGCCATTGAAAAATTCATGATCAAATCCATTTGAAATCTCTACACTGATCCCTTCAGCATGTGAAGTGATAAGAAAGACGTTGGTGCCTCCGTGCATGTGCAGAATGTCTCTCCCACCTCCTTCAAGTGACCACAATGAGCCACCACATATCTGAGATGAAAGGCTTTTGGGTCCATCTCAACTGTGATTCCTGAATTGCAGGTAGTTGAAGTCGAAGACCTTTGGGATCCTTCAAATTCAGTGATTTTGTGAGAGAGAACCAAGTGAGAGATCCCACCAGCTACTTGCTTTGACTTGACGGTCTCTTTGTTTCTTGAAAGTGTGAAGTCATGAATGGTTCTGTCACATTTTACAAATTTCATTTGCTTTGATCAGTTGTGCGAAACTTACTTGGCAAGCCAAACTTTCTGTACCTGTGAAATATGAAGAGTAGCAATCACACTGTAAAAAAGTTGTAAAATAGCCATAGTGGTATTTTATTGTGATAAAATAGCCTGCAAAGCCTTGCCTTTTGGAAGTACTGCATGTCTGTTGTAAAGACCCGTTAACTGCATAAAAGTAATCCTGACTGGCAAACGTGTTGGTCTGTTACAGCAAAACAAAGGAAAGAGTCCTATGGCAGAACCTAAGAGAATTATAGTGAGGTAGGTAGCCCCTTTTTAAAGCTCCTTTTTAAACTTAGTTGGTCTCTAAGGTGCTACTGGACAATTTTTTTATTTTAGAATTATAGAGAGTGACACAACCCTTTGTGGAATAGAGTCCTCATCACCAGATCTAAGTGGGATCTAGTTTATGAAAGGATTATGGTTATAGTAAGTCTCTAAGACTTTAAGATGCCACAATACTCTTCCCCCCACTTTTTTTTTTTAAGATGGACGGCTCAATAAAATGCATTTATTATTTCATGAACCCCCCTCTCCCCCCCTCGTTTGTTAATTTGGTTGCTTCCAGGCTCGCTCCGTAATCTCACGCCCACTCTGCAGTCTGGACTGTACCATTCTCGGGCAGCAGGGGAGGCCAGTGGCACACATAAGCCGGGACCCCAACGACATTCCTTTGGCAGTCCGTTTCATTGCAACCGCCGTCCCTTAATTCCTACACAAACGGGCTCACACATATCCTAAATGTAAAAGAGACGCCTCGGTAGTCGAAGGCATGGTTACGAAGAGAAGCGTAGGAGTCCTGCTTTTTATGTATATCTGTACAAAAGAAACGCCTGTTTTCCTTTCTCTCTCCCCCCTCTTGCGAGGTGACATGGTGCAGCCCAGAGGAAACGGGAGGGGGAGGGTATATTTGGGGCAAAGTGTGGGGGCGGGAAAGAGAGACGAGGCGGGCGGAGAGGTTGATGCTACGTAGCCCGTTCGAGGAGTGAAGCTTAGGGGGCTGCAGCCATGGCATCCAACGGTGAGAAGAAGGGAGTTCGCAGCGGAGGGCGTTGGGCGCGTTTCAACCGGGGTCACAACAGGGGAGAATGGAACCCCCCCCCCCGCAGCCTTTGCTTTCTTTCCTCCAGGGGAGCTAAGTTTCTGGTCCTCGTGGCTGTGCAGACGATGGGGAACGGGAGGTCGATTTATGTTAAAAAGGGTTTAACCTGAGGGTTAAAAAGGGAAGGGTAGTGTGAGGGGAAGCAGGCTTAATGGTTGTTTCTGTCCAGTTAATTGCGAAAAGCTGCGTTTTTGTCTTGGGTTATTTTCTCCTCCTGACGAGACTCGGGGGCTTCCTTCCTAGGGGCTGGGGTGGGTTTCAGGCTAAATCTTCGATAGGGAAATCACTGCCCGTGGCAGCTGAAGGAGGCTTTTGCGTGGGTTTTTTCTTCTTGCAGTTCCAGGGTAGGAGGCGAAAGCTGCCTGTCTTCCCTCTCCCGTCTGTGGGGCAGGAATGGTGGGCGAAGGGTTCTCCGGCCTTCCCCGTCTGCTTTGGACAAATGTTCTAGAGGACCCATTTTAAATGGAGGCTTCGGGGTTTTCGTTCCAAAAATAACGGGGTGGCGATACAGTCGAGGGCAAAAGGTGGACGTTATTGTAGAAGTGGTGCCGGATGAAAAACGGCTCCGCCTTCTAGAGAGCAGGAAGGGCCTTTTTTCTTTCCTCTGCTCCGCGCCGCAATCTCTCTAAACTGCGCAGTCTGCCGCCATTTTGTGATAGCGTGAGAACTAGGATGCCGGGGAAGAGACGGACGGGGTTTCCTAGTCAGACTCCAGGGGCACGGAGAGGTTAGGCCGTTATGTAGCTGCGCATGCGCGCGGTCGTCCCCTGAACTACTAGCGGGACGAGGGGGGGCCGTATGGGCAGTGGAAAAATCCAGTCTGACGTGATGGTCGGCGTAGCAAGGTTTATTGGAGGTGGGGGCGGTAAAAATTGTGATCACGCATGCGCTTTCTGCCTAGGCGAGAAACGCGTACGTTGTTGCGCGTGCGTGTGAGGCTTGTCTTTGTCGCAGTGTTACATCCGGGTGCTTCCCCAACCGCCCGCGCCTATCATTCGTTAGTACAAACGTCAGTCGCCCGCGTACCTCGCTCGTCAAGCGAGCGCCCTCCTCCCCATAAAATCTCGGGTTTAGGTCCTATAAGGACCAGGCTGCTTTGTTTGTAACAACCCGGCGCCATAGCAAACTTCGTGTGAGTTTAATTAAAGGCTGTTCCTCTTATGTCTTAGTTCCTTGGGTGGGCAACTATCCTCTCTTGCACCCCTTGAAAACGCAGATAATTTTTTTTTCTTTCCCTCCATACTGACGATGGAATTACATTGGTTCTTTAACCATCACATAAACTGAGGTTTTGTGGATGGGGGGAAATTATTTATTCCTTGGAAAACACTGGGGGAAGGGGAATATATAAATACACATTTTTTCTGATGACACCACAACTTCCACCTGCCCACATGATTGGGTTCTGTTTATTTTTGGATTTCTCTTTGCTGCTGGTTTTGATTATTGTGAACAGTCCTGAAAATAAGGCAACAGTGGTGTAAATGTAACTAATAAGTGCTTCGTATGAGAAGTGTCAATGTTCAGAGTTGCTGTTCATTCCTAATCTCTTCCCTCAAACTTCATGCCTCACAGCCTTGCTTTTTAAAATAGTTTCTCTTACCCACAATGAAGCTAGCAAGAGTGTTCCATATGTACGTATATTTTGTGCAGTACCCATTGGATAGGTGAACGTGTGTTACTATGAGAATCTGAACCCTTTCCTTAGTATTTGCCTGAATTCTTGAAAGTTAAAAGTGTAGAGAGGCAGGGGTGCACATGCCCCCCCCTTTGACTTTCGATTTGAATGGGGCTTCTGTCCATGCACATAGTGAGTGCATAGATGCCTGGAGCAAGCATCCATGTATGTCAATTTTGACAAATGTGACTTATCCACCATCCCATATGAATCATTTCTACTCTCTGAAGCAGTTAGATAACTTGTGTGGAATCCTGCTCTTAAAATAGCTCAAACATTTTTGTTTTGTCCCCTTACAGATTATAGCCAGTCAGCGACACAAAGGTAAATAAACCCTTGTATAATTCATCCTCCATGTATTGCATGTTTACAGGCTTTTAGCTTGTGATACTCTTCTCACATAACTACAGTGTTAGCCATATGCGAGTAGTTCTTTTCTTGTCTCTGTAATCTTGAAGTAGGTCATGCTAGTCACCTCTGTAAAAACATGAAGGATGTTAGGGTGCCGTGAGCTGTTCCCAGAGGAATAGATAGACAAGATCCGACCTGTGGCTTGTTTAATCTTAATTTGCCAATACCAGAAAATCCTAATTTTCAAGTAGTGGTAGTACTGTACTGGAAAAAAAATTTGAGGGAAAAATATATCGTATGAAGAAGCTGATAAAACTTGTGATTCCAAATTTAGAAAAATGGTTAAAATTTGCTGTAGTGTATGCAGACTTTGAAATGGATTACTTTTATCCATCCCCAGAGAAGCTGTAACATCATTTTAAAAAGGTTTTGTCTTATTCAGTGTGTATATACATCATAAAACTCAGTTTTAGCTGCATTAGAGCATACATTATTAGTTTCCCCAATTCAAGCTATAGTAGTGCCCATACAAAGATAGTATACCAAAAATCAAAGATTCCCTTTAAAAGCATAACTCTTAGTGCTGCTTCCAAGAGTTGTGGGGATTTAAGACTATTGCAAGAACATAGGAAGAGTGTTGAATCAGGCCAATTGCCCATCTAGCCTGGCATCCTGTTTTGACTAACCAGATGTTGGTAGGAAACCATCAAGCAGGGCCTGAGCGCAAAAGCACTCTCCCCTCCTATGGTTTCCAGCAATTGGTATTCAAAAGCATTGCTGCCTTCTGATGATGGAGGTAAAGCATTGCCATCATGGCTAGTAGCCATTGATCACCTTCTTCAGGAGTTTGCCCAATCCCCTTTTAAAGACATCCAAATTTGTGGTCATTGCTGCCTCTTGTGGAAGAGAAGAAGTGCTTTCATTTATCTGTCCTGAATCTTTCAACATACAGCTTCCTTGGCTGTCCACAAGTTCTGGTGTCAAGAGGAGAATTTTCTCTCTCTCCACTCTCTTCATATCATTCTTAACTTTATAAATTTCAATCACATACCTTTTATTTGCCTTTTGTCAAAACTAAAAAAGTAGGCCAGGTTTAAAAACTTTGGTTTATAGTCACTAAATCCTATACTAGACCCACTGAAATTCATGAACCTGTTAGTCATGTTTATTAACTTCAGTGGGTCTACTCTGAATAGAATCAGCATTGGAATTTATTTCTGGCCATTAGTCTTTTGAACAAAGTGAATTGTTGGTGTGTGTATCTTCATGCCACAATGAACCAATTAATTAGTCTTAACATGCCTTGTAATTTTCCTTACCCATTTGTGGTTGTTCAGACTTAATTGAAACACTCACAGAAGTAGGAGTTCAGTCAGATGCCTACAATGACATAGCACACTGGATTTGAAAAGACAGGTGGCAATGGTAGTGACAAGCTTGATTCCGGTTGGGAAAGAAGATTGTGAATTCAGTTTACAGTTTAGTTATATGTTCCTTTGCTGAATTTTTTTCTCTTGTTTTTCCTTAGTTATGGGGCCTACCCAACTCCACCCACACAAGGTTATTCTCAGCAAACCAGCCAGCCCTACGGGCAGCAGAGCTATGGTGGTTACGGACAATCGGCAGATACTTCTGGATATGGCCAAAGTAGTTACAGTTCTTCCTATGGCCAGACTCAAAGCTGTGAGTACTGTAGCTTATTTTGTTTTTTGTCCTCATGACTGTATAGGAAAATATGAGAGGAAATTGGCTAAGCTGTGAAGCACCCGTCTTTCTGGAGCTAGGAGATTGGAAGGAAAACACAGTTACTTAAAGTGTCCTTTCCGGACGCTGTAATGTGCAGCCTTTTCATTTTGCAATCCTATGAAGCACTTAAAGTAGCAAAAAGGTGACACAAGCACAAACAGGGATTCGAATCTAACATGCTCTCATCTCAGCACTGTTTAATTTGTTGTTCTATGGTCACATCTCAGGATGCATCAGTGCGGTTACATATGATTGAAGAACTGATTAGTTATTGCTACACAAATTGCATGCCATTTGAGATTAACAAGAGTGAATTGTTTTTTTGAACAGCTGGCTATGGCACCCAGTCAACACCACAGGCCTACGGCTCATCAACAGGATATGGCAGCAGTCAGACTTCTCAGACGTCTTATGGACAGCAGTCATCCTATCCCAGCTACTCTCAACAGCCAGCCAGTTCCACCACTGGAAGGTAACAGTTGAGAAATCCCAAACAACAAGAACTCAGAGCAGTGATAGCGGTGTAAATCTTCATCATAGGCTTTAGGCTTTACTTTTTTTACATTAAATCTGCTGAAATTTGCCTGATCAAACCCCAGGTGTACTCTGCTCTTTAGTCATACAATCATCCTGAATTCTTAAGCAATATTCCAAATGGAATCCTGGAGTTTAAAGCCTCAGCCTTTGTATAAAGCCGGAACAGTATTGTAGGATGGTCTGTGTATTGAACTCTTTGTCCTTTGTTTGTGTCTCCTTGAAATCAGCAGTTACGGTACCAGCTCTCAGACCTCTACCTATGGACAACCCCAGAGTGGAGGCTATGGTCAGCAATCCAGCTATGGCAGCCAACAGCAGAGCAGCTATGGGCAGCAGCCTTCTTACAACCCACCCCAAAGCTACGGCCAGCAGAGTCAGTATGGCAGTGGCAGTAGCAGTGGAGGAGGTGGCGGTGGTAGTGGATGTGAGTACTTTTTCCTTTCCTTTCACCTCCAAAAGCCAAACATGAGTAATATGAGCCAAATTTCATGCAGTGCAGTGTAGAAGCCAATGGCTGCCCCCCAGTGAGAAGCAAGGGCATCTGTAGAATCTTCATTCTTTTCCCCCGCCCAAAAAAATCCAGGCCTCTTTGCTAGCAGAAACTATTGCTAACCCCCCCCCTTTTTTTTAACTTTCTCCAGCTGGTGGCTATGGACAGGATCAGTCTTCCATGAGTGGAGGTGGTAGTGGAGGAGGCTACGGCAGCCAGGATCAAGGAGGATATGGCGGCCAGCAAGACCGCAACCGTGGAAGAGGCAGTGGAGGAGGTGGCGGTGGCGGATACGGTAGAGGTGGCTTTGATCGGAGTGGTGGAAGAGGTGGCAACAGAGGTGGTCGTGGAGGCATGGGGTAGGTGTCCAGTCCATAGTTGTGGGAGAGGGAGTGGGTTTCTTTAATTAGCATCTCTCCTAGTACTTGCCATAAAAGCTAACCTCTTCTGGGAGGGTGCAGTGTGTGAACGGCTGAAATATAGAATTGTTGGTAATCAAGGGTGGGCTACCACCATGTATGCTGCTAGGGGTCAGTGTGTTTTTCTCTATGGGGTGAATCTAAATGGATGTCAAAATGGTTTTTGTTCCTTGTCTGCATGTGAAGGAGTTAAAAACTCTTACTTTATGAAAATCAACCATTGCAGTAACAAGTCTGTGCATGGGGCAAAACATCGTATTTTCATCTTGGATCTGTTGACAACCTCAAAAGGCGCACTTGATATGAACATAATTACTGTTCCTCAAAGGTGAATTACGGTCCTCTTTGAGCAATGTTGCCGTTCCATACAAATATATACAAGAACTTTAGTACTTCTTATGGGGGAAAATCGGTATCTAGACACTAGGGTTATCCTTCAACCCCCCAGTGTTAACCTGATGAGGTGCACTGAAGGGGCCTGGTTTGTATATGCTGATAAATCGAAGGTTATATGAATCTCTTCAGTAAGAGATTTTGCAAGACAAAGCTTCTATGCAGGTTGTAAGCCAGCTTTCATTGGGCTCATAATGCTCATAATGCTGTGGTCTAGCCGTGTAAGCCAATGCAGGCTAAAAGGATGTGTTTTGGTTTTCCCACATAGCGGCTGGACTTTCTGTACTTGTGGTTTATGTGTTGCAAAGCAGTATCCTTAATGCTGTTGGGTGTGCGTTAAGCCTCGGTGAAGGGGTGGTTAAAATTGGTATTTGACGAGGCAATGGTTGCTAAGCAACATTGGCTCTGGGCTCCTGTTGACTGGGAGAGATGAAATAGAGAGGTGAGTATAGGTGGGGGCAGCTGAAGTGTTGTTTGCTTATGAAAAGTTGTTGATCTGTTAACAATACCTGCTCTGTTAACAAATTCTGCATTTTGTGTGCCACAGGTGTGAAAGTCAATGAACTTTAATCAAATCTCCACCTTCCACATGTTAGTTAAGGGTCTGAGGAAGGGAGAGATCTTATGGCAGGCAGATAATGCAGTCTTTAGAGCTGAAATAACATACTATTACGAATATGCTATGATGAGGGAATGGGTTTTTACGTGCTTTCAAAGCAGTTATCTGCATTTAGGGTTGTAAACAACAAAAGCTTTGCAAAAATACAAGGCGCAAACTTGAGAAGGGTGAACTGGAATTAACAGCGTGCACGGTATACAATATTTTAAAATCGAGCTTGGTTCACCAGTCATGCCAAGAATAGGACGGCAACAAGGAAACCAGCATTGTCTCGAAAGCTGCATCACGACGCCTCGTGTAACGTTTCAAGATCGGAAGCAAGAATGACAAAACACTAGAGCTGTTTCATTTGCAAACCTTCTCAAGGGTGTATTGATCCATTTTTAAAAAAACAAATGCTGAGGGCAAAGAAAAGGTGGAGCAGGTTGTCTTTAGATCTTCAGGAAGAACCAAACAAAAGTGTTGGCCAGCATCTTAATGGATCTGGTGTAGTTTCTAGCAACAAAACTTTCTAGTCGTGGAAAAAAAAGCATCATTATCTTCTAACTTATCTCCTCAGCGGTGGTGAGCGAGGTGGTGGCTTCAATAAATTTGGTGGTAAGTCCAAAGAGTTCAAAAACTTGAACCGCAAAAGTGTATTTCTATATATTATTTTTCGGAGAGACTGATGTTTGTATGCCAAAGGGTTTGAAAAGCCACCGTTTATCAGATAAAAACCTATGGGAGCACCCCCTGTTGTGGCACATATGCCAAAATGGTTGGTTGTATCTGTGGTGTTGACTTCCACATTATGGGGCTTTCTACTCAGCCAAGTTCTTGGTGCCAATACAGTACATTTTGGTTGTATGTTTTGCAACAAGATGGGAGAAAATCAATAATCCAAAGACGTGTTTTGCGGGAGAATGTGAGAGAGAAAATCACTTTGTAAGTGTTGGTTTTGTTTGTTGTCTCTCCTTTAAAAAACACATGAGAACGTTGGGTTAAAGCGTGTTAATGGAAGTGCATGCAGTCCTGAGGAAACATGGTAAAACAAAGGTTTATGGTACCTTGCTTAAAAAGTTACTGGTACAGGAATCAAGGGAGGGACCGCTCCCTTCAAACTTGGAAGTGTAACTTTGTTTGTATGAAACTCTTAAGAGCTCTTTCACAAATAAGTGGTTTCATGGGCTTCTATTTTAAGAGAGTTTGGTTTTAACATTACGAAGTTTCACAAATGGTCGTTTTGAACATGATTGTACCAAATCAAAAGAATTGTTTTTAAGGAACGTTCCCATAGGGTTTGCTGAAAAAGGCTTGGCATGAACAGTAAAACACACTTATATAGGATTGTTAATGCATTTGAGACCAGTGTTGGGCATATGCTTTCAAAAATTTAAGATTGGGTGCAATAAAAGGTGTCAAAATGGTAAATATATATATACATACGTGTAGAATATGTTAATAGTAGAGTGGTGATGCAAGTAAATAACCAGATGGTTTCTAAGAACATAAAGCTCTCATTTCTAAAGGGCTTATTCAAAATGTGTACTATGGTGTAAGATGGTTTGTTCTCTGTGCATAAGTTAAAGTGTCTCGTCTCATGAACCAAATCCAGAATAGATTGCAATGGTGCTGGAGACTTAAAAGACTGAACAAGGGTCAGTAGAAGACTCTGGGTAGCAGTGGCTGATGTGCGCTATAAAAGATGTCAAAATAGTGGTTCTCCAATGGTGTTCTGGGTGTGTGTCTGGAGGCCATGCTCCTCCCTGCAGAGCTGCAAAAAATAGGTCTAGTATGACCTGGAGGAAAGAGTTGTAAACTGGTTTTGCAGTAAGCAGTCTTGTAATTAAGACGTGGACCACTTCTGACTGAATGGGAGTGTTTGTTTTGCACTAAAACCCGCCTTGGAACAGCACATGTTCCAACACTGGCCTGTTTCTGATGTGGTCGTGATGGTGGTGCTGATGTGAGAAAACAGTTTGGAAGTTCTCACTCGCTAACTGAATCTCTCCTTCCTTATTTTCATGTGCAAAAGGACCACGGGATCAAGGATCACGCCATGATTCTGGTAAGTGGCTGCAAACCTGAATGTGAGGCCAGTGGAAAAGTATTTCCAGGCTTCCACTTTGAAGAGGGGGGTAAAAATGTCAAAGGAAAACCAGAGAAGCCTATGGTGTCCTTAGACTGCTTTTCTACACTTAAAACCTTTGTTCACAGTAATACCAAAAAGAAAAAGAGTTTCATGTAATCAAGTTGCCTTTTAAAAACCCACAAACTTTGTAAACTGCAAAATATATGAATTGTGCAGATTTGAGTTCTATTCAACTGAGGCCTTCAGGCAGTATAACCCAAATTTTGTCTCAGTTTGGAAAACTGCTTCATGTGGTTCAGTATTCATTGGAGTACAAGTTTGGAACTTTCATTTAGAGGCTGTAGGAAGAACTTTATTGGGAAGCAGAAATTATGATGGAAGATAGAGCTAATTCTCATTCCTTGCAGCTGGCGAGCAGGATAACTCAGACAACAACACCATCTTTGTTCAGGGACTTGGTGAAAATGTAACCATTGAGTCGGTAGCAGATTACTTCAAGCAGATTGGCATCATAAAGGTAAATTGTGCTAGTTATGCCTGTGAGATGATCCCATTACCAATAAGGCTGCATTTTGTAGGTTGCACTATACTCTTTGGTTGTAAAGTGTGCAGTGTAGTAGTGGGTAATGAGAGCTCGAAGGGCTGGTTGAGAGACTGAGCTGGCTAGAAAAAAGCAGCTACTAGTGGAATTGCTGTTGGCAAGTAGAATCACAAAACACTGAATGGTCTGAGCTGTGCAAAAAGCCTGCACTAGGTAGGATGCATTAATCAGAATTTTTTTTAATTTAATTTAAATTGGATTTTTAAAATAAAATGCTTTTGGAGGAAAAATCTTTCTAAAGAGAGTTTAAATCACATTATAGTCCAAACGCTATTCATCAGGAAATAAGGATTTGTTTTAAGTTTTTCATGTGTGCTAAAGCTCAGTCTAAGGTGGGGTTTTTTAATCGTTTAACCACATCAGTTAACAAACATGTATACATATGTTATTGTTTTAGTTAAATAAATTGTTTAAATTGTTATTCAGGAAATTATTATTTTTCTCCTTCCAATAAGGTACAGCAGAAAAGTTGTCCAAATATAAACAGTTAACTTGTTAAACCTCATAATTATCTGTCTATGTATTTCTGATAGTATAACCAAATTAGTAATTTTTGATAGAACTAAAAACTACTATGAAAATTTTTTACTCAAAAAATGAAACCTTCATCTGGTTGTAAATATTAAGATTATACTAGCAAGAATGAGTTTTTCTGTAAAAAAATGATTTAAATCAAGCCTTACTGACAAATTGATTTGATTTAAATCAAATCTACCCTGCTTTGGCCCTACCTACTTTCAGAGACTAATGGGTAGACAAACCTTTCGTGGGATGTCTTTACACTCCAAGGGAGAATTCATGATGGCAGCAGTAATCTGCCCAGAACCTCATGAGCACATTCATTAACCTTTTAATTTTCAGGGCTGTATAGGCAAATGTTCAGCAGCTAAAGCATTTCACATTTAAACGTAATTTCCATGCAGTAGTATTGCACATCAATTGCAGCTCCCTAAACAGTTGTAGTCTCCTGTCTCCTGTCGTGTATTGAAAATTAGATACAAGAACATTGGATTAGATCTTTCCAGTAGATTGATCTTGTACATTTTCCTTTTTTTTTTTTTTTTTTTTTTTGGTAAACAGACAAACAAGAAAACAGGACAGCCAATGATCAACCTGTACACCGATCGCGAGACAGGAAAACTGAAAGGAGAGGCCACTGTTTCATTTGACGATCCCCCATCTGCAAAGGCTGCCATTGACTGGTTTGATGGTATGGTGCTGACTTTGAATTACTTTTTGGCTTTCGAAAGAGTTCGTATGCTTGTATTTTGAAGGCTTCTTTCTGTCTTCTTTCTGTCTCCACTACTAGGCTTCTTGGGGGGGGGGGGATGAGATATAGAGGAGAGGTGCCAATAGTGAAATAATTGCCTTCTATCTTTATATTGGGAAAATATAATCCTTTTCCCTGCTCTTCTCTTAACCAGGAAAAGAATTCTCAGGCAACCCTATCAAAGTATCATTTGCTACCCGGAGGGCAGACTTCAACAGAGGTGGTGGTGGTGGCAATGGCCGTGGAGGAAGAGGCCGTGGCGGTAGAGGAGGTATATGCCACGTCATTGCTGTGGTTGATAAGTAGTGAAGTGTGTTGCTTGTAGCAGTATTGGCTCTTCTTATACCTGTATTGAGTTTCAGCAAGGAAGGGGGAGGAGGACCAACTTGTGTTGTGCAGCCATTCTGAAATAGGGGAGTTGAGGTATGGGTACTGCAGTCTTTCTAGGGAAGAAAGGTAACCTAATATAAGGAAACATCAGCAAGGAAACATTCTGCAAAAAATCCTTTTTCACTTGGCTGCTGGCACTGATTTTTACATGCCTCTTTCCTTTAGGACCCATGGGCCGTGGTGGATTTGGTGGTGGCGGAGGTGGCGGCAGCAGCAGTGGTTCCAGCGGGGGCAGCAGGGGGGGCTTCCCCAGCGGAGGAGGTGGTCAGCAACGTGCAGGAGACTGGAAATGCCCCAACCCGTAAGCAGTCTGCTTTAGTTGTTTAGATATGAAGGTAGAAATGGGGTTAATGACATGGAACTCTAAATCATTTGTCTTCCCCAAATGTGTTTTTAGGACATGTGAAAATATGAACTTCTCATGGCGTAATGAATGCAACCAGTGCAAGGCACCAAAGCCAGATGGGCCTGGAGGACCACACATGGGTGAGTTTAAGGTTTTACTTTTCTCTCTGTGTGAAACCAATTACTGTATATCCTGTTCCCTTGCTGGCGGATTCTTTTTCGTCTGTGTGAGATACACAGTTTGCCTATTTGGCACAACGCCATCAGTGAGAAAAGCACATTTCTCATTTCAAAATAGTTGCATAATACAAATCTGCTTTTTTCCCCCAGGAGGTGGATTTGGTGAAGAACGACGCGGGGGCCGAGGAGGCTTTGACAGAGGGGGCTTCCGGGGAGGCAGGGGCGGAGACCGGGGAGGATTCAGAGGCGGAAGAGGTGGAGACAGAGGCAGCTTTGGACCAGGAAAAATGGATTCGAGGTAAAGTTTACTTCAGTGGTGGCTATTGTAAAGGCTCAGGAATAGGAATCTATGGATTCCGTTTCTGGGGAGTTAAAGAGGGAGGCTGAGGTTGTGACTGTTGGATCCACTTGCTGGGTTTGCAGCCTAGCCTTGGGGCTGTTGATAGTTATTGTATAACAAACAATACAAATATGCAAATTCAAAATGTAAACTTTCCTGTCTCCTTTGCAGAGGGGACCACAGGCAGGACCGGCGTGAGAGACCCTATTGAGCCTGCATAGGATCCCAGACCATGTGAATTTATAAACTTTTTTTATTTTGTATGATGTCCAACTTCGTTGCAAACCTGTGTATTCCTTGCTGCGTTTGTGTACAAACTTTGTATTCCCTTCTATTTTATGTTGACTGTATTTGGAAGTAATCCTATACATTTAAAAGCCAAAATGTTTTAGTCATGCATGTATAACTGCTGGGCGGGGTGGGATAGGGCACTTGAATAATAAAGATGTTTTCAGTCAATTCTGAAAATAACATTGTTTTATTTGACTTTGTAAAAGTAACAATACTGTTTAAAAAACATTGTTTGAAAAGCTTTTGTATTTGTATAAATTTTCCAACTTTAACATAATTTTGAAAATGTGAATTGCTATAAAACAAATCTGCACAGTATCTCAACTGTTGTAGTATGGGAGGAAGTTTACATTCAACTGAAAAACTCACTTTTTGACTCCTGCATTGGTTTTGATTTAGCAAGCAATAGCTAAAAGTATAATCTGTTTAACGGTAGGCATGTGATGTTTAACAACTCACTCTTGAATCATCTGGTAGTGTTTATGAAAGGAGGGTTGTCCATGCTACTTACTACTCAAGAACAGTAATGTCTGAATTGATAAGAGCATGTGAGTGCTTCATTTAACGTGATTTGGTAAATCTTAATACATAAGCCTTTGCTGTTAAGCATTTTTGCATACCAAGTCAGTGGCTGGTACATGGTGGGTGGAAATGTTTCACTTCCTTTAAGATACTTCTCATTTTTAAGAATGCAGCCAAAATTTTTCAATGTGGCATCCTTAAGAGTCCTTCCCTTGCCTTTATGAGGCTCACATACCTATGGCTTAAGCCTAATTTCATACATAAATAAGCACAAGTCTAGCTACACTGTGAACACTGATGGAGCTGACTCAATGTATACACTGCTGTTGATGAAATCTCCATGGAATTCCATTGAAATGTACACTATTCATAGTGATTTGGATACAAAAGTCTCAAAAGCATGGTGGGGAGGCAATTTCCTCTTGTGCTGTTTAATGTTGGGTTTGTTTAAAGAAAAAATACATATAAATGTCATATAATTGCAATTGTACTTGGCTGTCAGAAACTTGGATATTAAGGCCAAAGCCTTTTTACATCCTCTGTGTTAAACACTGCTGTTTTGTAGTCTTGAAGCAGCAGTGACTGTGCTCCACTAAATCCAGTCTTTGCTGAGTTAATTTGAATTCCTTTTTTAACATTGGTGTGCAGCTAGTACAGTTCATTAATGCTTTGCATTGCATAATAGTGTACTTTGACCTTTGTGACTCAAATGAACAGGCAATGAAGCTTGATGCCTAAAGCCAAACTTTTTAAGTCACAAACCAGTCTTTGTATTTCCATTTTGCTTGATTCTTGGTCTTAATAACATCTGAGTGGGCTCCGTACAGGTACTTTCAATATTCCTTGACTTTGATAAATTTGTAATCTGGCCTTGACTATGAAGGCTCATGTTGCTAAATTATCTTCCATACAAAAAGCAGTAACGATGCTCATGCCAGGGAGAAGGCATTGCTGAAATTCCTCTCCAGCATGCTCCTTGGAGGCAGGGTTTGGTGTTGGGTTGAACAATCATGCAAGTCTCAACCTGTAAACTGAACTAAATTGGTACCTCGGGTTACATACGCTTCAGGTTACAGACTGCTAACCCAGAAATAGTACCTCTGGTTAAGAACTTTGCTTCAGGGTGAGAACAGAAATCGCGTGGCAGCAGCAGGAGGCCCCATTAGCTAAAGTGGTGCTTCAGGTTAAGTACAGTTTCAGGTTAAGAATGGACCTCCGGAACGAATTAAGTACTTGACCCGAGGTACCACTGTAGTACAACAGCCCAAATGCAGCTTTTCCTCAGAAATTGCCTTCACTCTGTCCTTTATCCATCTTCAGTGGTCCTTTGCAGTTTTGTTACCCTCAGCCAGGCCCTGTTATATTAAAATCATTCCCAACCGTTGCTCTTCAATTGTTCAAGAACAAGTTCTACGCTGCCATCCCAAATGGAGTGTCCAGCTTCTACTTAAGAGAATGCACACGCACCTGCGCCATTCCATCATCCGCTCCAATATCAAATTCTGACACTGTTCTGAAACCCTGTACAAGTTACCATGCTTAAAATGTTTTGTCTTTCTACGTGGCACATCATTGGCATAGCAGGTTCAGCATGGACCATATGAATACAACAATAGATCTCTTGGGGGAAACTGACCCCTCCCCATTGTTTCAATCTGGATACACTTGATAACTTAAGTTTTATGATCAGACTTTCTCTGTGTGCAGCTGTTGCCTGGTCATTCCTCCCTGGAGGTGGTTAGCCTTGGGCAGAGCATCCAGCCTTCTGTAAAAGCCACCTTCCCTTAGCCTAGAGACAGCTGCATCAGCCTGGGAACAGATCTGTACAATTAATTGCTTCCGTCTTCCAAGGTGGAAAGATGTTAATAGTGATGCCGTGTAAATTAACTATTCAATGGAGGCCATGATGTTCTATAATAGCCTGTTTCCGGCTGTCGGGGAATCCAATCTGTGCGGTCTGCCTTTGGACATTATGTAACAACAGTGGTGATGTCACTTGTCATGTTAACCCTCTGCATTCCACCAACACCCTTTGTGACTAAGGGCTGAGTAAGGGGGATTTTGGTAAGGCAGATGATCTTTTGAGGATTAAGTAGAAGACACAAAACAACAGGAGCAGGTTGTTGTGGCAATGAACACTGATGTAACAACAGATTGTGGGCTTTAGATCAGATACCTGGGTCCACATACCTGCTTGGCCATAAACCTCAGTTTGTGAGTAAGGGTCTGCTGAAGTATCTTCAGCCTAAGCTTGCAGACTTCTTTGAAGAAAGGCAGAACAACAGGTGTTGGTAGACAATGCTCTTAATTTTGGAATTGGCCCAACATTCTAGCTACTACATTTTAAGAGATCAAAGTTGGAACTAGTGATACACAACTCGGGGTTGCAGCAGGGATGGGGGGGCCCATGGTGTGGCTTTTAAAAGGGCCAATCTTTTGCAGGGCAAGAGGGAATTTGAATGTAATAATATAGCTAAATTCCCTTTGGGACAAATTATCTTGCTGGGCTGAAAACTCCTTTTACAAACACAGAAGTTCTAGTTTTCTTCATTTCTGTCTTATGCTCACTGTGGGCATGTATATAAAACCTTTACTAAGCAAAGTGTCAGAAGAAACTTGGCAGCTTTTGTAATCATTACCCAAAGTTATTCTCCCTTAAGGTACATTCATCCACCTGGCATGCAGTCTTTGTGCATCCAGGCTTGTAAAACCAGTTTCTAGTGGCTCCTGGAAAAATGTTATTCTTGGCCAAGACCAAGAAAGGAGATAAGCACACTAGTCCTGGGGTGAAGGAGAGAGGTATGTTTGTGCTGAAGAACTGGATTTGCCACTTGTCCCTTGTGTGGGTTCCTAGCTTTGATCTGGAAAAGGTGATGGGGAGGCAGACACAAGGATCAACTTTATAGGGATGCAGCTGCCTTTGAAGGTAACGGCCTTAGACCTGAAAACGCCATCCTAATCTCAGATGTTGCTCTTGTAAGGGTGGGTGGTGATGCTCTGCATGTTTGAAGGTACACTCCCATGTATTATAATTACATACGTTCCAAGGCTACTGGTCAGGGACCCCTGATCATTAGGTCCAGTCGCAGACGACTCAGGTTGTGGCGCTCATCTCGCTTTACTGGCCGAGGGAGCTGGTGTACAGCTTCCGGGTCATGTGGCCAGCATGACTAAGCCGCTTCTGGCGAACCAGAGCAGCGCACGGAAACACCGTTTACCTTCCCGCCAGAGTGGTACCTATTTATCTACTTGCACTTTGATGTGCTTTTGAACTGCTAGGTGGGCAAGAGCTGGGACCGAGCAATGGGAGCTCACCCTGTCTCGGGGATTCGAACCGCCAACCACCTGATCGGCAAGCCCTAGGCTCTGGTTTAACCCTCAGCGCCACCCGTCCAAGGCTGCTTGGGCTCAAATCCAACTTTGATTGTTTTAAAAGAGAATTAGGCAAAGTCAAACCCACACAGCGAAGGCTGTGGGCAGGATTCCTGCGTTGCGGGGGGTAGAAAGCTCCTGCGTTCGTGTTTTGCTTGCAGGCTTCCCATAGGCCTCTGAGAACAGGATGTTGAACTGCCTTTGCCTAGATCCAGCAGAACTCTCTGTTCTTAAATTAAGCCACACTGAACTTTGGCTGAAATAATGCAATCGATTTGAGTCCTTCCACCCCAGAGGTGTACCACCTGTAACTGAGTAAAGGCCTCTTGGGAGAGTCTTTTGAGTACTGAAACAACAGTGGGAACTTGGGCCCAGCAAAGTTCAGCCCTGAAAGCCAGACTTCTGTCCTGGAGGTGTAAAACAGAGAACAGATGTGAGCTGGGAGAGTGCATTTCACATCCTATTGCGTATTTGCAGCAGGGCCACCCTCAATGGAGAGATTCCCAGGCATGTTTGAGCTAAAGCACCTTTTATGTTAATCCTTGCCCAAACATGATATAACCACAATCCATCCCAAGACTTACTACATTTATATATCGCCTTCTTTCAATGGGTTCTGGGTAGTATTGCATCAAAGGACACCGGCTAGATCAGAGCTTTCCAAACTTTTCAAGTTGGTGACATACTTCTTTGGATGGGTGCAGGTACAAATGTGTTTTTGCACTGTGTTAACAATGGCATGTGCTGGCTCTGGAGAATGGGATAGGACACTTCAATCTGGGGTGGGGTTTGGTAGTTCCAGCCTATAGGTGGCACATTGGAGATCCCCAATTTTAAAATCTTATCTTGACACTTGACACCCATGGGAGGTTTTTTTGTGGGGGGGGGGGAGGGGTAACAAAGTGAAAAACTGAAGAGGGAGGGAGACTAGTTTCTCACCCCAAAAAGGAGAAAAATAGTGTCTGTGCCCCATAGGTCAGATTCCACAAACGCTAGAAATTTTTCTAGCTTTAATTTAAATAAAATAATTTGAGTATGGTTCATTGAAGAGGGAAATTCCTCCCCTCAATGAACGCCCTTGCATTTACCAGCATCTCCTAATTGTGTTGGTGTAACCCAATTCCCACTTCCTAATTGGTGGTGTGCCCTTATTTGCACTCGGAAAAACGTCTCCTCCACTTTATCATACAGACCTCAAACAAAGCACATACAAAAAATGGAAACCCATGGGGTGGGAGGCTTGCTCCCTCCTGAAGGGAGAATTTATCATCTCTCAGTGATTTGGGGCCTGCAGTTATATGACTTCTCACACAGGGAACAAGGAAAAGTCAACTTCATAA